GCTGCATGTAATTATCTTACCTCCCCCACTTTCCTTCTTCTCCCTTCCCGGTCACGCAGGGAAGGGAGGGGATGGATGTCACCGCTCTCACTCTCACACTCATTCTGCTAGCTTGCCGTACTCTCTCTCACCTCCCGTGAGATCATATCATCCATGCCGGCAAGGCAACGCTTACATGTACTCTACTCTACTCCCCGTTCTTGAGCTTGCCTGGTGGGTTGTTGTATATGTATGCGCCTGCGTGGTGCAGCAGCACTCACTCCCAGGCCAATTGCAAGCTGGGTCTACGGCTGTAGTTGTGGTAGGGTAGGGTACTTGCTCTAGTTACAGTATATATAATGAAAAAATCTAGAGTACTCTACCTACATGCATTGTACCTGCCTGTTATCGGATATCATATCTGGCGGGGAGGGAGGGAGGGAGGGAGGGAGGGAGGGGGCCTGGGTGTTGCAAATGAATTAGAGTTGGTGGGGGATTGTGCGTCCCATCCCATCCCATCATAGCTATCCTCATGTCGGAGATAGTGAGTGGCAAGAGAAGGAGGCCCGGGCTCGAATCGGGCACATGCTTTTTTGTTTGATATGTGGGTAGATTGTAGGTGGTGCAATTGGTTATGGGTGAGGGTGAGGGTTCGAAAAGAGAGGAGAGTTCCAGTGCAATGCCGAGTACCGGAGGGAAGATTGCGCGGTGCGGTGCAGTGCGGTGAGTATGGGACGAGATGGGATGGGAGTGCGTATGCTCATCTCATTTACCTACCTACTTGTCTTCATACATAGCCAGCCAGGCCTAGGGAGAAAGGGAAAAAAAAGAAATCTCCCTCCCTCTTGCACCCTCTCTCTCGATTTCGGAGCCAATGTGGCGGGCGGTGCGGCGTGAGTGATAAGGGAAATGATTCCTGAGCGGTCAAAGAAGTTTCTTGGGAGGCTTCCATAGTACAGGCTAGCTAAGCTACATGTATATAGTAATTGCTTGCACGGTACCGTGCGTGCACCTCTCTCTCTCTCTCTCTTTCTCTCTAGTAAGTAGGCACGCCCCCCAGACCCAAACTTCTTCTCGAAGATGATTAGAACACCCGCCATATTGCCATGCCATGGAATGATCATAATATCAACAAATATCGCCCCCGGCCGGGTCGGGCTAGCTAGGCTAGTAACATTACAACTCGGACCTACAACTGCACAACTGCACTACGGAAACCACCGACGTTGTGGGATTATGGGAAAAACGGAAACATCCAATTGCAAGCCACAGGGGCGCGCTAAGACGCCTCACTATTAATTGTATGTGCATAGAATATTGTACCTAGGTACCTAGGCCCCATATATTCGGGGATTGAAGGTTCCCCTCCTGCGTCGGCACTCCGTAGGGCTAGCACCGAAAAACAGGGGCAGGGGGCAATTACAAGTGATGTAATGTCAGCTCGATCATGTACTCTCTGCTTAATTCATTCCGAGTAGGTACATATGAAGAGTGAGTGAGGCGGAAATTTCGATGCCATTAATTGGGGGGGGGGGGGGGGGGGAATTGCTATGCTATGGTTGGGCGGGTAAGTACATGTAGACTCGCAAAGTACCTGAGTTACTAGTGAGTACATAAAGTGGGCGGCATAGATATTTGGGTAGGGGGGACGGGGGGGAGGTAACCTGGTGATGAGATGGAATGGTATGGGCGTCCGTTCATTCGTTCGGGGGGATCCTGGATCTGCGGAGCGCGGGAAAGTCTTGTTTACAGACTATGCTGGGGTGGGAAGGGGGGGGGGGGGGGCCAATGACAGCTTCGAGGGACGTTGGCGGATGGGAGCGAGTGGGATCTTCTGCTACAACCGCGGTGTAATAGTTAGCTAACCAGCTGTGCTAAGACTAAGAGTAGCCGTAATCAATTATCATCAAAATCATGGCAGCGATTCCGATTATGATGATGCTACTATATGTGAAGAAGATTACCATCATTGGCCCTCAAATTGCGCGCAATTAAAAAAGATCCCCATGTCTCGTTCGGGTGTGAAACGCTTAGATTAGATAGGGCCTGTAGGTACACCACCTCGAGAGAGAGATTCGAACCCTTGGACTTCACCCACCCACACACATGCTCGATCCAGGGTCCTTTGCAAGCCCGCTACCGAAGTTGTTCATTACGCGTGCATGGGAGAGTAGAGAAACCTGAAACACCTAGACATTTTTTTTTCCCGCCTGGTCAGATCCCCCCTGGCCCTGGCGGTTTGGTTGCCCCCTCGCTCGGGTTCAAGCCAACCAAGTTGGTGCCTGCTACTCTACTAAACGGTTCCACATTGGGACTAGCACAGAACCGCTGGGTAAGTATTGCATACAATGCTCTCCACCAAGGAGCCGTTGTATATATTGCTCGGTTTGTCCCCCTTCCTTTTCTCTGGCTTCTCTTCTTCACTCAGCAGACTTTGATATCCTTTGGTCTTCTTCTTTTCACGGCCTTCCTTTTGAAAAAAGCAATCACTCTTTAAGTGCTTTCTTCAAAACCAGTCATTCCTTTCAACATCACCCCTCTTAACGTCCAATATTGTGAATTTTTCAAGTACGAACGCCTAGTGCGCCATTGTTCCAGGAGAAACAAATATAAAGCAGTGCTTTCCGGGTCTTTGAAAGTAAAATAAAAAAGCAGAACCCTCATTTTTTTGACGACTTTGCTTGCAGTTATCCAACTTCGTCTGGAGCATATTTACGAAATCCAACTAGCAACGTCAAATCAACTTTTAGGCAGCGCCTTTTTTTATTACTAGCAGATTTAGCAAATATGCGTTACTCACTTACCACCCTTGCCTGTGCTGCTCTCGCAGCTACCACTTTGGCCGCCCCCGTCATTGATAAGCGTGCCCGTGATGTTTTGATCTTCACTGACTACACCACTATCATGTAAGTTATTCTAGATTTCACCTATAAAAAGGCTTGTTTTCAATATAAATTCTAATATATCCCTTTCCTTAGTGTCACCAAAACCATCACCACTGGAGAACCTCAAGCAACAGCAGCAGAGGTTCAGGCCGAATGGGCCAACGGCGGCCGCCCCGGCCGCAAGTCCTCGACCTATAGCTATGGTGCCCCCGTATACACCACCCGCACCACTACTCTCGAGCCCATCACCATTGGCACCAGTACCACCACCCTCCCTGCAATCACCACCACTCTCGAGCCGGTCGCCTCCACTCCCGCAGTCGAGGTCCCAGGAACTACCACTGTGGTCCAGGAAGTCACCTCTAGCCCTGAGCCAGTGACCGTTATCACCACTATTCAGGATGAGACCGCTGCTGCACCTACTACAGTGGTGCCAGTCGAGACCACCTCAACATCTGTCGCTCCTGTCCCGACCACCACTGCAGCGGCCACCACAACCTCTGCCGCTGATCTCCCGGCAGACACCTGGGCCGCTGATGTCCTCAACGCCCACAACACTCGCCGTGCCCTCCACGGTGCCCCAGCCCTCACTTGGAATACAACCATGGCTTCCTACGCTGCGGGCGTCTCCAAAGGTTGCGTTTTCGAGCACTCCGGCGGGCCATATGGCGAGAACTTGGCGGCCGGATACCCCACTCCTGATGAAGCCATAGAGGCGTGGTATGCCGAGAATACCAGCTACAACTATGCCGCTGGGTTGTTCTCAGAGGCCACCGGTCACTTTACTCAGCTTGTTTGGGCCAGTGCTACCCAGGTTGGATGCGGTATTGCGACCTGCGGAACCAGCACCACTCCTGGTGACATGTTGACTTGCGAGTATGATACTGGTTAGTAGATTATTTCCCTTGCCCACGAATTTCGAGTTTTATTTTGCGGTAACTAATATATATTGTTCTATAGGAAATGTTATCGGATACTTCGTCCAGAATGTCCTGCCACTTGTTTAAATATGATACCTGTTTGAGTTTAGTGAATAAATTTTAACTTCTTCTGTTTTTCTTCAAAGGCATCTATTAAGAGTTGAAGCGGTACTGGTGACATGGTATTATCAATTGAGCTAAGCCGCCCGAATGCCCACAACTTCGGCGCTTACTTTTTTGAAGTTTCCGGGAAACTTGGTCCTTTTTCTTTTGCGTGTGCCTGATTCTGATTTATTATTTTGGTTTCAGGCCCGTTTAACTTATTTTCGCTGTTTATATTTTATAACTAAAAACTTATATTTTTTGTGGATGACTGTCCGTGATGTACCTGGACCGGAGAGATAGACTTCCGGGGCAGTTTGAGAACTGCAACCCGAGACGAATAGACTATTGTTGCTTTGTTTTGGTATACGTAACGTCCTGAGTGTTTCAGTTGAGACAATCGCTATTCTGAAACATGGCTTTCAAGATCTCTTCATATAATTATTCCCTTCCGTGATGGACATGACAATGCCGTGGTCGGCCGCGAAGTGGAGAAATATCTAATTCTATCGTCGAAGTCAAATCTTGGTAATTGATAATGCATTGCCACGTGTGACAATCTTTGGGTTCTTGATAATGCCCACCTTTAGTGGCCTCAATCATCATCGATCAGCGTACGACCCAGTAGGCTCTTGATCTTGGTTTCGCTAATTATTTCCTTCCCACTCTTGGTTGTTAGCATCGTATTGTATAAGCCATGGATGGCATTGTGCCTAGGATACGAGAGTTACTGTGCTGTGGAGTGGGCGCCTGATGGGGAGAATAAATATAGATAAAAAAAAAATTGATAAAAAGTAGCGCCCCTAGACCCCCATAAAAAAATAATAAGATAGGATAACTTAATAAAGAATCCGACCGTAAAACAAAAGAATAAATTCAAATCTTAAACAAAGTAACATAGAAGATAGAACATAAAAAAACCTCAACATAAAAAATATTAAATTAAAAATTCAACTCTCGGTAAAGGACCACTCGTTAGAATCAGCAGAAACTCCTTTTATTTGTATCTATCTACCGTAGTAGCCCATTTTTGTTTTCAAACAAAAGTAACCCATCCCGAACAAAGCAAACACTAAACCCCAGAACAATTATCAAACCATAAAAATCGTTCCCGTTAAACAACAATGGGGACTCCGAGATGATCTGCGGTTTGTTTTCTGAAGACCTCCGCAGGGTTTTCAGGTGGCACCGGTTGTAGACCGAGATTTTGAATCAATGCCTCACAGTTGGCCTCTGGATGTATTATACGTTAGCGCATTTCTAGAAACAAATAATGAAACATCTCTTTAATGGAGCACGTTAGTACTAGTGTAGCTGTTAAGCTCGAACCTATTCCTGGCACATGGTACTCCATTGAGACCAGGCGGGTATCTGATCTCGGCCGATTCACTCAGTGAGGAATTAAATAAACGTAGAGGCAACCTGTGAGTTGGTCAGAGCCAATAATCTTGAAGTAATATTTGAGAAAAAGATCTTACAAATCGTGATGGTTATTGAGGGTTTGAAGTTGGCCTTCGACAGCCTGAAGACGAACCTCCACCTGTTGAATATCACCTCTAGCTTGCTGAAGATTGGTTCGGATTTGCTGAACATCAGCTTTAATTTGCTGAATGTTGGCCTGGATTTGTTGTAGCACCCCGAGGACCTGATTCCCTTGCTGGATTGCTGGAATATTGGGAATTAGGTTGACTTCGTTCGCTACTGCATGCAAATACTGAGCCGCATTCGCAAAGTTAGGCTGTCGTACTGCCATTTCGAGAATATCAAAACTTGGGGTGTAGATGTAAAAGTAATGGACGACAGTACTCTACACGGGAACGTTCTCAAGACTACAATATACGCGGGCGGTATGAGATATTTCAAGTTACACATATAGAAAATCGATTGGACCAGAGGAAAACTCGTCCAAAAGCAGTAGCCAAGCGTTCCCAGCGCTGTTACTATTTGAATCCGTCAGCGTTGCACTCAGCGCCGCAACGGCGCAACGCAACGCGACGAAGCCCAACTCGACGAAGCCCAATGCAATGAATTCAATTTTTTAAGCTTGATAATTATTGTTACCAATATACTAGTATTTCCCTCCAGAAAAACGTATGGCTATGATACTTGCTCGGTGTTGAGGTGTTGTATCAGGTGCGAGCACGTACGGTTGCGACTCACCCTTCCTTGTACTTCCGTCCTACTCTTTAAAATCCGGCAAGTACAACAATTGCGTGACATTGAAACCAGCGTGACAGACCAGCTGGTTAGGCTACATACATACGAGAGATCAGGAATGTTGAGTAACTGTACTTTTGTGTTTTGGTAGCCGACGAGAGATTGTGGCCGGGAGAGGGAAATGGTTACAATTTATTGAAATAAGCTTATAAAGTGTTGACTCCTGGTACAGGTTTCAGGTAGATGTCCACAGGGGAATTGCAGACGTAGGATTCTAGGGTTTGAGGGCGGCTGCAGGGATATGAAGAGCGGTTTTGTTAGTATTGACACCGCTCGAGCGTTTTCGTAGATGATCTAGATAGGAAGGGACGAACTGTGTGATGTGGGCTTCATGGATCTGCCGGCTCTCTCGAACGGGTTAATGATTGCGAGATGGTAGGAAACCCTATCCCATGTCTCACCGCAACATGTACTTTACATAACGTTTGATTATCCCACTCTATTTTTCCTTCGTCTAAAGGTTTACCATCCAGTATGCTTTTTTTTGATGCGAATGTCGAATTTACTTCTCGAAGGCTACTCATAGAATAACAGTACTAGAAAGTATAATCACTAACCTTAGCCCTGAGTCAAATTCTATCCTGAGGTACATGTATGTATGTACAGCCACTCAGCAAAAGTGTTCGTGATTTAGTTTTAATGTCACTGCGCGGTGTGGCGCACCGGTAATCCTATTCTTCATTAATTTAGGCGCCATTGGTCACTGGGAAAGTCTTCTCTTGGGGGGTTCTCGGTGGTCCGCCACGGTTACATATGGAGAAATGTCTCACTCCGAAATCGGAGTCACGAACACTTTTGCAGAGTGGCTGTATATCTTTCACTTGCCTCAATACTTCCAAGCCTTGTTTAGCGGAGTGGAGCTCTATATAATGATTTCAAACCATTTGGCTTTATTCATTTTATTATATAATAGTCGGGAATACTTAAAGATAATTACATGTAATTACGCTCTCGTTCATACATCCAAAATCACTCGTCACCTCCCTTATTCTAACATTGCATGTACATACAGGTATGTGTTTACACATCCCAGTTAAAGGACAGGTGATAGGACAAATCATGAGTTTCAATTCGACGAAGACCTGATAATTGAAAGGTGTCACAATAAAAGATCGACAGTAGAAAGACTGAATTACGGTAACGCGCAACTGGGGTCTGTCGAACCTACATGTACTCAATAGCCGGTCTCGTCTAGCTATTAGAGTGTCCGCATTCTTAATGATAACCTCATCTCATATTCATGCCTTTCGTCTAATCTTCGACTTCAAGCTGTCAGTCTACTTTCGGTGTATCCCAGACCGACATACAGCCCCCCAATCTCAGCTCGTGTTGAGTTGCTATACGTGATACTTACATGTATTTACATGTACCATGTATATATATTTGGTCAGGGTTCTAATAAAACCCCACAGAATTCTCAGACATTGCATTGCGTCTGATTGGCTCCCTCGGGCGCTAACCAACCAAACGTAGTAATGTCGATGTCGATGCCCGCACAAGCGCTGACATTAACAGATGCTCACCGGACACAATGCCGTATATTAAGTTGAGAGATCAATGATACAAAACAATGAATATACCCTCTCAACGCGTGCGTGAGCCACGGAGTTAAACACAAGAAGACACAACAAGTTTTACCCCACATTTGACATGTGTGATATCCCAGTATTCAAACGACCTTTCCATAAGCTCCGTAGGGCTGTAAGCCGCGACAGAAGCGCCGAACAACCCGCTGCAGAGAAATCATCATGGCCGACATCGGCATCTTCTGCCTCTGTAGCAGCAGCAACAGCAGGTGAGAGTAACACGCTCGAAGTTCCTGGACAACGCGGGCGTGAGGATTCGCCAACATTAGTTACAAGTGGACCCGTGGTGGAGAGGAAGATTGATAATGAGGCACATTTAGATCCAGAAGAGAAGACTGCGAGGTAAACAAATCGTAGCCTCTATTGATATCATGGGCTCTAATAATCAGAAGCAGGGTACCAGATCTCGCCTTTATCCAGGCTCTTAAATCCCACGAAGATGCCCTATCTCCTGCTGAGAAGGCCGCCTTTCTAGCCTCCAAAACCGAGGATCCGGGAGAGCTTATCAAGCAAGTTCAAGACCTCGATGTTAAACACCATCAAACCAGTCTCTCTCGAGCTGTTGGACCACGGGTCCAGAAGGTGATGGTGGGGATGGATATGTATATGGGAGTTATTGGAGCCTTGATCAGTTACTCTCCGGATGTCTCGGGGCTTGTAGTAGCTGGTCTACAGTGTGTTATCAAAGTTAGTTACTTGGAAAATTCGTCGTAGAGGCTTTTATGGGAATTTGCTAATAGGACGCAGCTGGGAATTAGGTTTTTTGAATTCTTCGAAAACCTGACAAGTATGATGGAAACCCTAGAGAACCATGTGTCATATCTATCGAAATACGCTATGTCTATGTTTCAGGAGTCCGAGGACATTCGAGAGGTAGGTTCAAATCGTTCGCCTAAGAAACCTAGTACTGACGATGTGTAGGCACTCGCGCGGACTTATGGCGATTTGTTGGACTTTTTTGCACAGGCAAGACGCGTGTTTACAGACAGTGACGGGAATGCAACCAGTAAGCGCAATCCAGGCTCAAGTCGGAAACAAAATAAAATCATACTAAGCCAGGTTTTCTAGGGTGGACATCCTTTAAAGTCTTCTTCCGAATGATTTGGCAGCCATTTGAGGAGAATTTTAGTGGAATAAAGGCGAAATTCCTCGCAAATGCTGAGATTGTGACAAGAGAAGCACAAGTTCATGGTCTCGTGTCTGCTGATGCAGAGCGGCAGCGGATACATATGAGAGAGCAGCAGGCAGATCAAGAAAAACAAGGTAAGATATCCGCGTTTAAGCCAATCATACGAGAGATAACTAGCATTTTATTAATATGAACGCAGATAATAAACGACGTGAAGTGTTCACTTGGCTATCAGATCTAGACTTTGAAGAAGTGCACGAAACACAGTTTCACAAACGATTCGGACAAACCGGTAACTGGCTTCTCAACGATACTGGTTTTACGGACTGGCAGAATAGCTCTGATTCTGGACTCCTCTGGATTCACGGTACACCAGGGACCGGAAAAACAGTCCTCTGGTAACTTCAATCCATCCCACCACTCCAGGAAGCGTCAATGATAATTCTGACATAAAAACAGTTCTCTCGTTCTCGAGACACTCACTGAGATCACCGCCCTCTCCTCTCCCGGCACCACTGGAATCGCTTTTGCCTACTGTAATTACTCACTCCCTTCCACTCAGCAAAACCCCGGCGCTTTTATTGCAACCTTCGTCAAGCAACTTTCCCGTTGTTGTCCCCGGATCCCAGAACCCCTCGAGAAGCTATTCGACTCACATGATAAAAATGCACGCAATCCGAGTTACCTTGAGCTGCGCCAGTTATTTCTAGAGGTGGCTGCAGGTTTTGAGAAAATTTATGTGGTAATAGATGCGCTGGATGAGTTTGATCCCCAGCAGAGAGGATCTTTCCTGTTATTCTTGTGCGAGATTATGAAATTCTCAGGAGGGTGCATAAAATTGTTTATTACGAGCAGGAAGGAAGCGGATATTGAAAGGGCATTTACGGATGTACCCACGATAGCGATTGAGTCGGCAAAGTTAAAGGGAGATCTTGAGGAGTATGTGGAAGGGGAATTGGAGCGGAGATATGAGGAGGGATCTTTGAGACTTAAAGATCATACACTCAAAGATGCTATATTTTCAGCCTTGGTTGAGAAGGCAGATGGGATGTAAGTTCTCGAATCAACCTGACTTGTCTATCAAAAGTACCGTAAATAGCTTACACTTCTCGAGGTTTCTCTGGGTCAAATTTCAGCTCGACTTACTATGCTCCCAAACTTCCGACCGGCATATCCGCAAATCCCTTCAGAATCTTCCCGCAACAATGGATGAGACATACACACGCTGTCTTGCCTCCATAGAAAAGAAATCCAAATCAGAAATAGAGTTGGCGAAGAAGATCTTCATATGGCTGACGTACGCTCAACGGCCTATGGGATTAGGCGAGTTATCACAAGCGGTGGCTATGGAGCTTGATATGGAAACTCCAGAAGACATAGAAGATTCCATTGTCAATGACCTCGAACTAATCGAGACTGTGTGCGGTGGCCTTGTAACGGTGGACACCATGCATACCATGTATACCTACTCGACCGTGAGGTTTGTACATTTTACAGTGCAGGAGTTCCTAGTGGGTCAGAAGAGTGCTGGCTCAGGAATTCTGAAACAGAATTCACAACTGGCGCACGAGGAGATTGCGCAAATGTCTATTAAATATCTGATGATAATGTACTCTGCGCCATCCAAAGACCTAACCCCCTGGGGTAATTTCGACATCTACGCATCAACTTTCTGGCACTACCATATTCGTGTCCTCAATCAACTAAGCGAGGATGTTTGGGTACTTTTGTACAGCCTCTTAAACTCTGGTGAACTCTTCTACAGGACCATTCCCCAGTTCCAAATGGTCGGTGACGATACGCCGCGTAAGATCTCACCCTCCACTATCGCAGCAGTGCTTGATCTTCCGTTAGCGTTGAGCCGTTTAATCCAAGAGAATCTCGATAAATCAGATCCTACTGAGAATGGTTTAGAGGCTATTCATTGGGCAGCGGAGATAGGTTCGCTCAAGGGGATTGAATGGCTGTTAGAACGGGGTGTTGATGTCAATGGAACGAGTGCGTACGGGTTTACAGCACTATACTGTGCCGTCTGGAAGCAAAACAAAGAGCTGGTAGAGTTTTTGATCAGCAAGGGAGCAGATGTAAACGCAAAAGGAGGTAATTGGGGGAGCCCCCTCCAGGCGGCGGCCAGGAGAGGTGACCAAGAATTGATACAGCTGCTATTGGAGCATGGGGCGGATGTCAACTTAAGGTATGGGAAGAAGGCAGATGCTTTACAAATAGTTGCTGCCTTGGGTAATGAGGAGCTGGTACATTTGTTACTGGAGAACGGCGCCAATATCAATGCTCAAAACGGGGAGCATGGAAGCGTACTACAGGCTGCGTTCACCAGCGGCAATGAACAGCTTGTACGGTATTTACTTTCTAAAGGGGCTGAAGCGACTATAGAAGGGAAGACCGTCGCCGCAACTGCGTTGAGTGGTAATATAGCGCTCGTAGAGCTGCTACTGGAGATGGGATGCGATGTGAATTCGAAAGGTGGGCGCCAAGGAAGCGTACTCAAATCGGCTATTTGGACCGGGAATAAGAAGTTGGTCGAATTATTGATTAAAAAGGGAGCAAAAGTAAACATGCCTGAGGTAGAAGATGGATATTACGGCAGTGCGCTGAATGCGGCAGCTTTGAAGGGCAACGAAGAGATTATCCAACTCCTGTTGACCTCGGGAGCAGAGGTCAATAAACGATGCGGGCACTTTGGAAACCCGCTCCATGCCGCTGTTTGGAACGGGAACCCAGTGGCAATAAAGCTACTCTTGGACAATGGGGCAGACCCCAACTCGAGGATGAAAGATGGGGCGAATGCGTTGCAGGTTGTAGCTTCAAAAGGACAATTGCAGTTGGTAAAGCTGCTTTTGGAGAATGGGGCAGATCCGAACCTGAAGGGTGGTCCTTGGAAATGCGCCATGGAGGCGGCTAGAATCAAAAATCATGAGCGAGTAACAAAGTTGCTCCGGGAACATGGCGGTGTGGATTATGTTGCCGAGAGAGATTGAGGTATGATATGGTATGCACCCCGCCACTGACGGTGGGATAGCCTGAGAACCCCGCCTTCAAATTCCCGAACACGTATCACTTAAGCTTTCAGTACTAATAGTTTGGCGCCGGCTTAGGGCATTTACGGTAAAGATTTATGGGGCGTAAAAAGAGATTTTAATGCAACTACATGTGATTCCTTTGAGCATGTCTTTTCTGGATTAGCTATCAGGTCGGGCGCAGGGTATCTGAAAATGGAGCTTATACGTATTTGCAATTACATAGGGTAATTTTGGTAGAAATTCCGATGTGTGACCCGATCCAAAGGGGCGTTTCACATGACTTGGTATATCACGGACCAAAGGCGAGTGACTTTTGATGAACCTTTCAGGGTTAGGTTTTCTTGTCTCGCTCAGCTTGGCCGAAGGGTCAGCCGCGTAAAGTGGGCGTTAGTCAGTGACTCTTCTGTAAAGTAACTTGGAATAAGAAACCCTCAGAGTCGTGACTTTATTCTTCGCACGTGAAAGAAATTATTCACTGAAATATGCTGGAGCAGAATAAGCACTGTTAGTAAAGATCTGGCTCCCGTCCGCGCACAGATCGACCCGTGATAATCTATGACATCGCTGCAGCTCAAGCGGTTGAATGGAGGTGATGGTCTATCGGTTATCAGTCGCTATGCTTCTTTTTGTGTTGTGAAGTGTGTGCTGGAGGAGAGAGGACGGACGGACCTCGGGTGTTGTTGCTAGAGCCTGGTTGGACTGGCTCTCGTAGCTATGGTGTTTGGGGGTCAATGACGAATCTGGGACGATGGCGAATGACCAAACCAGCCGTGTAAGATCATGGTGCAGGTCATTTTGTGCAAAACAGCGAGATACTCTCCTTACTTACTCCACCTATCCCGATCTAATTTCTTTATCAAAGTTTGCCTAAGTTAAAATTAAATAAACCAGGTCCGCCATTGCCCCAGAAAGCACCTTATGCGCGCGATCCCCACAACCCCACGAAACGCTAGACCGTGCTGCCTGTCCGCCTGGCTTTTTGCGGGGGTGGGTTTGAGGGATGGATAAGGCTGATATGTACGCTGCATCCCATCCCATCTCCAGCCTGATTGGCCAATTTATTCCCTTTCCCCCTTCTTCCGGCGGTGCATCTGCATGGAAAATTAAAAGGCACCCTTTGGCAGAGCCAAAAAAGAAAAAGGAATCACGATGGAATCCATGCACCTGCTCCGGTTGACCGGGCCCAGATGGTCGACGTTGCAGGATTCCTTGTTGTTGCGAAGGAAAAGCATGTGCTCCTTGGTATGAGCATGTTAGTTTGCTTGGGAGTGAGTGAGGTTTCTGGTGACCTCACCACCCTCACCCCCATCCCTCCGGATCCCCGCCTTGGTCCCTTGACTTCCCCTTCGTCCGCACGACCACCCCTCCATGCGGCTTTGTAGTACCCATCACCCATCACTCTACTAGTCGCTCCTCACTCGCACTTTTAAACCTCCACCGAGATAAGGTCAATAAACCGCCATTTCCCGTGGTCCGAGATCGTGGCACCCAGAGAGGGAAAAGGAAACTAGTCAAGAGCCGAGAGACACTGGCAGAGATAGACAACTACTAACAGGTAGGTTACCATCCATACATCCAGTTGTTTGTTTGTGGAGATCGCGGGTTTTATATTAAGCCCCCATCATCTGCCCCTCTAATGCCTTCTTTCTTCGGACAGCCCAGCAGCCCCTCCGTAGTTTTAATCATACCTTGTACTTCTCCCATATATCATATACACACATATATTGCAATTTTTCCATTTCCAACTCTACAATACATAGATAACTAACCCTTACCATGGCACCTTCAAAGGCCGCAACCTCTGCTCCTGCTCCTGCTCCTGCTCCCGCACCAAAGGTCATTGTGATGCCCAAATCGCTCAACGAGTCGCTCGCGTCCACATCGCCGCCCATGTCGACCGCCTCCTCCATAAGAGAACCTATTGCGCGGCCCTCGCCCACCGCGGGGTCAACGTTCGCATACCAGGACGGCCTACCAAAGCTGCCCATCCCGGAGCTAGCGGACACGTGCAGGAAGTATCTGGATGCCGTACGGCCGCTTCAAACGGACAGAGAGCATCAGGAGACGAAGGCCGCCGTGAGGGAGTTTTTGAAGACGGATGGGCCCGAGCTGCATGAGAGGTTGAAGAAGTATGCGAGCGGGAAGAGCAGCTATATCGAACAGTTTTGTAAGTGTTTTTTTTTTTTTTTTTTTTTTTTTGGTTGTTTTGGTTTTGGAAGTGCACTCGCTGATTGAGGATGCAGGGTACGATTCGTACTTGAACTACGATAATCGTGAGTTTGATTTTTTTGGCTTTTGCGGGGATGATAATTGGGCTTTATTTATGAATTTAGGCGCTAACTTTATCAATTAGCCGTTGTTCTCAACTTGAACCCTTTGTGAGTTTGGTCCATTGTTGCGATTTTGGTGGTGGTTTATGCACAAATGCTGACTGAAATTATGCATAAAGTTTCCTACTGGAAGATGACCCAACACCGGCACGTAATAACCAGGTTACGAGAGCGGCTTCTTTGGTAGTGTCGGCACTGTCTTTCGTCAGGGCTCTTCGTAAGGAAGAACTTCCGCCGGACAAGGTCCGCAACACCCCACTCTGCATGGTAAGTCACCCCCCCCCCCCCGACTCATAATATCAACAGCCTACTTCTATCTATGATATGCTAATTTTGTAATTCTAGTACCAATATCCACGCATCTTCAGCACTGCCAGAATTCCCACAGAAAATGGATGTGAAATGCACTCAGACCCTTCAGCACGCCACATCGTTGTCATGTGCCGTTCTCAATTCTACTGGTTCGACGTCTTGGATGACAACTCGGACCTGATCATGACCGAGAAGGACCTTGCCCAAAACCTCCAAGCCATTGTCGAAGACGCAGAGACAATCCCGATACAAGAGGCCGCCAAGAATGCTCTAGGAGTTCTCTCCACCGAGAACCGAAGGATCTGGGCCCATCTCCGTGATGTCTTGACCACCGATTCCAACAACGTTGAATGCCTAAGAATCGTTGACACCGCCATCTTTGTGCTGTGTCTCGACTCGACATCACCAAAGTCCGGTTCCGAGCTGAGCATGAACATGCTCTGCGGTACCAATGTGGTCGAGAAGGGTGTCCAGATCGGTACCTGCACAAACCGCTGGTACGACAAACTGCAGATCATTGTCTGCAAGAACGGAACTGCGGGTATCAACTTTGAGCACACCGGTGTTGACGGCCACACGGTCCTGAGAATGGCCAGTGATGTCTACACCGACACCATCCTGCGATTTGCCAGAACTATCAACGGAAACGCACCCAGCCTGTGGGCATCCACCTCACCAGACCCAAGCAAGCGTGACCCGTCTAGCTTTGGAGATGTCTGCATCACTCCCCACAGATTGGAGTGGACCATGGTCCCCGAGGTCTCCTTTGCGCTCCGTTTCGCAGAGACCAGACTCGCCGATTTGATCCAGCAGAACGAGTTCGAAGTGCTCGAGTTCGAGGGCTACGGGAAGAACTTTATTACATCCATGGGCTTCTCCCCCGACGCCTTCGTGCAGATGGCCTTCCAAGCCGCCTACTACGGCCTCTACGGCCGCGTCGAGAGTACCTACGAGCCCGCCATGACCAAGATCTTCGCCCACGGCCGCACCGAAGCCATCCGCACCGTCTCGGACGAATCCGTCGAGTTTGTCCGCAAATTCTGCGAGAACGCCCCCGCGCGCGAGAAGCTCGATGCCCTCAAGAAGGCCTGCGTCCGCCACGTTGCCCTCACAAAGGAATGCGCAAAGGGTCTCGGCCAGGACCGCCACCTCTACGCCATGTTCTGCGTGTGGCAGCGCGGCCTCGACGAGGAGTCGCAGTCCCATTTTGGCACCGACGCTTCCTCTCTCAACGGCATCAGCAGCGATGGCTACGGCTCCTCCCCCGTCGACGGGCCCTTCGAGCCCGGCAGCCCTGGCCTCATCAACGGCAGCAACCAGGTCCGCCCCCGCAGCTTCTCCGACACCAGTTCCATCTCCGGCTCCGCTCGCGACACAGTGCAAAAGCCCACCCAGAGCATCCCCGGCATCTTCTCCGACGCTGGCTGGGACAAGATCAACAACACCATCCTCAGCACCAGCAACTGCGGCAACCCCTCGCTACGCCTCTTCGGCTTTGGCCCCACCTCCGGCGACGGCTTCGGCATCGGATACATCATCAAGGCCGACAGCATCTCCATCAGCGTCAGCAGCAAGCACAGACAGACAAAGCGCTTCGTCGACACCCTCCAGAGCTACTTCCTCGAGGTCCGCCACATGCTGCGGCAGACGCAGCGCCGCGCCACGAACTCCGCGGGCACCCGTGCGCGGGAGGCAGAGCAGAACACGGAGGCGGCCAACGCGGCGCGCGCGGCGGCGACCCTGCGCTCACGGAATAGGTCGGGAAGGGCGGTCGGGACGCCGAAGGGGAACTTGAGGCCGAACTTGAATGGCGGCGTGTCGGATGATAGCCATAGTGTGACGAGTAAGGAGGAGAGCGACGGCGAGGGAGGTATGTTGGGTGGGTATGGGTATTTCGATTCGGGGAGTGTTAAGCATCTTCTCAACACCGAGGAGCACCGGAAGCAGGCGGAGCTGAAGGCGGCGGGGTTCTCGAAGAGGGCGGTTGGGAGGAAGCTGAGGCTGGCTGAGTACTAGTTGGGGTTGGAATCGAGGGGAGGATGGAGGAGGGGAGATGCTTGTATGATAGCAAGGTTCTTTACTTACTGCGGGAGTAATTGGGTTTTGGAGGATACTTTTTTTGTTTATTAGCACTCTTTGTAGGTTTTTTCGCGTTTGGATTTATGTTTTTTGTTTATATTCATGTCTTCATCTCATTTTTTGTTTTTATGTGTGAAGCTATATACCTCAATGACTGGAATGGAAAAATTAGATTGTCCACTGGCCCTTTGACCCAGCCAAGAAAGACTCGTATCTGAAATATCCATCCCCACCAAGATATCAACCCCCCTAAATGCCTACCAAGTTTAAAATCCCACAAATAAATGTCTCCGAAAAAAAAAGGAAAGAGAAAAGAAAAGAAAAGAGCTAAAAATGAACGCCCAAACACCCCCGCCCTTGTAAAACAAAAAACGGAAAAAAGCAGCCCCAACCCCCAACCCCTCACAACTCATCATTCCCATTAACCTTACTCCAAATGAGGTGTCCCAGGTTCTTAAACCGCCCGAACTTTCCGCCGCCGGCATCCTTGCCACTGCGGTCCGCATAGCCGCTCACGCTATTTGCATCGTAAAAGTCCTGGTTGTCGCCCCAGACCGCGTCCGCGGCGGCCTCCCACTTGGCCGTGACGTTGACCACCATTTCATCTGTGTACATGAGACGGTACATGGACGGGGTGTACAGGAACTCGATGGGGCGGTCCTGGTCGGCCTTGCGCCATGAGTTGCGTAGGTTGACGGATGCGGTCCCGAAGGTGTTTACGGTGAAGACGGCGGGGATGTAGTCGAACTGTTGCCGCGTTCTCTGTTAGCTTCCTACTTGTGTTGCGGGGAGAGGGGGAGGGGGAGGGGGAGGGGGAGAGGGGAGGCTTACGGTAGTGACCTTGTCACCGAGCAGGCCCCACGCCCAGCCGGCGATGTCGTCGAAGGTGAGGACTTGCGAGCCCTTGATACCGCCGACGGTCTGCATGGTCTTTGCGAGTGGGCGGCCGCCCATGGTGACGGTTTTGACGCCGTGGTTTTCGAAGGCCTCGGAGAAGACGGCGCAGGTGCTACCGCACATGCCGGATGAGAGCTATATATCCTTTATTAGTATCGGGGGCTGCTATACGGGATGGGAATGGGGAGTGAACGTACAAGAATGATATCCTCATCTGCAAACGGCTGCGGGCCCTTATACACAGGCGGCAGCGGCTCATTATCCTCTGCCTCAACCTCAACCGTATCATCAACGGCAATGACCGTAAAATAGTCCCCATCGCGACTCACGGGCCCCAAGAACTCGTTCCAGTCCTTAAAGTCGCTATTATCACTCGCCTTCTTATACTGCCCCAGATCCCAATACGTGGCATTCGTGTCGCTCCCGTCCAGCATCATCGTCGCCAGCGCCGGGTTCCACCGCATGTTACTGGCAAAGTACGTCGACTCTCCGGGGAAGAACTGGCGCACGGCGTCACGCCCTAGCCGCACGAACCCGCCGCCGTTGCCAGACACATCGATGACGATGCGCTTGATGTTCTTGGAGCTGAGGTGCTCGATGGCCGCCGTGATGTTGCCCGAGAACTCGTGCACGAACCCATCCTCAGACCCACCGTTCATGGGCGTGAACGTGTTGATGACGAGCACGCCGACCTGGTCGTTCATCACGTAGAGCATGATCTCGCCGTTGACCATCTGCAGCGCCGGCGTCGGGACGGCATCCCCGCGGCGGACTAGCCCTGCCACACTGGCCGGGAGCTCGCTGCGCGGCTTGTTCTTGACAGAGTCGTCGCGGATGGAGAGCCCGGAGGGCATTGTGTTCTGCGTCAGCTCGGTGTTCTGCATATCTGCGTATACCTTCTCGATCTCGTCCTTGGAGCGCCGGCACACGTTCGTGTAGAACGAGTCTGTGGAGTCCCAGGAGCTGGCGTCGAGCGAGCCGCGCAGGGAGGCCGACCATGTCAGCTCGGCGCTGGTGCCGTTGGCGTAGGTGAGGGTGAGTGTCTCTTCGGTGTAGACGCTGCGTGCGGCGAAGAGGCCCTTCGTGGTCTGGCCGTTGGACGTGCCGACGAGGAGCTGGTTGTAGCGTGCGTCGGGGTCGACCCAGTAGGGCTCTGGATGCTCGTTTGCCATCTTCATGAGGTAGTCCTTTGCGTCCATGCCGTTGATCTTGTCCACCTTCTCACCGACGGTGAAGCCGTCGGAGAAGACCTCGAGGTGGTGGATCGACGGCATCTCGGTGGATGTGTTTGCGACGGACACGATTGGGTGGCCGTTCTCAAACATGAAGGGCATGTAGCACGCAGACTCGTAGACGACGTGGCCGTCGCGGTAGAGCCCAAACAGGTTGTGGATGGCCTTGTCGAAGGCGTAGTTGTTCTCGTAGGCGCCCGAGGTGATGTTCGCCTCCATGGCCTCGAGCGTGGCGTTCAGGTCCACGGCCGTGAGCTCGAGCTGCGGCGTGGGCGGGTGCGCGAAGTATGTTTGGGCCGAGTAGAACTGGAGGAAGAGGCGGAGCTGGGCGACGGTGTCGAGGGCGTCGTCTTTGTGCAGTGGGATGGCCGTGAGGCAGGATTGGGCCAAGTTGGCGTCGATGGCATCGGCGCCTGCGGAGGGAGGAGGAGTTAGTTAGCATGAAGGTTTGCAATTGTGGTGGTGGAGAGGGATAGATGGATGGAGAGATGGAGAGAGTGATACCTTGTGACTTTGCGAACTCTGATGCTACGACGGCACATGGATCGTCATTCGTGGTAGCCTGGAGTGAGAGTGCCAGCGACGACACCAGCAGCAACGCTGTCTTCCCCATATTCGACTTCATTTGGGGCAGCTATCTGTGTGTTCTGTCTGTCTGTCTGTCTGTATGATGAGATGATGTAGGGTGTGGTTTAGTGCTGAAGGAAGGATGAAAGGAATTGATGTGTTTAGAAGAAAGGCTCGGAGCTCACGGAAGAGAGAAAATCAATTTAAAGCAAGCACACCCACACAGCCTTGGGGGGTGAGGGGAATGGGGCCAGACGGGGGGGGGGGGGCAGACGGTGATATACGTGTGGTTATAACTCTGTCTGGGAGCTATGCACACCGAAGTCTACTTTCCGGTGGTGGAGGTGAATGAGATGAATGAGGTGAGGTGCTGGAGGTGGGAGGTGGGAGGTGGGAGGTGAGAGGTGAGAGGTGAGAGGTGAGAGGTGAGGTGCTGGGGTGCTGGGTGCTGGGTGCTGGGTGCTGGGTGCTGGGTGCTGGGTGCTGGCCATGGTGGGATGTGCTGAGGGTGGGAGGATAAGCTGGCACCCCTGTCAGCGCCTCTCGTCCCTCTGTATGGTCTGTCTGTATGGCTTCTCTCTCTCTGCTCTGTATGGCTCTTCCCGCACTGCACTTCTGCACTTCGGTAGCACACGGCTAGGCAGGGATCCCCACCCCTGCCCCTCCCCCTGCAAATCACACACCGGGAAACAGGCTATCTTTACTTAGCAACGGTCGCGGATAACTTTATTCCAACGCTCAGCTCCCTCCCTCCTCTACCATGATCAGAACAAAGAAAGAAAGAAAAAAAAAAGCTACATAGAGAAACAAATAAAAATAATACCAAAACATGCCATACTCCCAATTCCATCTCTCTACCATTCTTCCGTCTCACAGCTAACTAACTTCCGAATCCGTGATCTGCCCGTCCGGCTGCTGCTGCTTGCTGTGCCGCCCGGCCTCGGTCACAGAAAAGCACAATGCGCCCCGTATGTACCGACCGTAGAGGTAAACAGGCAACACAACACACATATAGCAGGGCCCGAAACCGAACTGCGTGGCACGGCGCGGCGCGGCCGCGATCGAATTAATACATCATATGTGCGATGGTTTTGGATAGAGAGCGTTGCATGTGGCGGTGCTGCCTCAGCTGCCCTATTGGTCTTCATGGCCTATCACTCATGTATGCTGCATGTTGTATGGCGGGTAGACATTGCTGGAGATCGAGGGTTGCGCGGGGTTGTTTAGAGGATGTTTAGATCTGGAGATTGAAGGTGTTTAAAGGGCATTGAAGCTGGATGAGTGAATGCTGTCATGTCGCGATACTAACGTTCGCTACACTACACCACCTCTCTTAAACGACCATGGTCATGATCAACCTAACGCCCATTAAACGCCCACCCCAACCAGCATCTTGATCTACTGTTACCCCACCACCACACACGCACGTCTGTGGTAAAATCCTCAAAACCCAATCGCACTCTACCCTCCCACGGCACATACATTCATACATTCAGAAGAACAGCTCATACTCCCGCGTTTCTACTCTCTTTTCCAATTTCCCAATCCGCCAATTTCGGAAACAGCCGACACCCCAAAATAAGCTTTCCACCTCACAAACCAAAAAACGCGGTGATGGTGGTGAGTGGTTGTTGCCTTACCCGGGCCCACCCTAGCTCCCCACCGCTGATCTGATCTATCCTTAGCTACCAGCTAACGGTCGAAGGAACCCTAACCCTGTCAAGTGCATGATGACACTCTTTATTATGTCTAGGGACTAGGGATTCCCTCGTTCTCTCTTCTCGCACGATAATCACTCTACCTGAATACATGTAGTGATATATTATCGATGTGCACATGTAGGGCTGGGTACGTAGAGTACACTTTGCATGTGCGGGGGGCGAGTGCGGCTGAACCTTGTGCAGTTTTTTTTCTTTCAGCTCGTTAGGTTATTTTCGATTTTATCGAGAGAAGTTACCTACATGTAGGGTTTGGGTGCTCGAGCGCCCGGGTTTTTTGGGAGGGAACGGGGTGTGTGTGAGTTGGTGGAGGCGGAGTAGGTGAGTGATAGTTTGTGATGCTACTAGTTACATATAGCTAGGGTCGGGGGTGCTCGGTGCTGCTGTAGAAGGCATCGATTGGGCAAGGGTCTTGAATTGAATCTATGGACGTTACATGGCTGGCCTGTTGGTGTCAAGACTATGAGTGGATACCTCATCCCGTCGTTCATGAGCTGGGGCTATTAGAGCGTGTTCTTGTTAAGTCCTTTGGCCAGAGTTTGTCAAAATCTTGGCGCATGATTTTTTTAGGCTTAGTGGATCACAAGCCATCACTCGCGCCAAGCCGGTGCTATTAAAGGGGGGTGAAGCCGACACTACCCTAGTAGTCCCAAAACAATGCGTGTCTGTGATCGCCAAAACCAAATGCCGCCAAAACATACTGGCATCGAGGGCTGAAATCTCAGGCGAAGCCCCCACTCTTGTGGGGTTTAAGGCTCGGTGAGGGAATTAGTTGAAAGCATGATAGAGATGGGGCTGGGTGTATAGCATTCGCCGCAATAAAAGACTCCGTGCCCTCATGTCGTTACTTGGATAGACATTGCTTCAAAGGTATGGTAGAAAGCTGGGTGGCGTGTCTAGTTGTAGAGAAATTGAGTCAGCTATGTACTGTAGACTCTTAGTACTACTAGCTATCGGCTAGTGTGTTGGTGATATTCGAGGTCCAGCTATCTGACGCCTGGATCCATGGGGGTTCTATTTCTCTTAATACTCGGATGAAGCAAGACGAGAGTGATGATGATTCGATGAAGTCGATGCCACAGCTTAACTTTGTAGGATCTTAAAACTAACACATGTGGTTGACTGGTTACAACTACGTAACGGTCGTAACGTGTCTTAATACCTATTCCGCTAATCTACCCATAACGTTTAGCACCGTGTATAGATGGAAATAGTGTTGATGCGCGACTCAATAGATATTTTTTTAATTGTGCTCTACTCTAGGAAGTTTTGGGGTGTTCTCGATATCGATCCGTTACGGGGACGTGGTTGCTTGTAATCCTGTATGCAGCTGGCGCTTAGACTGCATTCTCTCTAGTCGCCAGCTCAATCACCCGAGCTCTAAAGTTGAGCAGATCCTAATATCCGATTAGAGTACAGTCTTAGCCTTCGTGCCCAAAGACTCTTAACAGTCTGCCGTTCGGGTCCCACTTATTAGTAGTTTCCAACTCACGATCTACTCTCGAGATCTTGCTTGTAAATATTCTGTGCTTTGTTCAAGAACCCCACCCCGATTAAAGAGGTCTTCCAATTTCGCAGCCAGGCTGGTTAATGCTCCCTCCCCATAGTCGGTTGTAGTTCTGTACCTCCCCATATCCTTAGGCCTTTCCTAGTTGCGGTAGGTGGGGCTTTTGCTTCCCGCAGTGTTCGGCTAAGTTATAGTTTAACCTCACTCACTGTAGCTGGGATAGCTTCAGCCGTGCAGTGGTTTTGATTCGTCCACATACTCGAGTCATTCCTTCCTGTACCACTCGGGGAATCTGTTGCCGGCGGAGTGGTATGTAGTAGGCGTGCAACTCGATGTCGTGGCTTCCTGTGCGAACTGAGGAATCCACGGGCTAGCTTGACTATACTTAAACCGTCCTCAGCTAAGCCTAGTGTAGCTAGCGGTTACATTGATTGATGTAAGTAGCGAGTGATAATTCATGATCTACTACGATTCTCAAATCTATGGTGATGCTCGTAGGACTTTTGCAACTTAGAGGCTGTGGTAAACACGGCGGACTCGGTTGTATTGCGGGGGTCTGTCCCTTTTATACCCACCGTGGGACTACTGCCATTCCCATTCCGTATTGAGCGATGATACGTCTTCTCGTCACTACCCTTCAGTCCTCAACTCCGCTCAGAACAACCAGCCCTAAGCCTAAGCAGCCCACCACCACCAAGCAATTCCTAACATGTACAACCAGAATGCCAAGCCCTGTTCGTCGGCCAGAAAATTTACTCTTTGACTATCCCTTAAACCGTCAGGCCAAATTGAAACGAGTTACTCAAACCCTTTATGGTAATCGTGATGTAATATCGTTATGCTGTTGTAACCTGTTACGACTGATCTCAAGTCTCTAGGCGTTGATCTTATCACGATTACCATAAAGGGTTTGAGTAACTCGTTTCAAATTGGCCTGACGGTTTAAGGGATAAAACCACGCCTTCCTCCCACCAGTAAACTTCTTTTTTCCTCAGGGGAGCATTAGGCAAAGAATCCTCCCACAGTGTGCCTTAGGGCCACTGTGGCAGAGGCTGTTTTTTCCTTGCCCTGTTGCTCCCCTCCGCTCTCCCCTCCCCTCTCTCCCCTCCAGAGTGCTCTCCCCTATACCTATAGGGATGGAGCTTAGAGGGACTGAGAGGGATCTGTGGGCCTCCCCCTCTCCCCTCCAGAGTTCTCTCCCCACTGGGGTGTAGCTTGGAGGGTTGGGAGGATCTGTGTGTGCCCCCCCTTCCCCTTCTAGAGTGCTCTCCCCATGGGGATAGAGCCCAGAGTGTGGAGAGGGGGGAGAGTCCACCAGGGAGCGAAGCCCTTTCTCCCCTGCCTCCTCGCCTGCTACCATCTCTCGGGGATGCAGTTAGGCAGGGGTGGAGAGGACCTGTGGTCGCCCTCCCCCCCCCTCTTGCCGGCATGTGTGGGTGCCCCCCGTGCCTTCCTCCATGAGGAGGAAGGTGTGGTCCCTCCTGCCTGGTCTCTGGGCACGGTCCCAGAGATCACCCACAGACCGGGAGAGACCTGACCCCCCCACTCCCGCCATCCTCCTTGCCCCCCTCTCGCCCCGGTGGGTGCCGCTGCGCCTTCCTCTACCAGGAGGAAGGTGCAGTGTAGTCCCTGCCTGCCTCCCCCCCGCCTTGCCGTCTTTGCTGCCCGCCGCTGGTGTGTGCCGCTGTGCCGTCCTCCTAGTGGGGGAAGGCATGGCCCTCCTGATCTCTGGGGCAACACCTAGGGATCGGGAGGGAAACGGCACCCACCGGCGGCCTGCCTCTCGCGGGTGGCTGTCTGGCGTGCCCCTCCTCCTAGTGGAGGGGGAGAAGGGGCCCAGCCCCAAACGGTCCCTAGGGTAACACCTAGAGATCAGGAGGGGAGTGGCACCTCCCCGCTGCCCCCAAGCGGTCCCAGGACCCTCTCTCCCCCCACGCGCCGCCGCCGCTTTCCCCCGCAAGGTGGGAAAAATCGCAGTGCCCTCTTGACCTCTGGGCCCTGTCTGAGGGGTCGATAGGGATCCCGCTGCGCCTTTTCCTGCTCATGGGAGGTGGCGAAGGCCGAGTAGTCCCCTGCTGCGGCCTGTCCCCGCCCACAGACCGCGGCCCACACCCGTGGTTAGTCCCCCCCCCCCCCTCTTTGTCTTCCCGCCCCCCGGTCGTTGTCTCCGCTTTCCTCCGTAAGGAGGAAAAAAGTGCAGCCCTCTTTACCTCTGGGCGCTGTCCGAGGGGTTAATAAGGATCCAGCTGTAATCTTTTCCTCTTTGTGTAGAGAAGGGGTGGCGGGGTGCACCAAGTAGTAGTTGTCCCCCCCCCCCGGGCCCCATTTCTTGCTCATCGTCTCCGTCTCTGCAAGGAGAGAACAGCACAGCTCCCTCTTGACCTCTGGGTGCCCTCCGAGGGGTCAATAGGGATTCGGCCGTGCCATTTCTTTCTTTTAGAGTTAAGTAAAGGTTAAGTGCGCTTGTAGTACTAGTCCCCTTTCGTCCCGTATTTTAGGTAAGTATGCAGTCTCGTTCCCAGACTCTTTTGCATTCAGATATACAGATATCGTCTAGAACTAAAGCCAGTTTGACTAGATGTATGTAAAAGTAGAGAGAGTCTGTAGTCCTATCACCCTCGTAGATTGACCTCCGAGCTAATCCTCCAGATTTTAGCCCTCAGGCGACCGCAGCATAAGTAATTCACATCTAAATATAAAGGATATAGCCAGAAGATCGTACTTTACCGTCGGCAGAGCTAACTGCCGCCCTGTTGCAATCTTAATGGCGATAACTATGACCGAGTGATACCCCATGATGCATTCCCTCCACGTGAACCTCAACCATCAAATACCCAAGGCAACGTTCTCATGACTAGATAATACCTAAGTATATCTCCAAGTTGCGTAATGCTATTGGGGCAGTTATACTGCGCAGACAACCAGACAGCTATTCTCGAGTCTACCCTAGGTGCGAGTAGCTAGCCCCGCGACACCGACAGCAATTTATGTCCCTGCAAGAGGGGGGAATAAAGAATATGTAGGGTTGTAGAGGGATCTAGCGGTTGGTCTGGCTGGTTGGGTGTTCTTTGGAATTGCCTTCTGCTGCTGATACTTTGACATGGCCTGGGGATGTCAGTGATCATCCAGCTTGTATTCTGACATATGTGCGCATAACGGCATCCTTGGGAAAGCATGAAGGTGCCGAAACAAACGGCCTACAGAGAAGATTAACTATAGAGATGTATGGCGAGGTTATTGGTGGAGTCTCGGGGTCTGTAGGTAGGGTTGTTGTCAATGCTCAGTTACGTAGGGCTTCGCGGAATATATGGGCATACACAGGCCTGTATACTAACCTCTAGATTTGCTAAGCAGTACATGGAAAGCTTGAGCGCAGGTCTATCTCCAGATGCGGGTGTTGGTGGCTTTCTATTAATTATTGATACCGTAAACCAATGATTGAGCCGAGAGGTTGGTGTTTAGTCTGAGATAACAAATTGAGCTTGTCGCGGTAAGTGGGACGTAACAACTGTAGATAAAGGACAATAATGACAGTTGGCTAAATTAGATGAGCGGATATGTTGTTATTCAAGTAGCTAGTGAGATAATACCTGTCTTTATTGTGGGTAAGTTAAATAATTGACTACATGACTCTGTCCTTTGAAATAAATCACGTCTTACCGATCCATCAACAACAAACTGCAGTGGCTCAGATAAAACATTCGTCAAGCTACTCACCAAAATGATTTACAGTAAGGCTATTATGTTATGCCTAGATGCGGTGTTTTTGTGTGTTCATCTCGCCTCTTTTTCCATTTCGCAGCATGTACTGCTGATAACAACGCATTCCCTGATTAATGCTAATTCGCTCATATATCGATGATTTATTTGCATCATATCGCGCTTATGGCGCAATGCTACATGCCTTTAGAATTATGTAGCTAATTCCATACATGTAAGTAAGTCCCCTATTACACAATATCGACAAATTGTGGAAAAATTTTTGTAAAGAAGAAACAAAGGAGACAGAAGAAAAAGAATATGGCCTGAAAGGGCTAAATGAGAGCACATAAAACGATATCAGCATGAAATTTTTTATCTCTCGGGCCTCGACCTTTTTGTTTTAATAGCTAATCTCTACCTCAGTCCTTCTTATACCCGATGTCGGCCCAAGTCTTCTAAAGCCCAGGCTTTGGCAACCCAACAAACAGCGCACTAAGTTGAGCGTTCCTTGTAGGCTTGTTGTTATCGTCCGCCTGGGATGGCTGAGGGGCCCTCTTTGGCGGTGGTGGCGCAACAAGAGCCGGCTGGTGTTCGTTACTGGGAAACGCAGCATCGGCGCAAAACCCTCTGAGAGGAGCATAATATCGATTAGGGTGTGTAATGTCGTCGTCGCTGTCGTCCATTAACCTGCGGGCCTTCCTGACTGTACTAACATTGTGTTCCCGAGCATCTTGCTGCTCCTCCCTTTTCCTCTTCTGAGCTTGCTGGATCTCGTAGCACTCACGGACAAAGTCGTTGTTTGACCGATACCTTGCTGAATCTTCCTTCTCCTTGAGAAGTCTGGCTTCACGGCGCTCGGCGATCTTTTGCTGCTCGCGGAACTTTAGCTCCTCTTTCCTGTTTTTGAATTTACGGCCAGGAGCCAGGATTGACCTCTCGTGGTCCACATGGCATTTGTAGCACATGACCTTTTCTAGAGAGACTGGAACCGTGCATTGATTGCACTTAATATCATCCAAATTGACTGGTTGAGGATCTTCCGCGCTCTTGTCTAGGGCTTTTTCCTTCTTATTATCTGCGAACTGCCTTTGAATAAACTCCTTCAACGCCTTGTTGGCAGCTTCTCTAGACAAAGCGTCCTTCTCCTCACGCTCCGCAGCAATGGCCTTCTGCATCTCAGCAGCCTTCTCTTCAGGCTTCATATCGGGAATCTTAGTCTGTTCCATAATATAGTGCATATTCTCACGGATGTCTCGGCCCATTTGGAGGGCGTACTTGAACAGTTCCATATCCTTCTATTTTCTTGTTAGTACGATACTCTATTATTAGAAACGCCAATGATCGAGTTGACATGAAACAATAGGATTCGAACAAGCATACCTCAAACGCTTCCAAAGCCAAACAAGCTTTATGATAAGTTCCAGAATGCATTCTGTACTTGTTCATCTCATACTTCTCCTTAACCTCCTTGAGGAATTTATCGATGACAGGGAGCATGGGTCCTTTATACTCGATGGAGTTGGCGTGTCTGATGATGGCAATGATGGACCATTCTTCGACGTCTTTGATCCCAATTGGGATTTCAGAGGATGATTCGGTGGATTTGACTGGAGAAGCCATTTTGATGAGGCTATAGAGAGGTGTGGAGAAATATTTGTTTGAAAGATGATTTGACGAGAAAAGTGGGTGATCGTGGGACGATCAGATGGAAGATCAGATGAAAGTCGAGTGAGAATGGATGTTTAAGTTATGGATCACGAGACTGTGTGAGAATACGAGAGGGTGGGTTTTAGAAGAGAATTAAGAGAGGTTAGGGAAATAAATGTCTAGGGTTCGAGGCTCTTGATGTTTAGATAGAAGGATTATTGGCTGTTCGAGAGATGGATTAACAGTGATGAACAGTGATAAAGAGGGATGAATCAGATGTCAAGTGAGGATTTAGAAAGAAGCGATATATGGAAGGGAGGGGGCTGAACGGGACGGGAGTGGGAAGAGAATACGCACAAGCAATTCTTTTAGGGAGGCTCTGGTCAGTCTAGTTCGTAGAATGGGAAGGTTATTGGTATATGGGCTCTTACGTCAACCAACCCGTTAAACTTTGCAGCCTGATTTTGCGTCTTTTCTTAAACTACATGTACCATTGAATGTAAATTTAATCTTATGCAAACTCTATGTATCCCAACAGCGCTGGATGTCAACCACCAACACACCATAATTTGGAAGCTTCAATTCAATCCTATTCTTACCTCAAACGCCCGTCAGGTGCTACAAATACAGGCTCAGATTTGTACAATTGTGTTCATTGGCCATTCGAAACCAATCCTAATGTCGGTACTAAAACTCCTCCTTTACATCACTGACCGCGACCTCACTTCGAGTTCGCCGCCGCCGCAAAAACCCAACCATACCCAAGTAATCACCGCGGGTTACAACAGTAATTGGCATAAAGAACGGGCTGATCCGAAGATAGCGGAGGCGAAGTCTAAAAAACGAGAGAAGAACGAGGACAAGGGCAAGGGAAAGATGACATTAGTTAAGGTATTTATAACTCTGTTCCATGGTTGGCTTTATTGTAAATGTAGCGGTGTTAATATATTATATTCTTTGCAGAGACTGCGTAGGAAATCCGGCACGGGCAGTGAGTGAAGATGCTGGATAGCAGGTATTTGGACTGGTGGGTGGTAGCTGGGGTAAGCGCTCAGCCAGATAGGAGAATACACAATGGACAGAGTGCTAGGGTTTGAATAAGACATATATCGATGGTCTCATTTATATCCTTGTATTAGATCTGAAGATTATTTACATAACCTCACACTTGTTATTGGACTGGAGATGTCAATATTTGAGTTGCGAGACCCTTATCTAAGTCAAACAAAGCCTGAATATCAGAACTCTACCCGTTATACCACAGTAACACAGTGCCTAGTTATAGAAACATCCCCTCCGATATTCGATCCTGCCCGTAACAATAAATATGTTTGATCACTATAGCTATCACCGCTACTTCCAATATCACTTGGCCATCCGCGGTCCAGTGAAGGGATGGCCGGTTTATAATTTACTTTTCTATTTTGTCAGTGTAAATATTCTATATAGAGAGGACTCTAAGAAGTATGATATATATCTTCATAATATAATAGCCAATTAATCATACATATGCCGCTTGCCAGCAGCTGGGTCCTTTTGCATATCGGTGGTATTCTAGAATCCGAGCCAGGTGCAAAATTCTTACGTGCTACCTCGAAATAATTTGTTTACAGAAATTTGATTCTGAATATGCCAAGCCCAGCTTCCAATCGGTCTAGTTTCGCAGAGCTATATAAATATGCCCTCCGCAAGCTCCTCTCAGAGGGCCCATTACTCATATTATAAATAATCACGCCATAGATCCTCACAACAGCACCATTCTGTCACAGCCACAAGACAATTGAAGCCAGTCATGGGCATGGAATCCACATTAACATGCCTCCTCACCCTTCACCCTGTTCTTAGCATACTAGTTTCCTACATCTCGAAAAAAGATCTTAAAAGGCTCGCCCTTACCTCCCGCAGCACCTACCAATCCCTCGGTCTCAATGATCCGTCAAGAGATTACTGGAAGTTTCTCGTCTCCTGTACAAGAAAAACCTGCATGTTCCAAGAAACATGTCAGTTTGATCACCATGGGGACCCTAGTCTTTTGAGAAACGCTCTCAAGTCCATTCCTAAAGATACCGATGAAATTATCCTATGCGTAATTCATGAGGTGGAGACCTACACTGTATGTATATAATAATCACTCACACACGCCCTATATATGGTTCTCCAATCTCTAACTCCTCTCTTCAAGGACTGCACAACATGTAACGACTTCGACTACGTCTCAGCTGTCTACAGGAAAGCAATGCTCACGAGCAGGCGCAGGCACCACCAAACATTATGTACCAAGTTTAATTCTGAACCCCCTTGTTTTTGCGACTCGGCAAACGACGAAAATGCGGTCTGGATGTGTGTGCCCTGTTGGGAAAAACATAAAAAAGCGAGTCTTGAGTACAAGTACATGCGATACGTGGAGGCCTGCGCCATAGAGGACAGCCATCTCCCGGCCGATAAAGATTTGCTAGAGATTTTAGCCCAGGATTTGACGATTCGTAGGGTGAGGAATCGCGAGTGTGAATGTGGACAGTGGGCGAACGATCCGGAGGTGCCTGATCAATGGCTTAGTTGTAGTTGGTGTAGGGGGTCAATTCGGATTTTGTGACTCTGAGGTTCTTGGCTACGGCGCGCGCTCTCCTTGCCTAATTGATTAGATTATTTCTAGAGCCATCTGCAGTATAACAAAAAGAGATTCGACCGAGTATTATGTCATATAAGTCAACGAAAGGTTATGTTAGAGATTGTCGTTTCCTTTGGTTGTTATTCTGTTATTCGGTGATTGTGATATGGTTTTATGATTTTGATATGTTCTAGGTACTTATTATTGGGGGTTGTTTTGTGATTGTGATATGTTTAATTACCTCCATAGCAGTGCGGCGATAGTAATTACAAAATGAAGAATAGGCTGCAGGAGCCGCTTATTTTTATTTCCATTTATTTTACTTGTGGGGAGATGTATAAGCATGAGAACAATAAAATAGTGGGAATTAAGAAGGAGCCAAACTCCGTCTGTCGAAAAATGCTGCCCACCCCAAAGTTGATGGACACCAAACAGTTCGGTGTGCTTTTCTTATAAAAAATTAACCATTCAACCTATTACGACTTCCTATTATACGGTGGGACGGAAGCTTCTTAGAGAATTATCATTAGACTTTAACTTGGCTAGTGTTGTCGCAAGGCTTATTGGGCGTGGTGATGTACTCTAGTGAGTCTTAAGTATCAAATGCCAAGAGAAAGGACCCGAGTGATAAATGGTGAATATAATTTAGTTCTTGGCAACCATTTGGTTCCTTAAACAGACCCAACACCAATACCGTACACACACACTATCGTTCATGAAAATGATGTTATTACCATTATCAGAACCACTGAGGAAAAACCAAGATAAACCCCAACCCAAATAACCCTCGCTTGCCAATAACTTTCACACTCTTACAAGTCGAAACACGCACTCGAAATACTACTACGAAGCTATGGACAGAGGTTCATGCTAATAAATAAGAAGCAAATAAAAGAACAAAAAACAGGAGATTATTCTTCTTTCCCATACTGCACTCAATCCCTATGCGTCTAACCGCAAAAAAGTATTCCAGCTTTTATACCCCACCCCATCAATAGCCCCACCCAGTAAAAAAGAAAACAATATTGATATCGTGCGCTATTTAATAGATTCTCCAGTTATCACTCCACTTCAGGTAGCTGTATTGACTCGCTGCTCCCTCCATACCCCATGAAATGGGGAGAAACAAAACATATACGCCAATAACAAGCGAGTAGGCAACCGCATATGCCGAAAGAGCTGCCACCTTTGGCAATTTGCAACAGACGTGGTTGAATACGAAGCCAAAGACCAAGATAGCAAAGTAGAGTGCTGGGTAGTAGTGGTGGACGTAGGTGACACGGGCCATAGCAATGAAGGGTAGGTAGTGGAGAACCCAACCAATAACCGGGTAAAGTCCAGCGTAGTGGATATGGTCAATACCGGCTATTTGGATTCATTAGTTTAGAACATATGGAGAAAATTAAGGGAAGATACATACCTTGGTCAAGATCGGCATAACCGCGCTGCCATCGGACAAGATAAAACAATACCATCAAGACAAGAGCACCTAGGGAGGCGGTAGAACCCCAGTAAACCATTGGATTGCCAAGGAGAAAGTATTTGACAATGCCATCATCCCAACTGCACATCCTCAGCCCAACATGGAGAATAGGCCATTGCCAGTACTGGGATGCGAGGTCGTCTTGCTTGTCTGGGTCAGGAACAAGAGCATTGTTTGAAGTCATCATGGCAACGTTTAAGTGAACAAAGTCACGGAGGAAAGGCGACTTGTAGGCACCGACATCAGCCTTGGGGAGCTTTTCGTTCCAGTGAGATTCAACGTTCCAGTGAGTAAACACATCACGGGGATTATTCTTCTTGACACAGGTGACTTCAATCTGCTTGAAACCCCACTGTGGGAGGTTCACATTTCCGGCACGGAGGTAACACCCGAGACTGCTGTGTTTAAGACGGAATGCTGTGGTGAGAGTCCTGATCTTGCTGTGGTCCTTGCTTGCGGCGTCGTTGACAACCTCGACAGTCCAGTGATCCTTGTCATCACCAACGGTCATATTTCCATAACATGATACCTCGTTGTCTGCTTTGGTAATGGGTGCCTGCACAGTGTGAGAGTGAAGGTTTCTACCAGTCTGTGCGTGGATGAGACGGATGACGTCACCATTGCCGACATATCGAAGAACGGGGTCTTCCGGGTTATAGTCTGGTTGGTTACGGGCAGGGTTGAAAAACCAGTCATTATTGGAGTCCTTATGGTGATAGCAGGTCACCTGCTGCTGTGTTGAACCCTCGGGATATGTCTGAACGTGAGAGTGAAGAAGACCACCACCATAACCCATATTCTTGATGGTCACACGAGACCCCATAACAATTTCAAGAGGGGATTCTTTGATTTCTGAGCCTCTAAGATTGGCCTGGAAGAGTGAGCTCATCTGGGCATCACCGGGACCGGAATTCTCTAGGATGAGGAAGTGGACCCAGAAACTGGCCATGTAAACCATGGTCGGGATTACGATGAGACCGATGACACGGGCGATCCAATGTTGCGCATAGGTGATCTAAAAATTATAAGCCTTGATCCACCGCGACCGCATACAAAAACATACCTTCGGCATCTTAAGATCTCCAAACTTATTCCAGAGATCCTCAATAGTGTATAACCCAACCAAAGTGGTAACAAATAATCCGACCCATTTGACACTGCACACACATCCAATCGACAATCCGGTCAAGACAATCCAGAGCCACCATTGGAACGAAAACGATCGGCTTTGGAGATTGTGGAACCGCGCGAAGCAGAGCATAGTCGTGAAGGTAAAAAACAAGAGCATGGAGTCGAGCAAGATAAACCTACTAATGGTAGTGTACGAGTTTTCTACACGAAGTGGTCATTAGCTATGCAACATCGTACAAAGCTCTGGTGGATACACAAAAACTTACCACATAGTACCATCAATGTAACCAACCACGTCGCCTTAGTTGAGAACCTGAATTCCTTCGCAGTGTAGTACGCAAGCGGAACACAGAGTGCGCCGAATGCAGCGTTGAAAACCCTCATGAAAGTGAAGTTGACATCCGCCGGGTAGTGATCTCCAGACTTGAACTCAAAGGAACCATTGTAACCTGCAAGGTACCCTGAGAGGCCAACAAGCATCTTTCCTAGGGGAGGATGCACATCGAAGTAGAATTCACGCTTCAGATAATGAGAGCCGAATTTTCCAAAACTATAAACACCCTTGTAAGTTTCCGTGATCGTCGGTTTCCTTTGTGCCCCACCCAAAGAACTACGTACTGAGCTTCATCCCACGTAACTACGTCAGAAAGTCCAATTTTATACAGCCTTGTGAAAAACGACAAGATTGTGAACAATAATGGAGCTAATATAGGCTCAATATCGATCCCTCCAGCTTGTCTCTATAATTCCCGTCAGCTTCCATATTGAAAGGGGCATCCGATCTGGTGGATAGCGCAGCAAACTTACAACAGGCTTAAGCTCCTTCTTCCTATCTTCAGCATCAGTTACAACTATTGGAGGTCCATTGAGATCCGGAGCCACTGCTCTCCTTCTCGCGGCGTCCTCGCCAAACTGGGCACCTGTAGTCGCCATGGTCGCGCTATCTCTCCTCTGGCGCTGGTGAGAAGCGAGTTAAATTCCAATTTAAGGCTTCAAGTAAATAAAGCGGTATGTGGTAGAGTAGTGTGGTTCGAAAAAACAGATGTTATCTAAACGAAGGAAAGAAAGAAAAAACCCCTAGAACCTCAGAAGAAAGAAGGGGAGGAAGAATCAAGGGGAAGAAGAAGAAGAAGCCCACTACGAGCAATTCTTGCTACAGTTCTTTGCAGGGGGTGTGGAAAGTGAGGCAAACCACCAGCCCTGTGGCTAGAAATTGTTCCGATAACCCCTGCCAGCTGCCGCGTACATTTGAGAACAAGCAACGCGGCTGAACGAGACACGGTTTCCTGTTCAGCAGCCACGTTCGTCAGCTTCCTTATCGTGCCATGGCAAACCCAGCATCCAAATGTGCTAAATTCCCTCTAATATCCACCACTGTTTAGAGATGTCCCAGACGTGTAATGGAAGCATGTGCTCGATGGCAACGGGGAAGGCCCGCCCACTGGCATAGCCGAGAAACAGCTTTCACAGATAGACTGAACTGTACGCACATACTGTAATCTCATATTATTTATTATTTGCACCAGGTTCTGTAGCTATTCCGGCAAACATAGTATTGCACGTGCGACGTTTTAGGAATGTTTTAATGAGTGACTCCTGTCCTAATCCGGAGCCTTGTCGCCAAATAGGCTAACAAAGGCCTAGCTTCCATTTCAGGTTGATGCTAGTTTCTTTCCCATGTAACGTTTTATCACGCCCAATCATTTGAGATCACTCGCCTCCCATTTCTAGGCCAAGAAGACAATCTGTTCAGTGGATCGGCTCATACCCTCCTTAATTCACCACTCAGTACCCCTAGCACCACCCAGGACCCAATCGTTCACATCTAGGTTAGATGATAAATAAAGCACATGTACTCTATGTATGTACGTAGGCACATTCACGGAATTGCCTTTCTAGGTTGAGTGGCGCGCTCACAATACCACTATGTTCATGATCAAGTACCAGATCCTGACCAGCTGCAACCACCATAAAAGATATTGAACTTATCTGGATAGCGCAAGACCGCATATATTTAGCGAAAGCCTCAGCCAGGAAGTAAGAGCGCGCTCGCTCCATAGATTCAATGTAGATGTTATACTACGAGTGACAGTTCATGTAAATACAGGTAAGTTATCAAACACGATTAATGACATCAAAAACACCGGCTAACAAATGCCAACAACTTTTAATGACGTTCAATATACTCCTCCAAACCAACTACATAGTTAAGTTAATAAATACACCGGCTAACACCCTTTCAAAAGAATCAAGAAAGAACCATAACAAACACAAACCCGGAAGAGGGTATTTAATAGAAATTGAAAAAAAGGGAATGAAAAAATGAAAAAATAAATAGCTAATAACAGACTCCCACCCAGCTGCAACCCGCCAGGGGTCCCTATTAGTTTCAATTCAAGACACAATGGCCTTTAGTACTTTCTGCCTTACGCCCTTGATTTCTCGCTCCTTGTCTTTGACCTTCTTCTCCAGTTCTGCTACTCGCTTCTTCAGGTCTTCCACACTCTCACTACTGCCTGAGTCGTCAAACCCTTCCAGACCGTCCAATTCCTTCAGTCCATTGTCATCGTCATCTCCCAACGTGCTCAGGCCACTATTGATTCGGCCAAATCCCGTGGGCCCCAATGTCACCACCTGCGAAAACTCCCCCTTCACAGGTCCTAACATGACACACCACCTAACATCATATCGAACCCCACCATCGTCCAAGTCATCGTCATCTCCCAACAGATCATCGATATCAGCTCTCCTCTCTCCACCAAGCTTGGTAATCCGCAACTCCCTACAACCTCCCTCGCCCGTAGGGTCATCTCCGCACCCCATGATCGTTGCTATAGCCCTCTCCTCGGCTTCCCCTGAGTCTGGCCATGACCGCCGTAAACCGGCAACAACGCGCTCCGCGATCTTCTTTGACTCTTCAACCCCGAGTAGTGCACCATCCGCCTGGAGTAACGCAACCGAAAACTTGCGCTCGACGTCTTCAAGGCCCAGGCTGGACACACCAGAGGTGTTATAGCTTGTACCGTTGTCTTCACGACCAAGGGGACTCTTTGCACGTTTCCAGGGGATGCCGTTGCCATTGATATGTGGATGTGGCGTGATTGCGCTTGACGGGGATGCCATGCTGATATGGCCACCTGTACGTGCCGGAACAGTTAAATGTAGCTGCTGCGGGCGGAATGTGTACTGATGTGGTGGAGCATGGGTTGCAATTGGCGTTGACATTGGTGTAGACGTTATACCAGATCCGCCGGGACTAAGATCAATTGTGTGGCCCTTCCCTGTCGGGTTTGCGGGGAACGTTGAGAACGGACCATCACGGACTGAGCGGTTGCTTGGAGGGCGCCCACGAAGCTTGCCAGTGAGTGGGTTTCCAGAGGATGGCCATGCGGAGGAGACAGCAGGCCCGTGACGGCGACGAGAGCGCGGTTTGGAGCCAGATGCGGGGGTAGTAGGGGTTGGGACTTCATCAATAGGGGTTTGGTTGCCCTCGTTGGAGGTTAGGATTGTTATTGGCGGGTGCGCTGTAGATGGGGTTGTTCCTTCTCGTGGAAAGGCGCGCCAGCGGAATTGCTGTCCCGCACCAGAGGCACTGGCCCCTCCCCCGCTAAGAACTGATTGGGTGGCCGCCGCCCATGGGTCCGACTCGTCGAGATACCTGTTCATTTCGTCCGCACCGCCGGCAGAAGAAACAGCAGACTGTGGGTGAGGCGGAAAGAGAGCAGTACTGAAATCAATTGCGCTGTTAGGGTCTGCGGTTGAGGGAGTTGGTGTCTCAAGATGTGGTCTTTTTGGATCTGGTATGTCCTTATCAGTCCCATCATCATCTTTGTCGTCTGTCTTCCGGCGACCGCGTTTGGGGCGAGTTTCGGGATGAAGAGCACGGAGGGCAAGATCTTCTTCGAGAGGCACGCCATCACGCATCTGGTCTTGCGTTGGTGAGGATGTATGGTGCGGTATTTGTTGGTAGTAGGTATGTGGCTTATTTAGGATGTATTCGAAGAACGCATCTATATGCATTGCGTGCATCCACCGCTGGTCTGTATATTAGAATCGAATTCCTAAACGAAAAGGAACTGAAATTGTACCTTCAATCTAACAGCATACTGCTGTACCTTCTGCGCACTCTGGTCCGCAGTCCTCTCTACCCCCAATTCTGTCGCCAGTTTCGTCCATGTCTTAATTTCCTTGCCCTCAAACTTCTCAATCAATTGCAGCAGATGATGTACGTTGAACACCTTCCCATCGCTCTTTGGCGGCTGCCGGAATGCCTTCCGTAGTTCTGTAGTATCGCAGTTCAGCGGCACCGAAGGGTTACAGTAGAGGATGAACGAGACATAAGCATCATCCAATGTCTCATCTGTAACCGTCCGGTCTGGCAAGCTCCGATCGGTCGGCGTGAATGCTGGAAGTATCTTTGGTGGGGGAGGTACAGGACTCGAAGATGCAAATCTCGCACCCCCGTGGTCTTCTAGTGGGAATTGAGTCGCGCAGCGCGCGATGTCGGTATACATTTGCCGCGGGGTCTGCTGGGTCACGAAGTGATTCTGCTGCTGGACGAGCTGTTGTTGTTGTTGCTGCTGCTGCTGTTGCTGCTGCTGGTGGTTATGATGCTGAAGCTGCTGTGGATCAGCGCCGCCATGGGTATCTGGCGGGGGAGGAGTGTCAAGAGTAGGGTCTATAGAGATTTGTCCCTGCTGTTGCCCAGATTGACGGCCGAAGGTGAAATTAGGAGTAGTATTTACGTTTTGCGCGTGGTCGTTAATGAAGCCTGTTTCATCGACAGAATCGTCATCTTCCTCATCTTCCTCTTCTTCCTCTAACTCCTCTTCTTCCTCCTCTTCCTCTTCTTCGTCGCCGAGCGAGTTTGGGTATTGCTCTGTGTCCATTCCGTCGAGATTCGTGAACAAAAGAGACTGAGCTCTTACTTCAGAATTAGATTCCGCCAGATCTGGGGAGGCGCGCGCGGGCGGCCAAGTCCTTGATTCTAAATATGGAGGTGGTTTATTTATTGATCGACCTTTCCCTTCTCAGGTGCAGGCTCCGGGGTTAGCTATGCAGGGCGCGGCGGTGTCACGAATTTGAAGGTCGGGGAAGCGAGTAGTGGTGGGTCGTGCGTGGTGAGGTGACCTGGCTGCAGGGTCTTCTTGCGAAGGGGGCTCTTTCGCGCGAGAGATTCGTCTGCCATTCACAAATGGGAACATTTAGCATAGTTGTGAGGAGGGGAGGGGGCGAAAGAAAGGGGTGTACGAGAAAGGGGTATTGGAGGGGGTTAGAGTTATTTCGAGATGAAGCTTCAGACTTGATCAGCGAAAGGTAAGGAAGAAGAGAAGGCGAAGCAGTCAACAATAGATGGGCCAACAAGCTTAAGACCAATAAGAGTATTATCATAATTGTACAGTACAGGTACGACACACAGCAGTAATAAGAAGAGCTTGAATTAATGGGGATCGATCTCGGAGGTGCCTCCCATAATTTTCAATATAGGTAAAGTAATAGCAGAGAAAGCTATGCATACATACATCGCAATTATTTGTTGTGTTGTATAAAGCCCCAGCTAGAATATCTAGATGGCTCTTTTCTGCATGGTGGTGAAGCAGCTAGGTACGGCTCTATTATTCCCCCACTTGTGAATTTTGTCTGGAAGTTAAGCGTAGCAAAATGAGCTTGAAAGGGTCAATCTTGGATCGAATCGACTTAGGGAAAAGATGGATAAAAAAGAACTTACCCTGCCACCCCTTATATAATCTATCTTAGCAGCACTCGTTTGTAGGTAGCATGAGTGTGGTGGGCGTTTAAGGTGTTCCTTCCAGCTTCCCCTTACAGTTGACTGTGCTTGCTCTAAATATGGCAACAAGAGTGCATACAAGTAGGTTGTATTCTGTTTTGCTTTAATGCATCTGCAGGAAATACGAGAATGCCATCGTGACTGCCTGCTTGCCTTTCTTAGATCTGGTTCCGCGAGAGTCCTTCCGATCGATGTCTATCGCTGCGATGCCCATTGTTTCCTCGTTGTCGCTGGTTCGTTATGTGCCGGCATTGGCTGTTGTCGCCGGCCGGGTTCACAACTTGTGGAAGCGCACCGGTCGTCTCGGCCCGATACCGATTTCACTGAGGCTCTGGGGGTGTCTGCAATCATTTGATTGTGTCCGAGTGAGTTGTGGTGATAAAGAGCTCCAGCTATCATTACGATTTGAATCAGAGACCAAAAGACTGGCCCCGAGGAACAAAACTGAGGCTTTTGAGGTTTGGACATTCTTCAAGCAAGTACTATGTAGTAACTCATGCATGACATCTGATTCGTCATGCACTCTTACTAACCAGTGCCGTGCCTCAAAGTTTTATGTAGCAACTATGATTGATACCAATACTTAACCATGCTATTGTAATATGGCCAACAGGTCAAGACTTATTCACTCAAAACTCACCAATAAGCTCTGCGCTCGGTAATAACGCATTAATCGTGATTACGAGGCTTCATATCAGCCGGTGTACGTACGCAAGGACAAAATCACAAGGCTAGAAATGTTGCTGCCGCAACGACCGCGACATTACAACTACCGTATTCAAAATTTAGAGTCCTAACCTAGGTTCGATTCGGAACTCTCTACGCTGCTTATTGAACGGATTAGTATACATACAATCGTGCGTTAAGATCGTGCCTAAGTAGTGTATGCAGGTCCAGTAAATTTAAAGTGAACAGGCAACCAATTTCAAAGATGGAGGTTTACCTGAACTATGCGTATGCCTACAATGATGTTATTAACAATTGAATGAATTTGATCTGTTGAGAACTACACACGATTAGAGTACTGGGACGAGCCGAAGATATCCTTTCCAGATCCTCCAAGGTTTCTGGTATAAAAATACACTGGGTCGTCTTTTTTTTTTTTTTTTTTTGTTCTTGGTGTGGTTACGGGTACGCAAAACACAGCATAAAATGGCAGGCAGACAAGCAAGCAGAATCACGATTTCAGAACACCCACCAGGAACGAATAAAGAAAAACAGAAAAGAGAAGAAGAGAAAACTTTACACATTTTGAAATACACCTATCCTATGACACAGCTAAGTCACCATCTATCTTTATTGTTTGCATCAGATAAAACACTCCCCCTCGCACAAAGGTTCCTCTAAACCTTCAATCCAAGCTCCTCCGCATATGGCAACATATGCACGTCTCCGACAGCAGCGTATGTAGCCTTTCCGCCAAGAATGCTCTTGACAGCCTATCACATGATATATTAGCGCAACCCACAAAAAAAATGGTCAAAAGCCTAAAAACATACCTTCTTCACAGCATCCAATGTGACACCTTCCAAACCCTTAACAGTGTCCGCCACCTGTGGCGCACTCCCACTAGCAATAACAGCCTGTCCAATAACCTCCAAACCGATAGACCTGTCCTCAATAGCCGCAAGGACATCGTACTTCGCCTGGGCAATAGCCTTCTTGACATCCTCCGCCTTGACATTAGCCAACTCGTTGATCGCCTTAACCGCCGCGGTTCCAGCCGACTTCAACGCTGATGCGGGTCCAGAGATTGTGATGTGGAGGAGACCGGCGTCGGTGTAGGCGGAGTGCTTGGCCACAGCAGATACGCCTTGAATCCCAGCAGTGGTCTGAGAAAGCAGTGAAGATCCGGTGCTCCACTTGATGGTGGACTGTCCACCCAAGAGATAGGCAAGGACAGTGTACTCCGGCTGGAACTTGGGGGCGCCAGCACTGCCAGGGAAGGCGATGGTAAGGGCGTTTCCTACAGGAGTGTAGACACGATTCTCACCTCCGTAGTACTTAGCGGGGGTGGTGGAAGGACCGTTGCCGGCGGGGACATCAGCGAGGAACTCCTTAGTCCACTTCTCAAGGGCAGCTTGGGGCGCTCCAGAAGCGACAATAGCGATGTTGCCGCGAGTGTACACAGAGGCGGCGTATGATGGAACGGTGACATCGTTGAGGTACTTCTTGGTCAGGGCAACGGTGGGTGACCCAAGACCATTGTGGAAAGCGACGTTGTGAGCATTCTCAAGCGCAATGCTTGAAGCGGTGTGGGCATGGTTATGGAGCTCGTATGAGATCGTCTCGGACACTTCTTCGTCGAATTCGTGGGCTGTGGGGGCGTGTTAGATTGATATGCATATTCAAATATGTCATTCCCTCAGAAAAACATGCTCTGGAGGGCAAGATTGGATCTCCTTGGGTAAATCATGTTCCGGAGGGCGTGAGTGACATACGAGTGTATTTGGTCTTTGTAAGGACTTCCCCGAGGGCCTCAACAAAGTATGGGAGGTCATCTCTCAAGAAATTTGCTCGGAGGACAATGTTCTCCTTGGACAGAGAGGAAGACAGAGTACCACCGAGAAGCTCGGATTCACGCTGGAGACGCAACGAGGAACGTTTTGTGGTGCTCTGTTGAGATAATCCGTCAGCGATGTGCCCATCGACCCATGCATCCGTCCACCCGTGTTGTATCCATCATCAACCTATGCCACAAATACCCCGCCGGGCATTTTCGGGTCCATCCATACCTTGAAAGCAAACTTTTCCAAAGCGTGAGCAACACCCGGGGCACTCTCGTACCTGCTTCCACCGCGAGCAACAATAGCAAGGCTCGTAGTAGGGCCGCCGTCGTCCCTGCTGGTAACCTTAATCCCGGTGGCATCGGCGACCGAGTAGTGGAACGGGTTTGCGACGGCAGCAGCCATTCCACGGCGCTGGTTAGAGACTGCTGAGAGCCATTGGGGGGTGCCCCGAGAGATTGTAGTCCGGGCGAACATAGCGAGTGATGCGGGGGATGTGTGGAGGGGAGAGGAGTTGAGTAGCCGGTGGATGGTGGATGGCAGACAAAATAAGACTCGAGTTGGGGGAGTCGGGAGTCGGTCGACGAATTAGATGCGGGCCATTGATCATTTTCCCGAGAGTGGGGACTGATTGTACGCACGGTATGGAGGGGTGCCCTGTAAAACAGCGTAGAAACGATCCCTCCAGCACTGGTGGGGCTCTTCAATCACATGACTTAGATCAAGGTCACGTGCAGAGAGATTCGCCAAACAAAAAAAAGTCCCCACCATGACTGCGCAATAATCAGAATAATCCCACTTCCTTCAATTGAGCGCACGTCCTTTACATCACCGCAAGATACTGTGTGACACGTCCAAGGACCGCCCCCAAAAGTAACAGGCAAAACAGATAATATCTGACCACCGTCCTGCTCGAAATAGACAGACCCAGCAGCTCCCACTACACTACATTATTCTCAATCGGAGATATTTCACGCGCACAGTGCTGTACGTATTACGAGGCTATACGGGTGTTCATATCCCCATATATATTACAATACTATTAGAGATAATACGGTCAGTTCTACTCGTAAGCAACATTGAAATCAAAGCATACAGCATTAACTCACAGCTGCACGTAGGCCTGCGCAGCAATCAGAGCCATACGTATACTACATACAGCATCGCGCTGTATAATTCACCACGCCTCTCGACCTCTTACGAATGACTCACAACAATACACCAACGCCATAGCACCCCTCTATCTCCCAACCCAGATCCTAACTACAGCTAAAACCCCAAACTCAAGTCTATGAAATGTCGCAAGTAAGCGTACGCACCTACAACTCATTTGGGACATACACTAACACCATAACTTCTAGCAACATGCTGCCGAACTTTGTGCCCTTCTTGTAAACGACATTTATGGTGAAGTCTCCTCCGTATGTAATTCCCCTCTCTTATCCACTAGAAATTAAAACCAACATACACTACAGAAAGTCGTCTCGATCCTGCTACAGCTCGGCCGCCTGCCAATACCACAGATATGTTCTCACATAAAGCTCGGTCCCAAGATCGTCAAGCAGACTCTTGTAGTGCTTATACAACAGCACTTAGTTACCCATTACACACATTCCGAAAACCATAGGGATATAGTGTACTATGAGACAAATTGGATGCAGATCTATGAGCTGCTTCACGCTGGTAGGATCATCCGTGCTATGGAGAGTAGATATGGGAATGATGTATGCGCCCTGCCCTTATTCTTATTACACGTGCCCTTTGACAAAACGCCTATCTAACTAATCAGGGAGCATTGGTCATCAGTAATATGTTGCAACTCGGGCATGCCCGGGTCTCTGACTTCCTCAGCGCCTATGGAACCTCCACTAAAAATGCCGGTCAAGACGCTGAAGATACCACCACATCGGTCGAAACACTGAAATCCATTATTACCGAAATGGTCGCGTCACGTTTCCTGATTAAAGTGCAAGAGCACCACATGAACCCGCCAACAGACACAATCAACGCAATGCGCAAATCGCTCACAGCCCAGTTGCGTAAGAACTTCACCGTGGAGACCCGCCTTGTAAAGGAGGTCGACCGGCAGATTGCGATCAAAATGGCGGAGTTCGCAGATGGGGATACTAGTGCACACGCTGGAATGAAGCGAAAACTGGCGACATCGGCCAAGGGAAAGGTCAAGAAAAGGGCAAAGGTCAGTATGTACGACCAGGAAGTCGAAGAGGAGGAGTGGGAGGTTGATGAAGAGGTGGTTCTGAGGGTCAACCATGAAAAGTTCCTGGTTTTATTCAGAAATCAGGAGTTGGTCTCACTAGCGGAAAAGAGACTAGGGAGGACGACTTCTCTAGTATATAGACAGTTTTTAGAGAAGTTAGAACCGAAATATCTGCGGTGCCATGTTATTGGAGACGATGATGAAGAGGAGGATAATCCTAAAAAGAGTGGGTCTGCCGAATCAGGTACATTAGATTAAGCTAATTTTAGTAGGAATTAAATTATCTGTACTTGAGTTGTCAAAGACCTTCGATTTTTCTATCGAGCTCGATAACTCAATAGCAGCACCGCCAAAAGAGGTTTCGAGAGGTCGTAAACGCTCTTTAGAAGATTCAGATGATGAGTCACCCAAACACCTCAATGGCAACGCCGAGGATGAGGACGAAGATGAGGAAGAAGACGAATGGGCCGACCACGAGGAAATTGATGATGCAGACCCAGAGGCCTTAAAAAAGAAGAAGCGGATGGCAATTATAAAGCAGCACCTCCAACTCCTTGCCGAAGATTCCTTCAAGTTTTTAAAACACGAAAGCACCCGGGGTATGGGCGAATGGAGCATCAATTACAAGGAACTTGGAAAATTAATAAAGCAACTTGAGGTTGAAAAGGTAGTAGAAGAAAGATTTGGTAGTATGGGAACCCGGCTGCTGAGGATCGTCAAAGATAAAGGCAAACTTGATGAAAAGCAGGTTTGTTCCACCATTATCCTTTTCTCGCCTTTCATCTACTCACAATTCATATATTTAGATCGCAAACATAGCCCTCCTAAAACAAAAAGAAATTCGTGCGACTCTCTCTGGCCTCCACGAAGCCGGTCATCTGGAACTCCAGGAAGTACCCAAAACAGCAACACCACAGGTTTCCAGGATGTTTTTCTTGTGGTTTTATGATTTTGAGAGAGCCAAAAACGCTCTCATTGGAGATGTGTATAAGGCTATGGCTAGGTGTATCCAGCGCACCAACACCGAGCGTGATAAACGTAAAAGCTTATTAGAGAAATGGGAGCGTACGGATGTACAGGCGAACCAAGAAGAGTATTTGACAACAGGGGAAAAAAGGGAGTTGGAAATCTGGAGCACAAGGGAGGAAAAGTTATTGGCGCAGTTGATGAGACTGGATAGGATTGTCATGGTCATGAGGGACTTCTGAGTCACGTGAACTATCGCCGAGTGATATATCGTGACGAAGAATCCCTTTTTTTTTTTTTGACATTTCCTCTAGAGCGCAGAGAACCTTCTATATCTACATAGTTATTACTAACTTGTAAACTTGTATAATTAATAGCGTGTAAAAATAGTCGAAACCTCTTGTACTAGGCTTTTGATCAGTGTTCTTAGTCTGCAAAATGATTAGGTGCTGCCGGTTGCGTGCTAGAGCCGGTACTGGTCTTCAGGGGGGGTTTTTTTTTTTTTTTTTGTCTAATTCATTAATTGCATGCAACCTTACAGTTATGGCAAGTCTTCAGGGGGTTACATACCTAGGTAACTTGCAAAAGTTGTTTCCGTTACAACAATGTATCCACCGATGGCTTAGCCATAACATTTAGGAGCCTTTAAGTGTACCAACGTTGACAGTGTTCCATTTAAGACGAGAAGGCTCTTTGTGAACCCGTCTCATTGGGCGGGAGCTTTTGATGATTGCGGGTGTGTATATGACCCGTCAAATCTTTCGGACTGTCAAAGGCAAGTGGTTTTGAGTCCACTGATCTCACGTGGCGCCACAGTTATCATGTCATTAGGTATGATGTTTCCAATCCTACAATTAAATGACTATAGCCCTACTTAGAACTTGCAGTGATAAAGTTATGAGGTTAAGTGGGCAAGGCGCGATATGCGAAATGGTGAGAGGGAAAGGTGCGCTCAACCGAACACCACTAGTCCTGTTTGCATATGAGATGATCAGTAGAGAGGCATTTCTATTGGCCAGAATAGTCTGTGTACCACAGTCGATAGAAGCACATTTGAATCGACAAATAACTACTCCCGTATGGGAGAGAATACCGAATTGATATCAAAAAGACAAACACTGACAGAATTGAATATTGAGTCTTGAATATGTATATATCAACCTTGAACTCCCAGATACACCTCCAGGAGAGCAAAACTACCCTTTCATGATTCATGAAACACAACTAGTACCACACGGGCCCTGAGCTTGAGGATGACATCTCTAATATCAGGTCAAAGGTCTTTTTAACAGAAACTTTAATGACTTTGTATAGACGTAGCCAGAACGTATGAGGATAAAGGAAAGGAAAAGAAAAACATAAAATAAATAGGCGAAGACACACTAGCGACTAGGGGCACGGTACTCTCTGCGGCCTGTCCTCTGGCCCATCAGCTATCTGTCCTCATGTCACTCCCACCCCAGTGAATCAACCTGCCTGCCTCATATCATTTAATAGTACAAGAACTAATAAACAATACTTTTAGTGATTTATAAATTAGTGCCGATATTACTGTGCTTTTGGCTTCTAGGCTTCATGAGTTGGTGTTCTACCCCCTCTATATCAAATAGAGCTACCGCTTCGAGACTCTCTGCACTATCTCCTAACCAGATAATATCCCTGATTATCTCCTCCATTACCTCTAATGCTGGATTGCCGGCGGGGCCTTCCTTCGCGTCCATCGGCTTCGGTGTCTTCTTCTGCTTCTCCGCCAGTGCCGATTGGTGTTGTTCTCCTACACCGCCCGGAATTTCTATTGTATCATATATGTCTATTTCCAAGGAGATACTACATGTATTATAAGTCGTATTATCACTACCTCCAGGGTTAGTGTATTCCGGTTTAAAGGTGCGGCTGCGCTCGGAGCCTGTAATGGTATCCATCATACTGTCTCTATCCGACGGGTTTGTCCTAATATTCTGCTGGATCGTTCTTACCATTGGCTCGTGATCATCTACTCCATGGGCCCCTTGAGGGTTTGAACCCACGCGACTGACATTTTTAACCATCTTCGGTAACGCTTGTCCCTGTTTCGAAAGATATCTTTCAGCTTCTCGTGGAGTAATCTCAATGACACGCCCCTCCACATGGGTCGTGTATGCTTTCAACTTTTCCACGTTAACCTTCGTGCGTGCACTACAGTCATCTAGATCTTCCAAGCAATAATCATCTAGAATAGATATCTTTTCATTCAATCGATCTAAGAATTGCCTCTTCTCTGCCATCACTTCTAGGCTTAAAGGATATCGATATCGGTGCATAGCATCCTTTATGTCTCGAGGTTCGTGGCTCTTGCATGTAACAGCCCAGAACAATGATTTGCCGGATATGTCCTTCCAGATCGTGACAGCATGTTGGTGTGGTTGAATCCATTCCGAATTTGCTTTATTCTCAACTGCGGCGGGAAAGATATACCGGGTGCACGAGGAAGTATACGCACCCTCTCGTGGCTTGATTGGCCGTACTTTTTCCTGTGGTTTCGGAGATTCTTTTTTCCTCTTCTTATCATCGGGATCGGGGAAGTCGATACGGGATTTGATCTTCTTATATCTCACGTGTTCTCTGAAGCCATCAAAAAGGATAGGGTTGGTTTCGCACCCCGCATAACACGGGCCTAACTTAAATGCCACGGTTTAGACTTTCGACTAGAGAAGGCTTTAAAAAGCAACGGATGAATGAATAAAACACCCACTATATATCTTTCATGGCCCCATTGTCCGCGTGGGAACGGTCCGCTTGCGGAACTTTGATTCATTTACGGTCGAACGATAAGAGGTGATATTCTTAGATCCGGAATTAAGTATATGCAATAGGAGAGAGCCTTATATGTCGTGCGTTACAAGCGTTCTTTATAAGGAAGGTATTGGGGGACCGGATCATGTTATGTCGCATACGTACTTATTTATACTTGATCAAGCAAGAAGCGCCGACGTTGCGTAAAGATGGCGATCCTCGTGGCGTGTAAGTATTAAACGCCACGTATCTAGCTCTAGCTCTAGTACTATTATTAAAATTGATGTAAAATAGCCCATTTTATATTCACACTACATGTCCTTACATGGAGTCTACTAGACGCGATGTATGTACATAAGAAACCAAGGCTTCTAAGTTGAGCACGCATTCCGCGGTTGGTCGGCGCGCGCCTGTGGCAGGGATGGAATTACTGTGAGTCACTGCGCTGTCGAAGAAGCCCCGTTTTGTTTCTATGGACAGAAAGTGTGGTTTATGAGCCGGGTCGAGCTGGCTCAGCCCTTGGAGAAATAAGATTCTAGAACTCGGGACGGTTGTCAATGATTGAGACAACAGGTTTTCTTCTACCAAGTGGGCGTTGTTATTGGGATCCGGAAAAGTAGTGAGCTAGAACAATAAAATAATTGAAATTAGCCCCCATCTCCCCTCCCCATAACCCCATAGCCCCTTGGTTATATTTTTAAGCTCGACCCTTGGGGGAAAAGAATGACTCAAGCTCGCTGAACAATGAGCTCGTGTGGTCTATAGAGCAAGGTAGACACATCTAATCTGAATAGAAATGTGTCAATGCCAAATAACCAGGTTCTATCGGTACGTATCAATGGATAAGTCAATAACCAAGCTCGGTTGTAGGGATTTTCTTTGGTGATCGTTTACCGAGTGATAATTTATGGTTCTCGCTAGTTGATGTATCTACCCCAAACCGTTAGTAATGGTGTTATGCTCTCGATTTTGCAGTTAAAAATATAAATGTAGCTAGGAGTTTGACCGATTTCACTACAGTATACTGTAGTCCGCGCGGTAGTATTTATCTAGTTAACAACTACTCCATCAAAAAAGGTTAGGCGTTACGATGCCAAGCTGCGTTTTGGATTTGTAAGCGATTGGCCATTAAAACATCGGTATCTGAGCGAAGTCCTCCAACTTTATCACAAACATCCTATCCATATCGCAAGCGTCAAATTTGTCAAGGAATATTCCCCGTGGCTTTAAAAAAATCTGCAATCAACATGACTCGATTCTCCATAGACATCGTTTCTGGTAAGTAGTCTTTTAAAGCTTTAATCTAGCAGATATAACTTTTAACTGACTCTAAATCTCAATCAAGATACGGTGTGTCCTTGGTGTTATGTTGGCTACAGGAAGCTCAACAGGGCCATCACCGAGTTCTCTGCCTCCAATCCGGGCCACACATTCGATATCACCTGGAAACCATACTATCTCAACCCCGACTCTCCCAAAGTTGGCATTGACAAGACCGAGTTCTATTACTCCAAGTTCGGTGCAGAGCGAGTAGTCCCAATGTTCCAGCGTCTTTCGGCCATCGGCGAGGCCGAAGGAATCCACTTCAAGTTCGGAGGAAAGACCGGAAATACACGTGATTCTCATAGACTCATTCAAATGGCGAAGGAGAAGGGCCTACAAACAAGGATGGTAGAGGAGCTTTTTGCTGCCTATTTTGAAAATGAGAAGGATATTACCTCCTTCAAAACTCTGTTAGATGCTGCCAAGAAGGCTGGTTTGGAGGAGGATGAAGTTAAGGGATGGCTAGGGTCTGATGCGGGTGGTGACATCGTTGACAAGGAAGTCCATGTGGCACAACGCCATGGTATTTCAGGTGTTCCCAACTTCACCATAAACGGGAGGTACGAGATTGGCGGGGCACAAGACCCTAGAGAATTCATTGCGGTTTTCAAAGGCTTGGCTGATGCAAGTACTCCCGCTACTACGGGCATGACATGCTAAATGTGTAATTTATTTTCTCGTGTACTGGGGACTGCTAAGCTTAGATACAATAAAGTTGCTTGATACTCATATGCATTCAAAGAAGCACTAACAGACATCTTCGATTTCGGTATCATCATTGATATGAACACCTAAGTCTGTCTTCAGAGTCCTGGTGAAGAGCTCGAGGAGAACTTCAAAGCAGATCTTTGAGAGTGCAGGGTCATATCTTCCTTTGGACTCCTCGTCCCGAATGAAGCTAACCAAGTATTGCCAGTTAGAATAGAACCCTAATAATGCTACCTTGAGCAGCGCCAAATCCTTTTTTGGGATTCAATATTGTTACTGAGCAAGAGAGTGCTGTATAACCTTATCGGATCCCAAAATAGATTTCGGCCTTACTACAGATATGACAGGATACATACGCATGTTGAGCCCAGGTAAACTCATAGAAGCTGAACTTGGTCCCTGCCTCATGAAGAGTCTTCCTGATCAGGTCACGACCCGCAGGTGGGACATGATTATCCATTTTCCCAAAGATCTAGTACACCAGCCAACTGTCAGTATAAATGTGCTTGAGAGACCACCGAAATTGTAAGTATAGGCTTGAATTAACGTACCATCGCCAACTCGCCCTTTATTTCTGGGATCCTTGCCAAAGAATCATCCTTTTTGTTCAATCCAAGGGTAGAACTGTGTATATCTTTTGTTTGCCAAGATAATTAGAAAACGCCGTCATTATGTTAGAGCTTGTAGGAAACTTGCCTGTAGCAAAGTAGCAAACAGCGCTGGAAACTCTGGGGTCAAGAGCACATCTGAATGCCAGATGACCACCGAGACACATCCCAGTAGTCCCAATCTTGCCTGTTCATTGGCCAACTATTAATTTCACTCGTTTATATATACTACACCCCCGATCTCACAGATAGATACCTGTGCAAGTTTTTAGTCCCAATAAGTAGTCAACAGTCAGTTTTGCGTCCTCGTCGTACGAAGCGACAGTCTAAATAGCATCTGCATTAGATGGATTTTCAAAACCGTTGACAATTGGTTGTTATAGTCACCTTCTTGATCTTGTACTCGTTTCCCTTATCGGTTCCCGGAACATCGTAGGCCAAGGCAGCAGGACCCTCAAAATCGTGGTATACACTGGGTGCAGCACAGATGTACCCCTGCCCAGCAATTTGCCTCGCGAACCTCGATACCGGCCCAGTAACTGTTATACTGAAATCAGAAATTGGGAAATAATTGGGTCATGTCACAACCCATAATGTGCAATGCGCGGGTTTCTTTACCTTGGTAGATCTCACTCCACACCACGACACCAGGGAATTTTGCATTGGGGTATCCAGAAATAACTGGGTGAAACAAGAAGACTCTCATCTTCGTACCCCCAGATGTTTCGATATCGACGTGAGATTCAGTGATTAGCACCATTTTGGGTGAGCAAGTGATGGATGGTGACGGAATGTTTCAACGGTCTGTCCCACAAGATGAGATTGGATGAACAAGTGCGGGAACCAAGGATGTCTTGTTTCTCCAGAAAAATGTGGGGTACGGCTAGTGACCTGACCCCGCTTTATATATATCTAGCCTTGGCACCCCTAAATCCATGGATCCAATATCCTCAATGTCATACGTTCCATGCATACATGATATTGCGCACGTTTCTTTTTTGAGCCCTTCACCTGCTCCACAAAAACAAAAACCTTTTACCTCCGGGGGCCTAATTAAAACTACACAGATAACTAAAGGTAAAATCAGATAGGAAAAACGTGAAAGAAGCATAACAAGCTGCAGATCTTGTAGTATCATACACCCCATGTCGGACATACAAACGTTTGAAGAAGGTATTAATAAAACATAACCCTTATTCCCGCAAAAAACGTATGATACTCGATCATGGCCGTGAGTGTTAGAAAATCGCGCACCCAGAATACTAATCGATGTTGTTACAACTGCAGCGTTTACCGCTTTCGTTTCTTTGTCTTCTCTTTATCGACTAAGCCGCTCTCTTCATCTTTTCTTTTTGCATCTTCTTCTAGATCGTCCCAATCCTCTGTAACACGGGTACATACACATTAGTTTCCATTGGGCTATCATGAGTTAATCTGAATTATCTGAAATCTCACCCCCAGATTCGACGTCTGAGGCTTCGGAGCCCTCGTCCGCGCTGGCGTCATCGTCATCGAAATCACTTTCCCCTTCACTTTCTGACTCTGAACCAAAATCAGAGGCTTCAAATTCAGATTCTTCTTCGTCCTCCTCATCATCGTCGCCATCAGACTCAACCGACAAGAAATTCCAACCACCTACAAACAACCACCTATTAGCTAATTTTCTCAGTTTAGGAATAAAATTAATAATATACCATCTTTGAAAAACTGATGAGGATCTGCAAGTACAGTCTTCATGATAGTGGGCCAATTAAGGTTCAAAGGTCCCTCGGTGAAGGGAATGTTTGAAGAATCAAGCCATTCCTTGACGTTTTCAAGGGTTTCCATAGGAATTGAGTTGATATGGGAAACTGGTCGGGCATAGTCCTTGTAGACAAAGACCATGTCGAAATTTTTCAGACCAAACTAGGCATTACGTTAGAAATCGCCAATTAAATTGTGCCAATAGTTGACAAACCTGAACTCTCTCTAAGTGAGCAACTTCAATCTCGTCAAGAGTGATGACCAAGAAGGGAGGGTCAGTGAGTTGAACCAAAGCGTCTGTAGTGGGCGCGCAAAGAACGTTTGCACGGAACGGTACACCGCTAAAACCAAGCTCGCGGTAAGGGATATCAACATCCACACCATTCTCGAGCTTCTTTCCTGCTTCTGAGATCTTGTCCGCAAATGCCTTGAATTCCTTGTCCAAAGCGGCCCTTCTCCGACGTTCCTCTTGTTCTTGCTCGAACTCTTCCTCATCTCCGTATCTGTATTTACGCTTCCTATTACCAGTCTCGTCAAACTGGATATCAGTTGCTTCGCGGTAAAACTGCACATCTTTGGTTTTCTTCTTCCCAACCATAATGGGGTCCTTGAGATGGACATGAATCAACACGATAAGTTCACTCGTGCAGGGCTGGAAGAAAAGATGCTTGACGTTACTGAACAGGATATCGATACGTTGATCATTGCGAACTGGCGACTGGTAGCGGAGACCATTTTGGTGAATTTCAACTTCACCTGGCACACGCTTCCCGTCAAGGGCGGGGCGGACATAAACATCTGCAAGACGCTGAGGACGGCGGTTTCTGATCTCGATCAGATTATCCTGGGTCACAACATCTTCTAGTTCTTTACGTTCCTGCTCACGCTTAACGGCATTCTTCTTCATATCTTGAATGCTGGCACAGATCTCCGCCATCCGGTCATTATCTGTACTTCTGTACGTCAAGCTGCGCACAAAATGGGCGCCAGGATCTTCAAAGGGCTTCAACTAAAAGTAAGCGTTCTGTATTGGTAAGCACTTTCTAAGGGAATAAACACGAACCAGTTCATCCTTTCTTCCTACACCCTGTCCGGGAGAGAGGAAGTTGATACGAAGGTACGTAAAGTCACCTTCATCGTTCTTGCTAACATTCTTCAATGTCGCAATATGGAAAGGCACTGGCCTTCCAAAGATAGGAACAACAATGGTTTGACTCTTGGGATCAACAACGATTTTCAAGTCCGCACAAGCGAGGGGCAATTGGTTCTCGCGCTTATATGATTCGAAACGCTTGATAAGCTTTTTGCCCTTCCCATCTCCGACTGCCCCTCCCTGGGCGTATCGTGCTAACCCTTCCTCCTGTTTCACCTGGGCAAGTTTCTTTTGGTGTTCTCTCCTCTTTTGCTCCGCTCCTTCATCGATTTCTTTCCTTTCCCCTCGAAGCTTCGACTTCAAGACTGCGGTATTCTTTGCTGGGGCGGGCTTAGGTGCAGGCTTTTTCGCCTTAACCTTCTCCTCTGGCTCGTCTTCCTTGAAGTAAAATGCTGTCTCTTTCAAATCCTTCGGACATCCGCCAGTAAATACAATAGGGTCACCAGCCGTTACCCGAATGGTATCAGACAACAACAAACTGTAGGTTTTGCTCTTCGAATCCTGCGGCTTTGGGTTCTCTAAGTCGTGAAAGCCTAGGGTGACACAAAGTGTCATCCCATCCTTCAAAACACGAGTGCTCTTGGGGCTGATGACTAAGTTTGAGTCGCGAACCTCGATACCAATACCGGCACCGATATTTTTAAGAAAGTGCTTCTCGAGCTCAGGGTGTTTCGCTTTGATGAAGCCGATCGCTTTGCTGTAGATATCTTTGCAAACCACACCATCACGAATCTCTGAAAGGACCTTCCATTGGAGATCGACCAAAAAGCTGTAGTATTTTTCCTGCGCCTTGTTTGGGTCGATAAGAAAGGTTCTTGCAATAGTTGAGCAGTAACTCTTATATCGAAGTCCCATGGTCGACAAGATTATACCACCGTGTAATTGGTTATCGTCGGCGGCAGCGCTCGTCCTCAAATCATATTTGCCGCCGCTTTGAACTACGGGGCCTACAGTCCAGTCGAGTTGCATCGGATCAAACTATGACAGAGTTAGTTTATGAAATGTACAAACCAGCTGTATTTTATGCTCACATCAGCGCCAAGCTTCAACTCTTTTGCTTTGAAGAACTTCTCATCATCGATTTTATCCTCGATCTTTTTGCTAAGTGCAGCATGTGAGATTTTTTTTTCTTCGTCGATGATTGTCGACATCTCATCAATGAAATATCCTTTCATGATGCCAACTAGAGCTCTGGAAGAAGCGCGCATAGTTTTCTAAAGAAAATAAAGATCATGGTTAGCGCAATCCTCAAATACTCAGGTAGTGATTGGGTACATACCAACTCAGCATCATCCTTAAGAGCCAAAAAGGCTGAAAAGGCAGCGGATACGTCTACCTCCTCAACTCCCGAAGCTTCAGAAGGATAAACCTTTTTCCAGTCGTTCGCAAAAGGCCCTTGTGCTGAGTCCTTCGCAATAACCCCGACTTTCTTACCCGATTTCTTGATAACACCGGCAAGGTCCTTGAAGATCTGGGTATTTGCAGCCTCATCCTTCCCTCGCACCAGAATCTCAACAGGTATTTTACCGCCCTTCAAAGGTTCAAGATGTTTAGCTATAAGGCAACAGTAGATTAGCCCCGTCTCCTCCTAAGTATGTTTTTCAAAATTGCTTAGAAGAACCCGAGCGGCATACCTTTCTTTGGAGTTGTGACGATGTAGAACTTATCCTGTGTTAGTAAGAACAAAGTTGTAGGAAACTCGTATCCAAGAAGCCAGAACTGTAAACTACGTCAGCTTTGTTTTCATCACACAACACACCCGGTCGGGTTCGGAACGTAAAGGCTGCCAAAAGTATCAAAGGAATCATACATGCAGAGAAAGACTCTTTGAGTATGGGCCCTCTTCTGTCTTCCCTAAGATCACAACTATCGAGCTGACGCCACCAAAGACATCATTCTTCTTAGGATCCTTCCACGCCGCTACAAGGTTGCCCAGGCGTGCGTGAAAGAGCTGCTTGTCAATATTGACCTCAGCTGCATCTCCCATGGCTGATTGTGTCGTGATTTCTGCCTGCCTAAACTCCCTTTCCTGTGTCGATAAAGCTGTGGAGAAAACCAAAATAGGGGGCTATATGGTGATTGAAAAAGGGTCGTTGTGAGTGAAAGGAATGGAGGGGAGAGAGGACGGAGCGATGCCTTGGGACATTTCAAAGGGAAGTCGCGTCGGTCGCTCAGTTCAGTTCAGTGTCTTGGCAGACGCGACCCTTCTGAAATTTCCGCTGTACCGTAGCGATATCCAGAACGAGCCGCCGCCACTTTACCAACCACTATCAACGTCCCGTGAAACAACCCACCATCAACGAGACCGACAAACAAACATGCCTGTAACTGCTCTCCGCGCTGTGTCAAAGGCGCAAAATGGTGTCGGCGCATTCGTACTCCAGTGCAAGCGCCTGGACTTCCACTACTGCGATTGGGCGGGGGCCTCGAGAGGCATGAAGTAAAGATTTCTCCACCTGCATCCAAGTTCACCTCACCACTTACTAACGACTAATTTAATTCCCAAAGGTCATTTATAGCTCACAAGCTTGCAGATTTTGCAAAGGCAAACCCCCAGATTGAGATTACGGTGTCACCTAGACCCAACCAGCACCCCATAATAAGAGGCAGCTACAGTATGTTTACCTCCCCCCGCCGCTTCCTTATCATTGGACACCTCCCATCAATATCAGTTCCAACTTCCTCTAACAATTCCTGCTTTATCTATAGTCAATGGCCGAGAGAAGGTTATCTGCGTGCGAAAACTCGACCATCTACAAATCCTTCAGAAAGCCGAACTGCTACGCAACTCCTCTGGCCAGAAACTCAAGAAGTTCAGCAAGCCCGTGAAGTCTATGAACGAGGGTGTTAGAGGAATCTTTTCGCCGTACCACGGAGAGAAGCACGTTATATAAACTTTTTTTTGGGGGGGTGGGGTGAGGCGATTGTATATATCAGGCCTTCGAGCTGAATTGTACAAATTCAAAAGGCGCAATTATTGAATATATCTCTCAGCGCAACCTTTCATGTCTCACTGGATGACTGTATGGTTGGAGGGGACGATTCTTTGGGGATTGGATTATGTAAATACCCATAGCCCAAGCTAAGCCAATTGTATGTAGTTTAACTGCAGCTGGTTATTAATCCTGCATGTTTAATCAAAGGCACCTGTTAGAACTCAACACATACTCCACGCTCTCTATTCGTTTAAAACGCGGCTGGTTAGTGGGCAAATCAATACTAAGAGCCGAACCAGCAAGCATCATATTAGCGTAGAAAATAATCGTTTCTTTCTGCCATATTTATTTTTCCAAAATGCCGCCAAGCTGAACAAACTACAAGATACCCTTGTATTTACAAGAATGTGCATTTTCCGGCAAACCGAAGATATGCATTCCAACTCATGGCTTCTAACGGACTAGGTATAGAAACCAAGAACTCAAAGCAAACAGAAACAGAGATTATGTAGTTGAATTACTCGAAGGTAAAGTACTTAAACACTTGTAGAAGCTCCCAATTACCCGCTCATTAAATCATAGTACCCTGGATATCGACCACATAAAGATCCAAGAAAATCCAACCCTAGCCATGCTCAATCAAAATATATCCTAACAGAATCCATAAACCTATTTAGGTAGTTGAAATTTAAAAGACGTACTATGTCCACGATTAGCAAACTACAATTCGAGCGCCGCAAAGGATTAAATAAACTTACAGGAATAAACAAGTATGGAACTTGTCGCTTGTACTCCTCCCAGTCTTCACCATACTTCTTAGCGCACCTTTCAGTGTCCCTCCAGGCACGGTGGAGAATCATAGTAATGAAGAAGCATGGTAGGAACCATGGGATAGGGCTGTTGAAACCGCAAATAAGGCCCCACGATGACATTTGGCAAAAGTCGGCAGTGTAATGAACTTTACGGGCCAATCCGTACCACCCACTAGTAAGAAGAGTTCCGCCGTTCTTACACTTGATGTAAGTCGGGTTCTTGAGAGTCTGCCATGGCAGTTGAGGGAAAGATTTGCGGGCAATAAGAGTGCCCTTCTCCATCTGTCTGAATCGATTCTTCTGACTAAAGCGGATATTAGGAACTGATATGTAGCCTCACGGACCAATAGAGGCACTCACCTGTTGCAGGTATCAAATATGTAGTATGCAGTCAGAAGCAGAGTGAAAACGAAGATATTGGCACCCAACGACCACTGGTAAACCTCTGGGGCTTGGCGGCTAAGATAGATAACCCCATGGCAATATGTCATCGGTACACCGGCCATGTTCCAGAAGATAAGCATATAACCCCACTTCTCATGAGACATATCGAATGTTGTGACAATAAGCTCTTCGCCCTTGCAGCATGCGTTGGCATACAACCAATGCGCCAAAACAAAGAAGGCAAGCTGGGGCGTAAGGTACCCGTAAGTCTCATACTGCTTCACGGCCGCAGCGGAGGTAGTGAGGAATAGAATAAACCAAGGCAAACGGACTTCGAAGAACATCTTCAAATCCATTATGCCAAAGATACGGGGATGCAGCTCAGCGCCCATGAAGAAGTCGTAAACAAAGCTACCAGTCAATTTGTGCTGAGCTCCCCTAGCAATAGCGCTGAAGTAGGCAATAAAGCTAACGCCAATTCCTGAAAAGATTCCAACGCTCATAAGGGATCCGAATTCATCAATTAGAGTGGTGATCGGGAAAATGCCGGTCACGTGAAGTATGGCCATCGTGGCCAGAGTTGTGTAGAACGACCATACAGCGTTGCAGTAGTAATCCAAGCGGAGATTGTTACGATGAGCGATTGGGTTCCCCTTGGTCCATACACCGGGGAGAGTGATATAAAGAACACTTTGGTATGCAAGGAAGCCCCAGTAGATTGTCCAGGTTTTGAGAGTGGGCATTGCGCTCTGCAGTGGGATTCAATTAGTAAATACGCACTCGGCAAAGAATGGGCAGGATAATTTACCTCGCGAGCCATGCTGTAGAGACTTTCCAAAAACTCTGAAATTGGCTGGCCAGTCTTGGGCAGCGGTAATTGAGCGTCATAGTATACTTGACCAACCCACAGATACCACATGAGTATAGGGAAAAAGACCATCACGAATCCAGTCCCAAGTGAGCCCCCGAACTCGAATTCACCGCTGTTATCGACCCTATGATCCGTGTTTTTTGGCTTACCATTGGTTACCTTAGTGTTACCATTGGTAGCTGCTGGCTTCCGCTCTTTAAGGCCAGATTCAACCATCTTTTCCTCGGTAGGCTCTATTTTCACCGAAGCTTCAGGGCTTGGTGTTCGCGCTACAGATTTAGAGCGTCGAGATATTCGAACAGGTGGCGTTTCTACAAAACCCGGGTGCGCTGGTTTTCTAAAGAAAAAATGAAAAATCTCTGTGAGCTCAGGAAACGTGGCAGTTGGGGAGAAAAGCGAGAATTATGAATATTTCGATTGAGATATAGCAATTGCTTACTTTGGTGTTTTACCCGTCTGAGATCGCGTCACAGAGACCATTGTGAAGAGCAAACGTTGGGGGGCTCTAGGAAAGTTTAAATAGATGTTAAACGAAATTGCCTGTCGGAGGAGTATATGGAAAGGGGAGCGGGCGTTCAAGCGGAAAGGAGCGCAATGGGTAGGGTAGACACTGTGCCACTAGCTGGGTTCTTTATGAGATAAACTGAACACACCTGAATGTACCACGTATTCGTGTATCGAAGCCTATAAATTGTGGGGGGGGGGTTGCCAGGATCCGAATTGTAGGGATTGCTCCAGTTCTTGTGAGTTCACTTTGAAATTTTGGCCCAATTGCAACTACCTCAACAGTATCCATCCGAGGACTGAAATTTTCCTTTGTGGATCTAGACTTGATCTGCCCCTTTCTGCCAAACTGGAATCTTGATGCCGGGTGAGCCGCATCGGAATGCCAAGGCCCGTGAGAAAGCTTTGCTGCCAACGGATGATGATGGGTTTCGCGCCGGCAAATGAGGTCAACCGTCAACAACAAACATCCGAGCTCGTTGGCGAGATTGCTTGGTATGTGCGTTTTCTTGGCATCGCCTGCACAGGCATTAGCTCCGGATGAGATATGGAACTGTACCTACATGTACTCTATCACTCAAACGCAGATATATCGCGCTTAGCGCTTATCCAACTTATATACACGTATGTACGTATCTAGGACATAACTCACGAGGCTAGGGCATTTATCTAATTTGAACGTTGATGTAAAGTGCATTCTTACCGGCTTCCAGCATCTTGGATCATATCCCTTGCAAACCAAGAATATGATTACCGAGTAGGTACATGAGGTGCTTTGTTTATAATCCTTGTCCGCCATGGCCACACTTACATATATTTGTCTCACATAACATGAAGTTTGGAACCGACTTTCAAAATCTCCTTCTGATCAAACATTCTTTATCGAAAATGTCGGGATACATGTATTCTATTAACCATCGAGCTCGAGCTCTCCGCTGCTGTATCTATTATTATTATACCGCTCTACATGTACATACATGTGTTTAAAGGCACAACAATCTCCCTGGGCCGTCAGTGTTATAAATATGTTTCCGTATTCGTTCGCGAGTTCGTATTAATCTAGTCTTGTACCCAGCCCGTTACTTGCAGCAAGCTGTCCACAGTAGAAGACGGGTTGGGGACGAGCCTAGTATTAATCTAACTAAACTGGTTCGAAAAGTACATGTACCTACATGTAGCTCCTGCTAAGAATGTTACGCATATGTACATTAACTAAGATAGCATCGGTCATGGTTCACTACTCGAACAGTGGTGCTCACGTGTCAGGCCGCTTGCCTCGGGGTGTTTGGATCTTCTTTATCTCTGGTCCTTCCTTTTACATGTTCTTCCTGAGCCTTCGGTGACATCACAATTTTAGTTGTGTCCTCATAGAACCTAGAGTCACATCCGAGGAATAAATGTTAACAGGCTAGATCTGAGTTACACAGCGTTGCGAGGCAGAGATCCCATAGACGTACCCACCTCACCATAAAAGTGCCTCATAGAGTAGAAAACACTGTGTCAGCATTAATAGCGTGTCTTTCAAGGCTGAAGTACATTGCGCCTCGCCCTGAAACCCATGCATGCTTCCAGGTAATATAGCACTTCCCCTCTCTGTATGCAGAGCTAATGCCTCAAAATACCACCTTAAACTCATGTCCCTCATCAACCCCATGAGTACAATGGGATACATCGATACGGTTAGTGGAGCTTTCGCAGCTCACTTAGAGAAGCAAAAGGCAGGCTTCCTATGCGATGGCTACTCGATATATCTATACCTCTTAGGTACCTCGTTACATCAAACTGGAACAGAAAAAAGATGCTATAGGCTCGGCGTAATGGGGTCGTGTCCTATCGCGAAGATCGAGCCGCGGGAACGTGGCAGCCATTACCGGTTTTCAGGACCACTAGCGCGATCATGCGGGAGTCTAAACTATGTCACGGAAGTAGAATTCTGACTTCAACGTTACTACCGCTCACTAACGGCCATATAGTTATGGCCATGCTTGGTATAAATATGCTTACACGTAGAGCTTCGTTTCAGTTCTTCTTGAGCTGGGCTCATATCTTCGGTATTAATCAATATTATCCATTGAATTTGGGCCTGGAAGATTACTCGTTAGCCATACCAATCGACTCTAAAGTACATACAGCGCTTTGAACATCGAACCGCATCGATAACTTAGCATTTGGTATCCTTTTACCTATACCGAAAAATGGCTTATCTACCTACACGAATAAAAGATTCAGTCCGGAGCATATGTGGTAATTTACGGAGTTGCCGTTTGAGGCTTTTCTTCGAGGCGGCTTAAGGTAAATGCCCCACATCCACCCCGGATGGACTTGTAAACTTAAAGTTGTCAACCTGTATGCAGCGTATGTTATATTCGAAATGAAGATGTTAAGTTCCATCATCCCATTTCTGTAGGGTTCCACACGCATACCACTTACATATTTAGGTACCAAATCTTTCCCCGTTCCACCCAGCTCTTCTATCTAATCAAGGATTATGGGGCTTGGTTTTTCGATGTGCAACGCCCTTTTGACTCTCCAGTGCTACAATAATGGGTCAAGGAAACTTATGCCGTGATTGATTTAGTCTATCAAGATCACCGAGCATACAGCATTTATTTCTCCTGGGAAAATGTTCAAGCTCTGTTGGGTAGAAATGCACCTTGCAGAGATGAGTGATTGAAAGCGATTGCATTATCGCTATATGACTGTGAGTCATTTAGCCCTTCGAGATGATTAGTTACTTCGCAATAATTTTATTATTCAGTAACCAAGTGGGATTGATAATTTGCTAGTCTCAGCACCTCGGTATTGCCAGGATTTTCTTCAAAAGGACGGCCATTACCTCCAGGTCGGGGGTAGTCCTTTTACTATAGTATAATATTACCGTATTCCTATAATGTAAATAACGTGATCTGTTTTTGTTGGTAATCTCGCCCAGTCTTCGTTGTCCTTGTAGGAAGTCCATCTACATAGAACATGGGCTGGATTAACAAAACATAATACCACTGTTAAAGTATCTATCTTCCTTCACGTACTGTGAGAGATTCCACGGATACAGAATCCGACTTAATAAATGATTGTGGCGCGTTTGGAGCGCGTTCAACTTTTCGCGTGCCAAACATAGGGCAGGAGTGGTTGAACTTTCTAGTTAAATCTCGCTTTTTCAAGGATCTAGCCCATAGCAGAGATCATAATGTCTCAAAAAAGAACGATCTTTGCCTGCAATTAGTGAGTATATATCAAAATAAAAGACGATAAAATAGCCTCCTACCTAAAGCTCTAACCAAGCAAATATTCAGACGTACTAGTTTGGGGTACCATTTTGGTACATAATCCAAGTATTAGAATATTAGGCTCCGTCCTCATACGATATCTAGGTGATCAAACATTGATAGTTTGATTTTTCATGTTCTGAGGTATCTCTTGTAATCCCCAAAGCATATATATACTAATCTGGATCTCTCGTATAATCGCTCATTGGTAATAGCCAATCCAATTTCCGAGACTAATCAAAGCAGGCGCTTCGATGGCCCGAGGTTTACAAGGGCTGGATCTGTCAAAAATACATTGGCCGGGCCGACTTTGAATTGTTTCCCGGCCAGGCCAGGTCGAATGGAATTTTAGACCGGTATTGTGATGAGATAATTGTCCGAATAACAAAAGGAGATCTGCCAGGTCTCTCAAGAAACGGCGAAGCTATGGATATACTCCCCTTTCCTTTTGAGATTACATATTATTATAAGGTTTTGAAACAAAGACTATTGAGCAGCCGTAGCTCATTCGTTTGTTTCCATCGACTGATCGAGCCCATTTGATACTCGGAGAAAACTGGTTCTATTCTAGCGGATAATTGATTTTTGTTTCCTTCTTGAGAGTCCTTTACCAGTGAGGTTCCTGGGTCCGACTCATTGAGGTGTAACGCTTTTGCCCTGTCGGACCCCTTATCGGCCGGTACTTTGACTAAAAGGCTCTGATTTAGTTCGCAAGACAACTTAGATTTTGTCTTCTGCCTGGAATGAATTCTATCGCAATTGAGTATGATGGAAGTTAGATCCTTGGTTTGTAAACGACCGTAGTAATAGCTTTCGACTTAGTATGCGATGGATGGTGGTTAGCGAAAGCTCCTTTGTGCCTCTTTCTATGGTAGAGAAGAGGGCTCATAGAATTGACGTCACTTCTGTAAATGTTAGTGACGTAGGTGATGTTGAGGATGGATGAAGAGGAGAGTGGAACGGGAGAAATCCAGCGCCTTTATGTAATTTCTGGGGATCCACACCATACTATAATTTTCGGTTAGTGCACATGCATCGCTAGTCCATTTCCCTTCATGTCTTGTCGTCACTCTCTCATGGACTTTCCATCTCTACGCAAACTTCTTGTCCCGGACAGAACACACGCATACCGATAACTTTCATTTCGGAGTGAGGCTAATGATAATCCAGCATGACAAGTCAAGTACATGAAGACATATATGATAAAAACTTCAAAGTGGCAAGGTCAAGCAAGGGATGATGGTGTGTATGACAGGAAACCCTCGCGCTTGAAATACGGGGAGGCAACCTTCTTGGTGCCATATTATTCTAGGGACATGAAACTGAAATTAATTATAATTCCATGTAGGTATGTGTTATCATTTCTAAAATATATTCGGAATTTAGGCTGGCACTCTACCCTAGCTCATGAGATGCAACGAGCTGGGTTCACTACACTTGTTCATTTCATATAAGGTGGAACGTTCCCGAGCTCCCCAGGCTCATCTCTCTATAAGATGAATACCAAGACATCTATTAGGCGAAATCAGTGCATCTGGATTTTTCTCCAAGTAGTATCGAGTGATATTATATGATCACACATCTTCAATGGTGTGGCTCCAGCACAAAATCACACACGCTCGTGGAGTACAGGGACAGACGTTAGTCCACAAATATCTGGTTTTGGGTTTGTTTTGGATGCAGGAACAATCTCCAGCATGGATATGCCACGATAACCAAACGTCTATTTAGAGTGGTAGAGTTTTCAGCCGCAACGCTCTCCAATGGTTTGGTAGAAGATTACCAGGTTGTGGTTCAGGCACGGCAAATCCACGTGTATTGACGGCTTGGCATTTAAAGACAACCTACGAAGAGACACTGGAGATCTTCTGAGGAGTTCAAATGTCCAGGCTCAGTCCAGAAGAGTCAAGCCTGACAGGTAGATGGCGTTGAGCGTTTCAAATCTCCTGCAGCAACAACCCTGTCGTCTGGGTCCAATAGCCCCTAGAAAATACACTTTGAGGTTGGCGCAACAAATAACCTTCAAAGCTCGCCACAAGGAGTGTCGTCAGTGGTGCCCTCCCTGCACATACGTCAGCAGAAGCATGGCAGCTATCCATTCGCCAGAAGTCCAGGGCTTCCTTGTCACGAAACCTGTGATAGGTAGATAAAACAGTAGAGTTTAGACAAATTAAGTACCCGCGCGCAAGGCACTTTTGAACAGCATCGTCCATCTTCTCTTCGTCTTCATTTTCATCACTGTCCATCGGCCCTCAGCCTTCTAAGTACGACTCTTCTTCCATACCACACTCTGTAGTTCTGAAGAACGCGTCGTCTCTAGGCACACAAAGACTGCCAAGCCACACTCATTCTTGCGCCCCGCAACGATTGCGACGAGTGTGACGACAGTCAATATCTCACCCGATCAGAAATCATAGATAGTGCTGCTGCGGTGCCCGTGCCCATATTCGTGTCGCGATAAACCAAAGAGATTACATACTGTCAGTTTGATTTTCGCTTTTTATTTCCTTGCTGCGAGAACGGGTGTGGTGGTGATCTGCTGACCCTCGGAGAGAAGCAACTTATTAGTTGTATTTCTATCGACTGTTCCTACTAAACTCTACTGATTCTAGGGTGGGTCCTTACATCTTAGCGGCAGTCATTCCTATCATTCAAGCCGAAAGCAAGGCAAGAGCAAGAAGCTACATAGTATAACTTGTGCTACATCCTTCTTTTTCTACTTCCTTCTCCCACCCTTCCCTGCCCTCTTCTCCTCCTCTCTCATATTCTCTACCCAGTCTCTTTTCATTCAGACACGGAATTCAGTTACCTTACTTACAGCCCTTCTCATCTTTAATATCTGCGCTTACAAGGAGCGAACACGAAGAATAATTAGGCTCTAGAATTAGGCCCTAACCTCACCTCAAACTTTAGGAGCAACTTCTCCGGAAGATCTCAACCATGGAGTTCAACGTAATTCTCACGCTCAGGATTATTCAGGCCCTTCTAGCCATCATTGTGTTGGGCATATCTGCCTACGTCATTGATGTCTTCAGTCCTATCACGATTGACTCGGCCAATTTCTTGTTGTTCAACGTATGCGCACTCCCGTCTTTGATCCGCCCCCTCGCTTCGGCAGTCCGTGCAAAGTCTGTGCGGAGAGCCTCCTCCGCACGCGAGGAACGGACGATTTAAGCTTTTTTTTTTTTTTTTTTTTTTTACAAGAGAAAACTAATTACGGAAAACTATGCGATAGTCAATCTGGTCGTTTGTCGCCTTGGGATACCTCGTTGCTACTCCAATGTTCTTCCCGAACTTCCACAACCGCTGGGGTGTTCTCGGAGTCGAAGCCATTACTATGGTCTTCTGGTACGAACTGTCTGAGACATCGCTAGGAAGATTGTCTGGTTAACATGGTGTGTCTACTAGGTTCGCGGGATTTATCGCTTTGGCCGCAGATATCCCCACATTTCGCTGCGCTGTCAATTTCAGGTGCGCGATCGGTGCTTCGAAAGCAGCAGCAACTTTCGGAGCCTTTGCATGGTACGTCAATGCCTCTACGTCGCCTCTGGGTGGTTTCGCTAATAAATCTCCCATATAGGCTTGCATGGTTAGGAACGCTTGGAATGGTTGTGAACGCCTTGATCAAGCACAGGAAAACCGACCCAGGAACAGACGGCAATGAAACAGGTATAACTAATCCAACTGGTGCCCCGGACGGCGCTGCTGTTCTCCCTTCTGGTACGGATGTTGAAATGAATGGTGGACCACAGTTTGAGAAATACGAACTACCACAACAGCCCTCTGAGGCACCGCATTTACCGCAACTTTCGGAGCTGGGTACTGGTGACGAGGGGCACGAAAATAGAATTTATGGACATCCGCCTATCGATGGCAGTGGAACGCTTGAAATGCCAGATGTTGGACAGTATGGGGGAAACGTTACTCATGTTGAACAGGAGCGATAAATAACCTCTAGGGACTTTTGTGCTTCTTTTTTTCTTCTTCTCACTTTCTCTTTTCTTCTCACTTTCTCTTTTCTTCTTCTCACTTTCTCTTTTCTTCTTCTCACTTTCTCTTTTCTTCTTCTCACTTTCTCTTTTCTTCTTCTCACTTTCTCTTTTCTTCTTAATGACTGGGGCTTTATACCAAATATTTATGGGCTTTAAGGTGTTCTTTTTATTGCGATTCATGGCGGGTCAAATAGCTTTGTGTATAGGTGTGGGGAAGGAATATTTGATTTTTTTTAAGGGAGGTTTCGGGGGTCTACATTTCATGTCTTCTTCTTTTCTTCTTTAATCTCTCTCTTTATTACGGCAAATTCACTGTTAAAAATTCTCACTATGTTAAGTTCACTCTAATCAATGACCCAAAGTGTCTGTGATCACGGCCACAATGTTCTTCTTCTACATACTATATATATAGCAGATCGGAAGAGAACATAAGGCATGCGCATTGCAGCCAGGAAAGGCCACATAATTTCTGTCTACATATATGAACACCTGGCACTCGATAGCTTCTGAAAAAAACCGAGGGAAAAAAAAAGTCAAACATCATCGACAGAGAAAATCTCAATCATCGGACGTTGCGATAACTATTTATAACCACCATCCATGGGTGCCTGCTTTTCGAATACCGGGTCTTTGCATAAGGTCATTAGAACCGCATACGATACGGCTCTCTGCACCAACGGTCTGACTCATAGAGTACCTACATATTAGATAGTCGATTGATTGGACGGGAATCAAGCACGAGGAGCTATGTGATGGCCAAGTCGACGCGGCCCCCCGTTGGCTGTATCATGTACATACTCTGCGTGCGTGAGTATAGGAGCCACCACTGCCCGGACAGAATTTCAGCACCCGAAGCGCAGAGCGGCGAGAACCTGGGTGAAGATTGCAGCTGGTCTTCTATCATAACCATCGTCCGATGATCCAGACAGCGCATATGCCCCCCATTCCATCACAGTGTCATCGATCCCCCTAATCTCTCCATCCGCACTGCTTGAACGGGGGTCTCGGTCGCGCTCATCACCAGATAAGATAGATACCTCGCGCGGGAATTAAAATGCACATTCAATCAATTCTTGTCTCCGCAATCATTGACCTCAACGGTCAGTCTTTTTGCACCTTGGCGCGCGCCCTTGCCCCAAATTGAGATCTGTGCATGTGGCGTGTGCGGCTGACAAGAGTCGTTGAATTAAAGTTTTGCGCGAGGGTAGCTACGTCATTCAGCCCTAAATGCCGTAATTTGCTGCCACACCGTTCTTGTGGCTACGAGCCCCGCTGTGGAAACTGTCACGAGGGGAGGGGCTAGACTTTTATGGTTAGGTTTTTTTCGGGGGTAATGATTGTAGTGCTGGTTTTTAGGTATAGGGGACAATGAAGGTGCGGAACAAAGACAAGGAGGGAGTAGATCCTACATCTAGTTAGCAGTAATCAAATCGAGTAGAGAAACGCCACTGGTCAACAATTCATTGTCGCCCATACCACGAAGGGTAAACAAAGGAAGCTCAAGTTACCACACCCCCAAAAGCTACATAGCTCCCTTGTTCTCCATGCGCAATAAAACCTCTCGGACCCGCCATGTAGTACGTAGAAGTGTTACAACACCGGCAAGCTAGTTTTTTCCCTTCAAAATAACACCTAAACCATGGCCACCAGTGCGCCCAAAGCAATAGTAGCACAAGCGGCCGCTCTGCGCGCGGCACGCAAGATCTCATCGACCCCGTTTACGAAGAACGATACAGCACCAGTGGTGAAGAAAAAGCGGAACCTGGAGAATATCTGGGATATCGATGCGGACGCGGCGAATGGGGAGGCGGACGAGGAAGATGATGATGATGAGAGTGGCTCAGCATTGGAGACGAACTCGTCCGATGGGGAGAGGGAGCAGCGTAGTGTATGTTACTCTGTTTCTTTTATTCTAAGATATCCTTAAGATGCTTCATTCTAGTTCAGAACTAGCTGTTGGACTAATTTTTGCTTAAACTCTCTGTTATGCGGGCTAATGAATCGTGACCACAGATCGCTATCTCCGCAACTGTGAAGAACATTTATACCAAGCTCGAGGACCTGGAGCACACGATTGAGCAAGAGCTCAAGCCGCTGGCGTATGCAACACTGGAGCGCATGGAAAGACTCGAGGCCCTCGTCATCAAGCAGGAGCATCTCCGGAAAATAGAGGAACAAGGCTCAATACCGGACTACTTGGAGGAGCCGGGGCAGAGAGAGAGGGAAGTGGTGACCGGGATGGGGTGGGGCGATACATCAGATAGAAAGCAGAAGAGAACCAGGAGGATATCGAGAGAGCTGTTTTGATCTTTTTTTCTGTTGTTGTTGTGCGGAAGAAAATGCAAATCCATCTTTAAGATCTCCCCCAGCTAGCAATCCACCGAGCTTTATTAGCATAGTGGAATGTGTACTCGAACAGGGACTTAGTACGACAGCGAGTTACGGGGTTTGAATCCCGGATAGAGCCTTACTTCCAACTTTTGCCCCGATTTTATTTTCCTTCGGTTTTTGAAGTGTCAAACTAAAGAGTGAACCGGGGTCAGCCGCGATTCTCTTTTTTGAGAATATTCAGGTGTGGAAGCCAAAGCGGTCTCGAATTTACTCTTAAGACTACTAGTCTGATTCCCATCTCTCGGGGTAAGTGTTATAAATGATGTGGATAGGGTGCAGGATAAATGCGATTATGCGTTTTGGTTGGTAAGGGCCGTGGTGTGTTTGCGGATGGGTTGGAAAAAGGAAACGCGGTGTGATTCTGCCTACACGCTACAATGTATGTTGCAGTAGTCACTTGACGCTAAACTTGGCCCGTACTACGTATACGCAGAACTTCTAGAGCGCACGCTCAGCTAACCACGACCACCCACGAAACTTCAAATGAACCAGCAAGCCAGACCATACCCATCATCCAACAATGAACAGCTGCACTATTTCATATCCCTTTAACGCTGTTTGGCGGCCTTCTGGGCCGTGATGGGAACCGAGATCAAGTCATAGCCTATCACTCGAAACTAACCTCCGCACGCAGAGAACCCATAACCCACACCCGAGCTGTGGGAAGTTGGGGACGAGATTTTGTATGAGTTCTACACGTCAAAGAAAAATCAAAGTTGCAAGCAAGCTCTTTCATAATCCCCCTCGTGTTGAGATGAGACCTAAGGCTCACATACAAACTACTTAACGTTGAAAGAATTCAAAACATCCTAATATATTCATCGCATATCCTGACGCTACTCCCACCCCGCCTCATTCAGCAAAATCAGCCCGGCCATTATCAACAATACCACCCTTGCCAAGCCCACCTCTACTCCCCTGCCCACCACCGCCCACACCCTTCCCAGCCCGAGTCTGCACCTTCCCCAACAACGCCACCGCCCTCCTCCCATCCTCCCGCTCCTCCTCCCTCCTCCCCCTCTCCCTCAACACCTGCACATACCTCTCTACCTCCGCTCTCCCCACCTCCCCCTCCCCCTCCACCTCCCCCTCCACCTCACTCCTCAACAACTTATACCTCCTCCACTCCATCTCCGCCATCCACGTATCCTCCCGGTACTTCAAATATGGGTTATACGTCTCCCTCAACTGCATCGCCGTCATCCTCTGCACCAACAGCCCCGGCCGCCTGGGTACCATGGGGACGGGCTCGAGGCTGCGGCGGGGGCGCAGCGGCTTGCGTAGGCGTGGGGGGCTTCCGAAATTGTAGATGAAGAGGTGGGTGCGCGGGTTGAGGGAGACGGAGAGGTGGGGGTTGTAGAAGTCTCTATCGAGGTTTGGGGGTGCGGTGGAAGCTGTAGGCGCGGAGGCCATTGCGAGTTTTGTTGGATTTTGTTCAAGTTTTAAATTTTATTTAAGGAAGTTTTATAAAGTATGTGAGTACTCAAGTAGGACATAAAGTGATGTTGATGGGCTTTTACCTAGAGCGAGCGCTTCTTATACTGTAATCGGTTATTTTGGGGTAAAAGTACGTTGATATCCCTCATTGCATTTGTAGTGTGATCGATCATTGGCACCTAGTTTTCTACCCCCAGCTATCTACCACCCATTGTAAACCTAACATTAATACTTAGGCCCCGTGCATTTGTAAAGATAATACAGAGAATTTTTAAGATCTATATCTCGTAAGAAAACAGCGGAGCAATCTTGCATCTCTAGGGGTGATAAGCCACTAGAGCACCGTGTGGTGAATACGTATTCGTAGGGGGTCAAACACCCAGAAAACACCAGTGAATAAAGAACAGTCATACGAGTTAGCCCCATTCGCATTAATCTTAGTAGCATGAGTAGAACGACACCGTCGCAGCAATCATAACACCAAACCCTCATCCCCGGTCATTGACCCGAGTGACAACCCATGAGGCTGTTCCCGTCTTGGCGGCGATCACGTGGGGCGTGCGTGTCGCAATTTCGAACCACGACCTCTGAGACATCCGGTGACGGTGGAGAGAAACCCGCGCTGCAGAGAGAGAAAGAGGGCAATTCTCGTCAATTTCCATGTGTGCACGGCAAAGACATATCATAAAAGCTTCGCTATCATGCAGTGGCATATAGCAATTGTGGTGCGCGTGATCTGGGGGTGGAATGCCCGATTTCTGCGGCAACAAGCACTCTCTCTCTCTCTCTGTTCTTAGGATCTTATTCCCCCCTCTTCTCTTCATCCCGGGCCCCACTCACTCTCTCACTCCCTGTCTCCCCCTTTTCACCACAAAGCTAGCTAGCTAGTCGGGGCATCAACGTCAACACCATTCACACATCCAATTCCACCATTAACAACAACACTGCCCACCACCACCACCACCACCAGCCGAGAAGAATGAGAACTCAGCTGCGGCTACAGCTACAACTACTCTAATCAACACAATGTCTTCTTCTTCGCCTTACCGTCCCGCACACAACAAGTACAACAGCGAACCCAGCTTCCTCGATCAGGCATGGGCCCAGCTCCGCCGCCACAGAGCCTGGAGACCATTCCAGCGACGGAAGGGCCAAACCTGGAAAAGCAAAGCCGCCGAAGCTCTCTCCATCCGGAACGCAGTCAGGCTCTCGTGGATACTGCTCGTCTGGTGGGGCGAGCGTACGGTCTTTGAAAGTGCCATCCGGGAGTGTGCGTGGGAGAACTGGGAAGATTGGGTACAACTCACTCACCTCGCAGGCTTCAATTCCCAGGCTATGTAGCTGACATGAACGTCCACAGCCCGCTGGCGCCACCCCGCATCGAATGGCACTCATCGCCGACCCGCAGATCATTGACCCGCACACGTACCCTCGCCGTGGCCTCTCCCTCGCAGCAACAATCTACTATACGGATCAGTATATGCGGCGGAGCTACTCGACGTTGCAGGAGGTCCTGCTTCCGTCTACGACACTCTTCCTCGGCGATCTGTTTGACGGCGGCCGCGAATGGGCACACACGCCACCGTCGCTATACGCGCAGCAGCAGCACATCCACACCTCCGATGGGCCCGTTCCTGTGCGTCCGGACCCCAGTGCAGAGGCCGACTGGAAGCTGTACAAGGACGATTATTGGTGGGGCGAGTATCTCCGCTTCGCGAAGATCTTTCCGGGATACCCATACCGCCGAACAGTCAAATCGCTACCGGGGAATCATGACCTAGGGATAGGTAATGGTATACGGGAGCCGGTGAAGGAGCGGTTCACAACGTGGTTTGGGGAGACTTCGAGCGTGGTGGAGGCGGGAAATCATTCGATTGTGCTACTGGACTCAGTCTCGCTCTCGAATGATAATAATCCAAGGATATTTGGGCCAGAGCGAGAGTTCCTCGATAACCTCCCAGCGCGGCTATCGAAGCCAGATACAGCCGCACCAAAATATCCGCATACTATCATCAAGGACGGCGCTGCACCGTCGTCGCCGGCCGATGACGCGCAAGACCCAGAGACACTGCGCAATCACCTTCCCACAATCTTACTAACACACGTCCCGCTATACCGCCCCCCAAATACGCCTTGCGGCCCGCAGCGCGAGTCGTCAAATCCGATCAGCATCCGCGGCGGGTACCAGTACCAGAACGTGCTCACGCCCGAGCTATCCTCCGACATACTACAAAAGACGTCAGCGAAATACGTCTTCTCCGGTGACGACCATGACTACTGCGAGGTTGACCATATGTACACGGGCGGCCAGGGTCGCGTGCACGAGGTCACGATCAAGAGCTTTGCCTGGACCATGGGCATTAGAAGACCGGGTTTCTTATTAGTAAGCTTATGGAATCCAGAGGGTGGACCGTTGGATTCTGCTGCGGAGGGGCCGACGCTGGAGAGCAAGTTGTGTTTGCTCCCGGACCAGATTGGGACCTTTTTGTGCTATGTAAAGATGTTGTTTGGGACGCTGGTGCTGCTCGCGGTGACGGTGTTGGTGCGCAGGATCAGGGGCATTGCAAGCGGCGAGGAGCCGCTACTACCAACTATTGAGAAGGAGCGCGAGAGAAGGCGGGAGTGGGGGTCCGTAGGTGTGTCTTCGTCGTCGGCAGCCTCGAGGAACGGGAGCAGAGCGCCGACTCCGAGAGTGTGGGGCGAGGAGGACAAGTATCTTAAGCCCGCAATTAATAGCAGTGTTGGGGGCAAGAAGAGAAAGGGGGTTGTGGGGTATCTTAAGGACTTTGGGGATGAGGTTGCGTCGGTGGCTTGTGTTGTGCTGGGTTTTTATATGGTGCTACTAATGGGATGGTAGACTTTTCCTGTTTGTGGGTTTGGGAGTTAAAACTTTTTATTGGACTTTCATTGTTTTGTTAGTGGACTTAGCCGGGTTCAGTAATACATAGCTATACTTTAGAGAGGGGTGGTAGTGCTCTGTGTTTTAATGAAATTGTTCTGTAGCTGATGCGTTTTGCTGGTGTTATCATTGCCATTATCGCGTGATTCTTGCTTGAGTATCGTTGTATGCTGGCGGATTTCAGAGCCTTGTAGTTGGCTGAGACGACCATTCATGAGATATCACTCGGGCATTGCTACGCCAAGCCCCGGACCCACGACAAGTTGCCAGTTAGCATTGCTACAATTCGAACACCCATCCCAAGAATTAGAAAGAACTAGGAGGAGGGTATCATACTTCCCTTAAATTCCCGTTGCACCGGAACCACCACTTTCTCTTATACTCCTCCGATCACCTCCAGTACCGGAACGTCATATCGATCATGGTCCCCATTGAATTCCTATGACAACAAACTATTCCCCATACGCCTATTTAGCCCCGATTAGGTCAAAATACATGAAGGACTGGATTCAAACCACTAATCGATCTAACATATCGCCATGTGCCATAGGTTCTCTTGCTGCCCATGGATAACAGCAATGCTTCCAGAACAGAAAACAAGCAGATATCGAGTGCAATGGAAGGAGATAAGAGGTTTCTTCTATCAGGCCTCGAGACACGTATTCATCGATTAATATCGCCATCTACGGGTTCAGTGAGTGCCGTGAGTGTAGCGCATGGAATCCTAGCTAGCAGCCCACTAATCAGGTCAAAATCACCGGTTGCAATTAGCTAAGCAAGAGAGGAATCATCAAACATATTCCACCTTGAGGGGTTGGGGATCACCGTATTGTATGGTATATAGACCCGTTCTGGAAATTCGAGGAAACGGCTAGTTCAAAACTTATTTTCTTTCTTAGTTTAGCAGCTGGTGGCAGAGCCGAATGTCTTGAGAACATACGAGGTATCGTCTGTTGAGAAGTATGGGTGGTCATGCTATTAAAGTGACATCTTCCTTGAGCGGAGGGGGGGTAAAGTGTCCTTTACTGACCTCCAGCGGCTTCTAAATCTTACCACATCATATCATCACTGTCAACTAGCTCTAACTAATCCCTATAATTCTATTCCCACTCTTGCTCACATGTAGCCAGCTAGCTCATCCAACCTACACCCTTCTCCTCTCATAAGAAAAAATAAAAATTAATCAACCGTGGCAGTTTTTAGTCCATACATGAAGGAAATAAGAGGACTATTTTAATAAAAATTGATACGGTTCAACCACCCTAGAGACTACATGAGGTGTTCCTGCTCTTAATTTGGATTAACTTCCGGAGACTAAGGACACGTGAGGCTACACCCTTCGGTAAGTGTTATACTCACGGGATATCACTCACTTTTTCTCTGTTACGCCCCATGTACTATATTGGCTCACACTTGTCGAGTTCTTATATCGAGATTCAACCATAGTTGTTTATATGCGGGGGAACCCACAGGAACCCCGCAAAGGTTTCAATGATGTGTATACTGCTTACTATATCTAATTGGTCGCTTTGAGTTTGTATCATCCAAATTTTGGTGAGACTTATGTGGGGGTGTTTAATGGGTAATGATATATTTGTCCACTGGTTCCCTGGGATACACAATTACGCGCACACATATCTAGGATGAGGGAAAGGAACTTCCGAATCCGAAATAAAGTTCATAGGCCACCCATAGCCAGCCTAGGGTAGTCAAGACTACATATATTATTTTAGCCGAGATATAACAGAAGGGCGTGAAACCCTAACTGTGGTTGTTTTGTCTGAGATCATCCTTAATACTTATGGAAAGATCCTTTTTTTTTTTGGATAATCGTACGTATACATATGATTAGTTATAAATATACATTTCAACACTGACCCCTTCCCATCTCGGGACCAATACGTTATCTACATGTACATACATGTATGTACTTGTTCCTCTTAGTGGGATATTTGTTGTTAGCGCGCCTCATAATGAACATGATTGCATTTATACTATTTATCTATATATCTGCCTGTAACCGTATTTATAGTCGAACAAACATTGCAAGTGCAAATTATCCCTGGCAACGGCGAACAAGACCCAATTAAGAGTATACTATTAATTTTAAAATACATGTACTTTCTGATAATCATGTCGAAATATAAATTTACAAATTAAAGCAATACTATTTTGACAGCTTCAACACTACGTGTAGATGATACTATATTATTCAGACACCACCCTGCTGCTCTTTAAAGTGTATCCTGGGCCGAAAGACCACAAAGCTCTCAATCAGGAGTTGATATATAGATCACGAGCCATCTATCGATTTACCACTATAGCTAGATATTTCCTCTTCTCGTGCTCCAACAGTACTTTAATTCATATATAAAGAGCTTTTGTGACTAGGTAATTACCAGCTACCCGGCTTCAGACACCACGGGAAGATACATGTGCAAGATCAAGAGCCAAAAGGCAACTTGCATTCTACCAAGTACGTATACAAGTGTCCCACTGTTTTTCAAAAGCGGTACCTGAGAATTCGAATCAAAATCGAGTGATAGGTAAACCATAGGATGCATGTTTCTAGATACAAAATGTACTTTCAGTGACCTTTTGAGTTTGCTTAAATCTTGGCCCGGACCAAATTTCGATTCCTGATCGAACTATCTTTGACATGGCGCGGAGTAGTACAGAACATGGAATCGAGTAATGTTTCCCGAGGCCAAATGATCATTTCCGTCTGGATTCCTGCATCAACATGGCACTCCGTCAACACCGGAATTACACAATTCAATTATTAAAAGTTTACAGCCTTGTTTGTAACCTTCTTCGGACCTTGTTTACGGATGAAGGGTTTAATTTCTGTATGTCTGTCCCAAGTGGGAAATTATAGGTTCATGCAGTCTCCCCCGGTACACAACCACGCCTTAGCTAAGGATTTGAAAGCAATCGTACGCGTATACGGACGTTCTATCACGCCGCGTATCCACAAGTTCAAGGGCTACAAACACAACCTCTGTCAAACATTCGGATACAGTACTATGATCTTAGGTTTGGGAGGCGGACTTGTGCTATCCTGGCGTTTCAGAGGTAATCTGTTCATCTGTGATAACTTTTAAGTCGGTTTCTTGGACGACATGCTTGAATAGGTCAAGTCAAATGCTATGACTTGATACAGCCCGTCTACAAGGCTCTGGGGGGGGGGGGACTGTTTATGTGAGCTCGAGTTTAGTGGCTAGTGAATATACAGTACGTCAGAACGTTGCTCCTGTTGGCTTCCGGCGACACCATTAACGTTATAACATTCAACCTTCGATCACTTCTTCATGTTTTCTGCCGCCAGAATCACTCCCTTGCTTCACTGCTTCCAAGTGGGATGAGTTTATCGCAACCTTTTTTCTCTAGTATGGATTTGTTCCATCCTCAAGGCAGCCTAGAAGCCACAATATGATATATATGAATCCAGACCGGACTCATCGATGCAGTAACACTCTAGAGAAAGTGGCATTCTGGGCTTTTGCCGTCTTTATACGTCTCGTGTCCCACACACCATCAAATTCTTCGAGGAACGATATTGTACAAGGTTTATCCAGGCCTGTGCTTTTCACCGAGAACTCTGGGTACTCCAGATGATATAATTCTGGTTCACTAATCGCAGGTGGACGGATCTAGGGCTGATTTCTAATGACGAATATAAAATACTGCATGAGGCGGTGAGATTCGTGCATCCACGTGCGCAGTTAAAGTCTCATCCTGGTATAGCAGCAAATATAACCTTATTTTAGCTGGTGGCTTTTCCTTCGTGCGAATCACGAATAGTGGAAGCTTATCTCGATGATGTCTTCTTCTTTTCAAAGTGACATGTGCGTAACTATCTACCCCGCAGCCCTCGAGTGCTCTGTTCTAGTTGCCCTGCTGATCACTCTTTTAAAACCGCATACCGCGCCTGCAACATGATAAGAGCATAAGACACAGCAACTAACAGCTTTGGGTCCTTTAATATTGATGCGCACACCCGGCGAAGGAGGGATTTCAACCTATCGGTAGATCTATCGATCGATGCAAAAGAAGGGCTTGCGGAAGGTTCCACCCTTTCCTTTCTAGCTCGGTCGATCTACTACATGTGGTAGATCGTGGCTTTTTGGCGCCATAGTCCGGAAAACCGGAACACATCCGAAGCGAATAATTCCGATCCCAGAGTGGTGATTGAAACTTACACAGTACTCTATGTCACTTTATTCGTGACTGCTTATTACCCAATGGTTCGTGGTGAAAGCCTTGTCCTGAACTTCGCGTTGAAGTGAAACGAGTGCTTTCCCATGACCCGGCAAATCTTTGCGCTTCGGGAGTGGCAGATGCCCGTACCTGCATAGAAAGAATTATGAGACAGTTCTTAGAACAGGTGCTCATCAGATGAAAGAGATAAACCAATTCCTGGAGAGATGTGTATTGCCGGGGCCATCTTGCAGTCGTGAGACATTCAAATTGCCAGTAGAAAGAGATCCGGCCATAGACAAATGCAGACTTCGGATGGACAAACCTTCAGCAGATCGCGCACAAGTCAAATTTTCCTAACCATTCATTTTTGCCCGAATATGCAGGAATAAGACTTCCAATGTTGATACTTACCGGGCTCGTCAGTCCCGCATAACGATGTCCCGGTCTCGCGGGGTTCGAGCCGGCCCGTCTTGGATTGTAGACAAGGTACACTACTGTTGAGTCGGGGGACCCGCGCTACCGATTATTGAGCTACAAACCTACAAATATTTGACAGGGATTTTCCACACTTGGCCCATAATCGCAAAGTGACAGTTGTATGTCTAACGCCTCGTCAAAGGACTACATTCAGCCTGTTGATGTGAAGGAAGGGCGAGAAAACGATAGGGTTAGGGCAACATGGATCGGCAAGGGTGACCTTGTTCTTCCACAACTCCTACCTGTTCCTACTACATGCCTCTGCATTTCCTCTGCATTCGGAAACCACTTACATGCACCTAATAATATTAAGGGTTCCTTGTCGATAGGCGGTTACAAGAGCTTTGACCCACGAGTCGTGGCAATGAATTGTCAAACATAGGGCGTCTGCAAGTATCTTTCCTGTAATGTGCTCGCTAACCAACAAAAGAAGCCATATGTGAATTGTCACAAAGCAAGACAAGGCATTTAGTTCCAACAACATGCGTACCATGTGCCCGCTATCGCCAGTGCAGTACGCAGGCGGGGAAGTGGATGAAGATGAGGATGAGAAGGAGCGCCCTGATTGTGAAGGGAAAGGAAGAAGAAGAGACTACACGCTCTGGATGGAACAGACCACATCAATCTGCCCCGCCCTCGACAATTGGCCGCCCTTTTGCTTTCGATAGTGTTCTAGCATAGATCGCCAATGCCTCCGGGGGATACTTTTTAACCGTGACAACCCCAAGCGGTGGCCAATTGCGATTTGGCTGAAGAACCACCCTCCTTCAAGACCCCGCAATATTCTTGACGGAGGTCGAAATAAGACGACGTCGTCCCATTTATATTCATGTGACTAGCGTCATATCCTACTCTACACCACATTTCTACCTACATTCCGGCACCTTCTTTGCGCTGTGCAAGTAAGAGAGTGGAAGACGCATTGCATAATATGCAAAAGACGAAGGGATTCATAGAGAAGAGAAGGGGTGGGATGACTCTTCTTTGCTTCTACCGGTCCGTATCTTTTTACGTACTGACAGAGTGTCGATGCCAAAGGAAGGCTGTTCCGAGACATTTCGCATATGCTCCGCAAAAAGAGCACTCTGCTCTAGAGTAGGTACATAAAGTACTACTTCGTACATACTGTCAGTACCTCTGCTCTGGTGCAACGTTCCGTATCTGTACCACGGTTACAACCAGGTCCGCGAAGATTACTTCGAACTTCATGCCTGAACCACCTTTGCTGTTAAGCTTCCCGTACTCCAACATCAGCATGTTACGATCACACCTTGCAGATATGTATTCAACGAGATTATCTGCTCATAGAATCGATCGCACGCAGCTGAATTCCCAACCGCGGCAGGTTTCGTCGTATGTTCGGCAAAGCGTGTCCCGTTGGCTGGCTGTTTGGTTTCTAGCCTGTGATAAGACGGTGGGGAATATCGAGAAGACCTTCAACCTCTCTCCTTTCTCTCTAGCTGTGAGTATATGTGTATTCTCAGTGTTTGTCGTTTATTCTCGTGTATTTTGGTCTGCTTGCTCTTATTTGATTATCAAATGTTTTACGGCTGGGTTGAGTCCTCAATTGATCATAAGTACCCCGCTCCAGTTATCCTGCCCTTTCTGCATCGAATACCCGGAGACCATGCAATACATCTCAACTTTGCTTGCATATCTGTTGTTTCCTCCAATCCCTTTCCCTTTCCGTTTTCAGCTCTCTCAATGCTTAGGGATTATATTTTTATATTATTTTTAATATCTCTATTCCCATTGATTCGCGGGGCCGTAACTATTCCGATCTTGTTTTTGAGCTCATGCATGTCCTTTGTTTTCCCATGGAAGGCTTGGGGAAAAAGAAAACGTACGTGGTTTATCATCCGCCCCACAAGCCGCATCGGAGAGGACCACATATAGGGCAGCCCGGCTGATTGGATTTGCTGTCCGCGCTGTACGATGATCTACCTGGAAGCCCTTCACCCATTCCTATCCAGGGCCTTGGGCATCCCTTCTCTTCCCCCCAGGTTTTGCGGAGAGACATATCCCAAGGCTTCTTCTGGGCGTTCGTTACTGGCAACGCATCTTTTAAGCTTCTAAGCTTCTTCAGACCGGGTGTGTGCCGTTGGCCCAATTGGATAGGGGCATCACTTTCTGGACAAGGCTGTCACTACTTTTCTATAACAACTCACGTGGAGATAGATAGCCATGCGGGCATTGAGAAATCAAAGTTTCATACTCCGTTGGCCAGGTGTAACCGACATTTTCTCCATACTACATAAGTAGACAAAGTATTCTACTTGCGATGAAAGAATTGATAGCCTGGCCTGAGAAAGAAAAGCGAATTAGGCATGGGGGAAATGGCGTATATGTACTGCGCGGGGGGGGGGGGATAGTGCTTGCGATACCTAGGTGTTGGAGGTGTGAATTTTTGGGGGTTGGGACTGTCGGTGATCCGTCTGACACGCATGGCAGAATTCTCAACCCCAGTCAATACATACACAGGCGAGCGACTCGGAGCGAGAGCAGGCGGTAACAATCAATCCACTGGCCGACGTTCGTGAAGACGAGAGGCGGCCAACGGTGGGGTGGGAGCCCAACACATCCCAGGTGATCGGTTAGCCTTGCCTATCTTATCGTTAGCCTCCCCCCCCGACATCCCCCCCCAGGATCTGCCAGAAGTTGAACTGCACAGCACAGCAGCTTGCCAGCGTCTGTTCTATGGGATACTATCTCTTGCATGGACCTTCCGCTTTGTTGCGGCATACATTGTAAAGCGTGTGCTGCTGGCTGCTGGCCAGATTGAGCATTGAATCAGTGACGATTAACAATTCTGTAGACTCCGCATTTCATTGAATTAACTCTCGCTTCTGCCCTTGTCGGGCTTCCCATCAATACAATACTGCCTCCATTCCCCTCTTGCTTCTTATTCTCTCTTGCCCCTTGAGCCCTTGCCCCTCGCTCATCTTTCCTACGAAACACGATCTCCAATACCAAGCTCAAGCTCAACAAGCTCACCCACCCATTCGCTCCTCAACCCACATCTAATCCCTTGCTGGAAAAAAATAAAATCAACATAACCAAACAAAAGGCAAAACAAGAATTGAAGTTTCGGTCAAGAAGGTAGCTCAGTATTAACAAAAAATTATTAATTGTGTTATCACTGCCGGGTTCAGCAATGCCTCCCAACCAGAGATCGCAGACTAAAGCCCCAGGAGGGTTTCTACCACATCCTTTAGACCAATTGACTATTGAAGAGATCGGCAAAGCTCGTAATATAATCCTTGGGCTACATTCTGCTACTTCAATTGGCTTCAGAACAATTACACTAGAGGAGCCTTCAAAGAAGATCTTGACCATGTTCCTATCAGCCGAACACAAGGGCGAGTTGTCTTCTGTAACATGGAGGCCCCCACGACGTGCTAGGATTCTTTTTGAGCTTATTTCGAAGGATGGATTAGTGGAGTTGTGTGAATCAGTAGTGGATGTGGGAACTGGTCTGGAGAAGAGCTTTGAAGTGCTGGATAAGAAATGTCATGCTCCTCTCAATGCGTATGTGATCCCCCCGTTAAAACATCGGATTAAACTAAACTATAGCAGTGAAGAAGTTGCGATGTTCCCAGAAGTTACAATGGCGTCACCGCTCTTTAAAAAAGCTATTTCAGAGCTTTCACTGCCACCCAACACTGTCATCGTGATTGATCCATGGATGTACGGTGGATGGGAGAATCCGAGTGAAGATTGTCCTCGGTATATGCAAGGGTTGGTATACGCCCGTGACCCAAAGACTACCAATCCAGACTCCAACCACTATGCCTTTCCTCTACCTCTCATTCCAGTAATGGATGTTGCGAAGAAAGAAATCATCAGAATCGACCAGTTACCTACAGGTGGCACAGAAGATGGCTTGGAAGTTGGAACAGGCTCTAAGGAACCCCTCGCCCATTGCAAAGCGTGTGAATACGTCCCAGAGCTTATTCCTGGTGGCTTGAGGCAGGATCTCAAGCCTTTGAATGTCGTACAACCGTATGGACCGTCATTCACCGTTACTGGAAACTCACTAGTGGAGTGGCAGAAATGGAGGTTCAGGGTTGGATTCAATCCTAGGGAAGGAGCAACAATCCACGATGTTTGGTATGATGGGAGAAGCGTTCTATATCGTTTGAGTTTCAGTGAGATGTCAGTGCCGTATGGGGACCCCAGAGCACCTTTTCACAGGAAACAGGCTTTCGATTTTGGTGATGGAGGGGCTGGCAGGGCTGCCAACAATCTTGAACTCGGTTGTGATTGCTTGGGTCTGATCAAGGTATTTGAAATTCAGTTGCAAAGATTCGATATGAAGCTGATTAACCTAAACAGTATTTTGACGGTATCATGAATGATGTTCACGGAAAAGCAGTGATTTCAAAAAATGTGATCTGCATGCACGAACAAGATGACGGAATCCTATGGAAACACACAAACTACCGCACTGGCCGCGCAGTCGTCACCCGCAACCGACGATTGATAATCCAATTCATCATAACACTTGCCAACTACGAATACATCTTTGCCTATCAGTTCGACCAGGCTGGTGGCATTTCTCTTGAAACTAGGGCTACAGGTGTTGTGAGCACAGTGCCAATTGATTTCGGAAAGACTAGCCCGTGGGGAAATATCGTCAGTCCGGGAGTTCTAGCACAAAATCACCAACATCTTTTCTGTGTTCGTATCGATCCGGCAATTGATGGGTACGAGAACACAGTCGTTCAGGAGGAGTCTCATCCTTTGCCCTTTTGCCCGGAAATCAACCCTTATGGCAATGGGTACGAAGTGAGAAAGACTGTTATGAAGACATCTGGTTTTGCAGATGCAGCTCCACAGCACGGCAGGATTTTCAAGATTGTGAACGAGAATAAGCACAATCCCATCAGTGGAAGACCTGTGGGATATAAATTGGTGCCTTCACCGACACAGCTCACATTGGCACATCCTGACAGTATTATGGCCAAACGTATGGCATATGCTAGTCACCATTTGTGGTTTACTAAGCATCGTGATGGCGAGCTCTGGGCGGCTGGGCCGTTTACCAACCAGAGTTCTGTTGAGGTTTGTGCCAACATGATTTATACGCATTTTTTAACAAAAAAGAAGTTACTAATAGCTTTTTAGCGCGGTGGTGTTAAAGATATGGCTGATCGCAAGGAGAATATCGAAAATGACGATGTCGTTGTTTGGCACTCCTTTGGGCTAACTCATAATCCCAGAGTTGAAGGTTTGTTACTCTAGCCAACATAACTCTTTATTCTTGACTAATTTGAGGTAGACTTTCCTGTTATGCCAGTCGAAACCCATCAGATTCACCTCAAGCCAGCCGATTTCTTCTCCAAAAACCCGGCGATTGATGTCCCGTCGGCCAAAAACCAAACATCTATTCTCTACAAGAAAGGCGGCCTTGTCTCCAGCTTCGTCACTGAAGTTCCGCAAAGCCACGATGGCGACCGCAGAAAGTCGATATTGATTGTTGACGACAACTCTACTGACTCGATCGCGGTTCAGAAGACCCAACAGCAAGGGATCAAGGCGTGTTGCATGTAGTCAAGGCGCAATTTGGGGGGTAATCACGGAGTTTTTCGATTTCTAATTTTCTTCTTTTCGTTTCTCTTTTCTAGCAGGAGAGCTTTTTTCACTTTTTTTTTTTTTTTCACGGAGTTTGATTCTTAAAACGCATTTTCAAGGGTGGGTGTATCTCTCTTAGTACTTGTTTTTTTTTTAAAGGTTGGGGTAATGTTTTCATCATTTTTTTCTTTCTTTCCCGTATTTTCTTGCTTTTACGATATATACGACAGGTACGGACAACGGACGACTCAATGATTTCACGATTGGGACTAGAGGAGGGGAACTTGGGAAGTTATTTCTTATTTCTGTTTTTTTTTTTTTTTTTGACTTTTTTCTGCGCCCTGTTTTGGGGGGAACTCAAAATCCGCCCCCCCTCTCCAGGCTCTTGCTCTATTATTACTCTTATTCCCTAGATTAGCTGCTTTGCCTCAGCCTAGGGTTGTATAAAGCAAAATTACAATGTAGTGTATGTACGATATATATTCATACCTCCTAATTCATCTATTCGCATATATCTCTACTCTCCAAAAACCATGGCGGGGTAATCACAAGCACATGTAGTGGGGTAGGCGGGGCAGATATGTCGGTAGGCAGTGAACCAGGCCTACACCACGTGGGATCGGGCAATATGGAGCTGATGCCAAGGTTTCAAATCCGGGGAATCAATCAATGAGCACAAGGCTCATCGATAAGCTTCTCTAGAGATCTGGTTGGCTACACCTTGAATCATGAATAATCACTCGGCCCTTCTGAGCTTCGCCAGAAAAAAGGCTCGGCGCGGGCCGAGCCGGCGAACCACTCCAACGGATAGGCCTGCCCTCCTCAGAAAAAAACAGAATTTCTCCGCAGATTCTAATAAAAACCCTCAGCGGTGTGGGGAGGGGCTAGATGTCAGTAAAACTGGGGATTTTGATTTTAGGGAATGCTTCGTGGCTAATCATTTAGCAAAGGTGGTTGGAATAGAGTATGTACAACATGTCACAATCAATATGTAGGTGGCCAGAATATACGTACATGTATCTACCAAGGATCCCAATCAAGACCTCTTCTTTCACACTCACGCAACCTCAGATGCCCTTTTCTATGCCGCCGCATCCTTTTCCGCTTGAGGTTGAGTTAGTCTTTCCGATCTGTCATCAGAAACTGCAGGCTGTCAACCCGGTATTGGGTGGTTTTAAGCATTCGATCAAATCGGGGGCTGCAGTGCGTAGTGCGTGCAGGTAGAATAGATAAGGGTGTCACATCGTTGGGCAATCAACCGATCTTATCTCCACAATCTTCTCTTTGAGATGGTATGCAGGGAAAAAAGGAAAGGTGCGGAGATGTTTTTTTTTTTCCTTTCCTTGAGGCAGCAGAACAGAAGCTAAGACCACATAGAGTACTATATCCTGAAAGGAAAATGAAAGAAGAAAAACAGGAGGGAAAAACGAACAAATACAGCTATGAACTGATAGCCCCCCCCCCCCCCCCCCCGCGGACATGACACCCCACATCAGATCAGAGATCGATAGCTAATGGGGAGGTGTTCTATTTAACAAAATAACTCAAAACGCCATAAAGGTTTTAATACCAGCCTCCACACTCCACGCCGAGACCGGGGGTTAATGAAAAGGAAAAAGGAACCAGCCACCCTCCTTATCAGAGAAATAAATACAAAGCATAACCAATTACCACTCGGCCCCCCTTAAACCTCAGTGGCCGGAGCCTTGCCAGCGTTAACAGTGACAGTCTTATTGCCCTCATTGCTGCTGTTGGCGTCAACCTTTGCGAATGCCTGGACGAAATCCTCAATGATGTCATCAATGTGCTCAATTCCAACAGAGACACGGATCAGGTCCTCTGACACTCCCGAGGAGACCTGCTCCTCTTTGGTGAGCTGCTCGTGGGTTGTTGACGCGGGGTGAATGACGAGGGTCCTGCCGAAGAGTTCCTGTGGTTAGATACTATTCCACCAAAAGTTTCTTTTTTGGGGAGGTTGTCAACTTACTTGGCATCACCAACGTTGGCGAGGAGAGAGGCGAGCTTCAAGTTGTTGACGATAGTGATACCAGCCTTCTCACCGCCCTTGGCACCAAAGGACAGGACACCACCGAAACCTCTCTTGAGGTACTTCTTGGCCAGCTCGTGGCTGGGGTGGCTCTCAAGCCCGGGGTAAGAGACCCATGAAACCTTATCATGCTTCTCCAACCACCTAGCAAGGCTCAATGCGTTGCTGACATGGCGCTCAACCCTCAAAGACAAAGTCTCAAGACCCTGGATGAGCTGGAACGCACCGAACGGGTTGAGGCAAGATCCCAAATCACGGAGAACCTCAACACGAACGCGGATAGCAAAAGAAATGGGCCCGAAAGTCTCCCAAAACTTGAGGCCGTGGTATCCCTCGGAGGGCTCGACGAACTGAGGGAATCTCTTGGCGTTCTTTCCCCAGTCGAACTTTCCAGAGTCGACGACGACACCGGCGATGGTGGTACCGTGTCCACCGATCCATTTTGTAGCAGAATTGACGACAATGTCGGCACCTGTGGGTTTTGTCAGTACGCTTATAAGCAAACAATCGCACAGCGCCTGGTATGCCGGTAGGGATGAGTGAGTGATATACCATGCTCGATAGGCCTAACAAGGAAACCACCAGCACCAAAGGTGTTGTCAACCACCAACGGAATACCGTGGTCGTGGGCAACCTTTGCGATGGCCTCAAAATCGGGGATGTTGTACTTTGGGTTTCCAATTGACTCGATGTAGATCATCTTTGTGTTGTCGTCAATGGCCGCGGCAAAGTCCTCGGCCTTGTCACCCTGGACGAACTTTGTGGTTATGCCGAGGCGGGGGAGGAAGACCTTGAACTGGTTGTAGGTTCCGCCGTACATGTAGGAGGTGGAGACAATGTTATCGCCGGTATGGCAGAGGGCGGCGATGGCCATGAATTGAGCGGATTGTCCCGAGGAGGCGGCGACGGCGGCGACACCACCCTCGAGAGCTGCGATCCTCTTCTCGAAGACATCGACAGTAGGCTATACATAGGGAAATTTAGTCAATTTCATTCAAACAATTGAAAGAGAATATTGGGCGCAATTACGTTCATGATACGGGAGTAGATGTTACCAAACTCCTTGAGCCCGAACAAACGGGCGGCATGGGCTGCATCATTGAAGACATACGACTAATACACCCCCAAAACGTTGTCAGAAATCTCCAATTCTCCCAATTGAGTTGAAACATATATATAATATCACGGTTTGGTTTGTACATACTGAGGTAGCGTAGATAGGGACCGCGCGCGAGTTCGTCGCCGGGTCGACGTCTTGGCTACAGATTTTCGCTCAAGTCAGCCACTGGTAGCAGCTAAAGAGCCTCCTCCTCACGACAATAGTAACAGTCGGAGAGAGGCAGTGAGTGGGTGCAAAACAACATACCCAGCGTGCAAGCAGAGAGTCTCAAAGCGCGACATGTTTAATTGTATAGCGGCGGTATAGTCTCAAAAGTCGGAGAGAAAAGAATCAACGATGACTGGATGGTATCGATGAGCAAGAGATGAGAACAAAGGAAACAAACAACACCTTATATGGCGAGCTAAGAAGCCCACCAAGCACTACTAGTGCGGGGTATTAATGGCTCTAAGTTCTATTAAAACTTTTTTTTTCTTCACACTTGTTCTCGGGCACGCCATCGGGGGTTGGGTTGGGGTTGGAAAAGTCTATTATGAAATAATAACTCCCCCCAGCACGTTATAACATGGTGTGACAATCCTAAGGTCGCCGGGGAGATGGCGTTATCGTTGAATGGAATTGTAACTTCACTTTCTGTCTCAGCTCACCAGCCGGGCGAGAAGGTGAGTTTTTTCTCTTGCCCAATCCAGACAGGGTCCAGACTGGACTTTCCTTTTTTTTTTCCTTTTTTTCCCTTTTCTTATTTTTATTTCAATTCCCGGGTTCTCTGGGGACATTTCTACCGTAGCAAAAAAGAAAAGCTGACCACCACCACATGCTCTATATAATTTTTTTTTATATTTGTGGTGGTGGGGGGCGTTATTTAACCCCACGTTCACGGTAGATCCCCATTATTAATGCGGGGATCACCAATTGCGCGACCGGGGGGCTGGGGGTTGTTGTTCCTTCACGCATGAATATTACTCTTGTGTGAAAAGCCAAGCATAGGCGATCACTCGCTTATGTAGGCGGTGTGGATGTGTGCCTGGCTGGGGAGGGGAGGGTGTGCACGGGCGGCGGTGGTGGTTGACTGTTTCACAATAGATACTTGAACCTCCAACTTCACCTAAATCAAAAACATCGTACCCTACGGCTAGTCTCGTTCCCAGACTTTTGCCAACTCGTTCCTCGTTCTGCAGACTACACTCCACTGTTTACTCTAGCACTTCCACAGAGAAAGAAGACTGGGACCAAGAGAATACCATAAAAAGCCATCGCCCGAATTATCATACACTTTCTTTGGTTCCGCTTTAATTACTAGCTACATACCTAAACCATAGTAAGAGTGAAAAGAAAAAATGAAATAACACCCATGAAAACGAAAATGAACAGGAAAAAAAGGAATTTATAGACCCTAAGGCTTTTACACCAGCCCCGCCCCGGCCCTCAGAACTACAACTCAGCATCATCACCGCTGCCCAAGAGCTCCATACTCGGCATGTCACCACTGATACCATCCTTATCATCGCCGGCATCAAACGTAAACCCATCATCCGGATTCCCATCTTCCCCAGCCATGTCCTTCGTCTCCCCCGCTGGCGTGTCCGGCTTCGAGTCCACATTCATAAAGTCGTCCATAATCGTATCCACGCCCGCCAGCCCACCCTCCTCCCCCTCCTGCCCCTGCCCCTGCCCCTCCACCGCTGAACCCTCACCCTCACCCTGCTGAAACGCCGTCTCGCCGCCCACATCCAAGTCCAGCGCCGCAAACTCATCCCCCTCTGCACCTGCCGCGCCAGAACTACCCGCTTTTGCCTCCTCCTCGCCGTCCATGATGGTGTCGAGCCCGCTGGCGCCTTCAGCCACCACGCCGCCCATCTTGACAATCTCGTCGATGGGGAGCTCCCACTTGACGAGCATCTGTTTCTCTATTACCTTCTTGCCAATCGCGGCCTCGACCTCGGCAACAATTGCGTCCATTGCGCGTGTGTCGATGTCTGCGCTGTGGAGCTGGGCGAGGACTGGGTCGACGCCGGCGGCGGCGTCGTCAGCGTCGGGGGAGGTGGGGGTGGGGCGGCCATGGTGCTGCGGAGGCGCAGCTCGGCTTCTTTTGCGATGCCGCTCTGGGAGATCTTGGTTAGGCGTGCGGCGTGCAGGGCCTCCATGTGTTTGATCTCGGCCTCGATGTCTGCGATCTTTTGTTCGACGCGGGGGCGGAACTGCTCTAGGATGGCCTGCTGGTCTTTTTCCGCTGGTGCGTCCTTGTTGGTTGCCGGGGTTGGGGGTAGACGGGGGGTCGAGGAGGCCCATTGTGACGCTTTCGAGCTCGCCGCGGAGGCCCAGGCCAAGGTCGACGGGCTTGATGCGCGAGATGCTGTAGACGCTGCCGAGGACCTCTTCCATCCACTCGTGGTGCTGGATGTAGCGTGTTGTAGCGATCTCGCGCGGCGAGAGGTGGTCGAGCATGTCACCGCGCGAGGTGTCCTCCTCCTCGTCGATAGTCATGCCGGGGTCCACGGCGGCCTGCGGGTGCGTTGGTGGCGTGGGCTTGAGGCGCTTTGCGGATGGCGGGGCAGGCTTAGGGGGCGCGGGACGGGTCGGCGTCGGGGTGTAGTAGCCGCCGCCGGGTTGTTGGGGGGGCGGGGCGCTCTGCATGGGTGTGCCGCGGGGCGCCATTGGGCGAGCGGACTGCGGCGTCTGTGGGGGCAACGGCTGCTGCTGCTGTTGTTGCTGCTGCTGCTGCTGGTTGGGGAGAGTGATCATGGGCCAGGTGCTGGGGTCGCCGAGATAGAATTCCTTGCGGGGGAGTTGACCGGCGGCGAAGAGCTGGGCGATGTAGGAGCGGGCGGAGAAGGACTGGCGCGCGCCCTGAGTGATTGGGATGCTGGCGATGGGACCTGGTTCTGGCGCTCGGCGTTGAGGTAGTGGAGGAGCCAGAAGTTGTGGGTTTCGGGAGGGGAGGTGGGGCAGAGGGCTTGAGGCGGTAGCAGCGACGCGAGAAGAGGGCGTGGGACTGCACGGACTGGAGGTTGGGATTGGGGTTGAAGCCGGCCTTGTGGTAGTAGATTTCCACTTGCTGTTTATTATTTATATGTTAGCTGGGCAGTGCTCAGAATGGGCAGGATGTAATTGTAATTGTAGTGAAGAGCAGATGCAGGTGCAGATGCCATTCTAAGGTGGGGGAGGAGGAGGAGGAGGAGAAAAAGAAACAGAAGATGCTATGCGGGGCGGGCAGCCAGCACAGTGATTGCAGCGGTAGACAAATCGTAAAAACGAATGCCTCATGCCCGTGCCCGATTGACGCCCCGCTGCCATCTGTCTCGCTCGCATTACAATTGAACCAGGCCCTTCTTTCCCCGCCAGCCCGGGACGCGGCAAAACAACGCGACACCGCCCACTACGCACCGCACCGCACCGCCGGGAAAGCAGCAGGAGCAGGAGCAGAAGGGCGAGCGAACCTCTGCACCTAACGCAGCCATGCAGTACCGCACATAAACAAACGGCCTCTCCTCCTCCTTCTCCTCTTCCCCCCAACAAAGAGACAAAGCAAGATACCATAGGAAAAGGGCAGAATCACAGAAACGAAAAGAAAAAGGGAGAACAAACATAGCCCTTGACATCCACCGTATGCACATTCTCCGGGTCCGCCCACACATACCCGTCCGACGCACAGCCGGTGCCCATCTGCGGCGGGTGCCACGACAGCATCAGCGTGCCCGCCGGCGGCGGCTCAATCATGGTCCACGTGAACGGGTACTGCTGCACGACTGTGGGCGCCTTCAGGAGCAGGTCGATCAGGTGCTCGGGCTGGATGCTCTGGCAGATGGGGTACTTCATCACGCACACCGCGTGCAGGTGGTGCAGCAGCTGCGGCGATACCGACGCTGAGGGGTCGCCCATGTTGTTTGATTGCGAGCACGGGACTGGACTGGACGAGTGATGGTGTGTGAAGGTGTATGGGGCGCGGGTATGGGGGCTGAGGTTACTGGCGTTGTCTTTTGCGCGAGCTATGGGGATGTTCGGTGTGAGCGCGCGCTGGGGTTCGCGAATGGGAAAATGGTGTTGCTGACTAGTGATTTCCGCTTTTGGTGGCGATCGACGGGATGCATGCAGGGGTCGCTTGGGAGTATTAGGAGTATTACTTCTGTGATACCTTAATTGCAACTATCTCTAGAAGAGGTTTGTGCCGTGATCACCACAATCACGGTATCTGTAGGAGATTTGTTTTTGTGGAAAACATCGAGTACTCACAAGTATATCCATAGATTCTGGCCAATGGAAGCTTAAGTGTCATAGACAATGTTGGGGAGGCGCTGAGATAGAGTAACTACATGTAGCCGCAGCAACGCAATGCTACGAGGTACATATATGTAACCTGAATTCCCCGGAGACATCCGTATCTCGAATACTGGATGATGTATATGACGATATGAGATGGATAAAGAAGGGCAATAGCATCCATTGGCAGTGATGGTTTTCAGAACCAGAACGAAAGTTATATGGATGAGTTGATGTCTTCCCGCATTAATTGCTCTCTGTATCTTGCAATGCGTATATGATTATACGTATGACGTCTTCTTTGGATTGCCGTATTGTTAAGCACACCTCCGCACGGTATCCCAGAGTTCAGATCCCTCGTTTGGTAAGACGGCCAAACTCAAGGGCGAATGGCACTATTGCCCCCTCACAACATTCCGTGGAAGACACACGACTTCTCTCGTAGACCTCATGTATTTCTTTTATTATAAAGCTTGTTCCTGAAGTGACTACATGTATATATCCCGGGACATGTACTTCGTCAGAACTGCTAACCATAGCCCACCGAGTGATTCTTCATGAGTAAGTGTCGAACCTCATGTCCGCACACCTATACATCTTGACGGCTCTTGAGTTATCTCCATATTTTATATCTGATATCCATCCTCCATATATATAGCGCATAGGCAGAATGAAGGGGCGACCTTATTTATGGTAGTGGTGAATTGGACGTGCGAGTGGTAACACATGATGGTGCACACCCAACACGTAGGATAGAAGAAAACGACCACCACCACTTGTGGGTGAATGTTTGGTATATTCTGTATAATAAGAGTCGAGTTAGAGAGGTGCTGAGCTAGATAGCTCTTTGAAAGCTTAAAGTGCAACTTTTCATTACTAAATATTGTGGCTTCTTTCCACATTAGCTATGCTCGGCATTGATTAGAGTTCATTGGATAAATACCTCCATTACAGAGCTCCTGCTACTCCTGAATATTTGTTAAAACTTACTCTGTGTGATCTTAAAGTGAGATGGAGTTGAAGTTGAGGCTAAACGGCGGCGATCCACCATATACCTTAGTGCGCATGCGGGAGGTGGCGTATCGATTCAGAGACTATAATATTTCAGCGAGGCTTTGGAACATAATCTTGCTACTGGAATTGGGTAGCTCATTTCGAAGGTGTGTTTATGTATGCCAGGATCAGTCGGGGGCTATCCATGATTAACGATCGAGGGATATAGTAATGCTTAGAGGGATTATGCTCTAGCTTAACCCTTGAAGGTCTAGACCTGATATCTGCGAACGTTCGTGAATTACATGTATAGCGCGCGCCTCAATCACGAAGTTTTGTAGGAAGGCTCAATAGCATGGATGGTTGATAGTTCTATTACGAAGGAGGATGAAAGCCTCTCTACTTATACATATGTGTAAAGGTGACACGTTTGGTCATAGTCTTGACTATGGACACCTTTACTAAGACCACCTTACAATTTGATATCGGCCTCTGTGTCACATACTGGGTTGGTCATAGCACCCTATACATGTATATCTCGATTGTCGCCCAAATCAGTTTGATGAGTGTGTTGTCTAAAAACCTGGGTGCGGAGTGGAGTTTCTCATTCCTGGAAAACAAAATCTTAGGCTCTATATACTCTTGGAATAATTTACGAATTACCTCCCTCTCGATCTCTTCTCATTGTATAACTGTGGATGTTCCAGGACCGACGTGGGAAAGTTCGGAATTTACAACCTAGAAGGTTCCAAACCCTATTTATTTATTTCACCTGCATAGCTCGAGCCTTGGAGGTCCATTTTTCCTCCAGTTTACAGTAGCAGTTCCCAACAGGTCCCGCGACTTTTTAGTGTGCCCGTACATACATATATCCACTTTCACTGAGCTAATGCACACGTGCACCCGCCGTTTGCAAAGTTTCTTCCGTCCTGATATTTGATACTAATTGCAGGTACCACGGTGATGACTTTCGAAATATTGTCAAGCTCAAGTTAAGAGTGATTATATTAGTCTATAGACAGGAAGAAAGTAGCACGAGATGACAAGTGAGTTTCAGATAAGAACTTTGCCACTCCAACTGCATAGATGGTGCACTTTCTCGGGATAAACAATAATGCCTATCAGTTATAACAAATACACATGAACATCATTCCTTATAACCTTCCGTCATTACTCGATTGTATATTGGCTATATCTTCTCAACGACCAGCATACTTTTTTGAAGATCTATCACTAACCACCGATACAAAAGACAGCGAAATCCTTTCAACAGACCTCCAACTCCAGTTAAGCCTATCCTATAACCTTCTCGACCGGCTACAACGCCTTACTTATTACCATCCCTAGGCCCCTCCCTTGACCCCCTCCCCACCCTCCTTTCCCTTCACCCTCCGCAGTGCCTCCTCCTCCCGCGCCGCCCTACATCCCCCCTCACACGCCTCCAGCCTCCTCCCCCACGACCCACACTTCCCGCACTTCTCATACTTGTTCTTATACAGCACCCACGCCATCTGTTCCTTCCTACATCCCCAACCTACGTCAGACACTCCGCAACAAATACCACAAAAAGGGCAGAAACTTACACCAGCGCCGACTCGGCCGCCTCCACCTCGAAGCGTGCGCGGTTGGTATGATACGTGTTGACATTGACGGTGTAGATGGCCATTGGTATACGTTTGCCGATATATGGGGCAGCGTATGGCGCGAACAGCGGCCGCTTATGTATATGTAGGCCGCCGCGCGAAGCAAGGGGGTGTTGCGCCCGCTTGGCTTCGGGAGGAGGAAGTAAGGAGGGCATGGTTGGAATTTTGGCCGGTTTGTGTCGGTTATGATAGCTTTGTTTGGGGTTGGATGGACTCTGCGAGTGAGTTGAATGAATAACAATTGGTCTCGGCAATTAATGGTGCTGGGCAATTGTGTCGAGTGATGGGCTGTGATGGAGGCGGGAGGTGTGGTGTAATTCTATTTTGGCGGCGGCTAGCTGGGATGTTGTGCTATGCTTTCGACGCAGGAATGAAGAACAAGCTTAGGTAGGACTATGTGTATATAAGACGAACACCCAGGATGAATTCAACCTACTCGCCTTCGTAGAGGCTTTTGAGCTTATGATGAGTTGTAGAGGGCATGTATTGTATTTAGTAAACAAAGTCCCCGCCGCCGGCACGGTGGAAATGATATTTATTCCTACAATTACTATACACTTCATGAACGTCTCAGCCGCGCCGCCCTCAACATCGATCCCACCGAACACAAAAGCCAACCTCGGGAACCGCTCCGATCCGGTGGCACCTCTATCCCAAACCACGACTGTCTCACGGTGAAGCAAAAACACACCCGGCCGGGCCCGCCGGGGTGTGGGGAGCGGCGGTGGGGTGGTACCTTGTATATCTATCACGAGCCATCACTCGGCCCCTAGCTAGCCAATCCCATTGAATGAATGCACTTTCCCCCCCAAAGGGCTCAAACTCTGAAACTCAAGAAAGCGCAAGTAAAGTTGAACAAATCTTTTCAAGCGTGGCGGGCACCACATTGGTTGTTGCGTCAAGATGCAGTCACGCCCATAATATTCACCCATTCCCAGCCGCAGCTTAGAACAATGCATAGTAATCCAATGCCCCTCGCCCGCGACTGGACCCATATATAGTGACTTTTTTTTTTCTTTCTCCATCCCCGGCGCAGACATATATAGCACCTACAACATTCTACACCCCATTCTACGCATCTCCTCCCCTCCCCTCCGCAGCAGAAGAAGCAGTGATTAATTCCTCTCCTCATCGCCCCCCGGCCATCCATTCCATCCCTGCTAGCCTCAGAGCTCTACACGCCACCCATCGCATCACGTGACCACCCCTGCAGCTGTTCCCCCCAACAGCCTCGATACATACATACCTGTCCTCCAACCTTAAACCTACACCCGGCTATACAGACAGACGTCGGTCGAAACCTCCCATTCCACAGCTCGCAAACGGACGGACACCCGGACGGGGGGAGAAAAAAGAAAACAGACAACAAGAAAGAGAGAGCGATAGGGAGTGAGAGAGAGTGTGAAAGAGCAAGATAACCATGTCCTCCAGGTAAGTTTGCGCCAAACCATGTAATAATATATTTTAGAAGTGTACATAAAAACTCACCACAAAATCCAAAAAGATACGGCGGCGGGCACCTCCACCAGCGAGATGCGCGTTCACAGCTCTTCGACAACGCCGGCGGCGGCTCCAGCTACGGCTACGGCTACGGCTACCCCAGCGACGGCCGCGGGGGGCCGGCCTCGCCCCGTGTCGCGAGCGCATACCGTCCCGCGACTCCAAACGCCCGCGGCCAGTACAGCGCCAGTGTGCTCGAGGAGCTCGAGAGCCAGAATGATGCGCAGGTTGAGGGTCTGAGCGCCAAGGTCAAGATGTTGAAAGATGTGGGTTCCCCTTCTTCCATTCTACAGATTGTTCTGGGAGGGCGCAAAAGAAAGCTTAATGATTATGGATGACGGTGGTGGTGACTGTGGCTGACGTTTGATGTGTGTGTGCTGTAGATTACGGAGGCGATTGGGGAGGAGGTACGGTCTTCGTCGACGCTGATGGCATCGATGAATGACTCGTTCGACAACACGCGCGCGAAGCTGCGCGGGACAATGAGCAACATGATGCGCATGGCGAAGCGCACGGGCGTGGGATGGAAGGCGTGGCTGCTGTTCATCTGTGCGGTGATCTTCACATTCTGGTATGTTTGGCTGTTTTAATGCTTCTAGTTTTCTGTTTTGTGGAGGACTTTTTTTCTTTCTGGCTGTATTAAATGGCATGTTTTATTCATTACTCCCTATTTTTATTTTTTGTTATCACTGTTTTATAAAACAATTCATGTGCTGGTCATAGCCGGTGGTGCGGAGATGCCGTACAAAGAACGAATGCCACGCCTTTAGCATTACGTGCCTACGATTGATGAGCCCCATTATGAGCCCGCCATGCAACCACATGACGTGCATTCGCTCTGAGCATTGAAGAGAACGATTACACATGTTTCATTACTTTCCAAACTTCAACATTACTAGCCAGATAGGTCATGGGCATAAATAATGGAACACAAAGGACAGGCAGGAAAAGTAAAAGGAAAATTAGGCACATGAGAAACCAAACAGATTTGGGTCGACAAAAATAAAGGTAAATAAAAATAGTAAAATGAAAAAGAAAGAGGAAAAAAAGGGAAAAGAAAGCAAAGACGACCGACGCCCAGAGTATAGGAGCATCATTCCATCAGATACATCATATCCATCGTGACCTTCTGACCCAGCTTGCTCAGTCTATGCCAATCTCTCTTTGACCACTCTTCAAACCACGCGTTTGTAGTGTACGTACAGAGAAGTTTAAGAAAGAAAAAAAAACAGAAATAAAAGCCAAGGTCAAACACGCCAACTACTAACATATATCTGGTCTTGCTATTCATACCTAGACATAAAATCATTTCAAATTCAGATCAACAGCACTTTCCGTCCTTTGAAGGGGCGTCGGCCGAGTTGCTGATTACGATGGGCTGGCTACCACCGACGGGGGGTACCGGGTGCGCATCGCCACCATCGAGTGCTTTGCTTGAGACAATTCGGTAGATTTCTTAGATAAAGTTAGTCTCGGTATCACAGCGCGGGGGAGGGGTTCTAAGTGGTACCTGTTAAAATGTTCTGGAAAGCAAGCTCAACATTGCTGGCATCAAGCGCAGAAGTCTCAATAAACGAGAGGTGGTTCTCAGCTATTTCATCGCGTCGAGTCAGTTCCAAAATCCATTCACGCATTCCGGACTCTCTTCTGTGACGCACCAGCAAAGTTCTTCGCGTCGTCTGTTGGTACCGCCCTCAGATGCCTCAAATCACTCTTATTTCCAACCAACATGATAACAATATTGCTATCGGCGTGATCTCTAAGCTCCTTGAGCCAGCGGGTAACATTCTCGTAGGTTGTGTGCTTCGAGATGTCATAAACCAATAGAGCGCCCACCGCACCTCGGTAGTAAGCCGAAGTGATGGCCCTGTACCTCTCCTGACCAGCAGTATCCCATATCTGGGCTTTGATTGTCTTGGAATCAACCTGAATCGAACGGGTGGCAAACTCGACACCGATAGTGGATTTGGAGTCGAGGTTGAACTCGTTACGGGTGAAACGACTCAGCAGATTGGACTTTCCAACGCCGGAATCACCAATCAGGACAACTGAAGGCGGGGCACAATGTTAACAAAACACCCTTATTGAAGGGGGAAGCGACGATCAATGAATCGGTGCATGGATAAACAAGATCATGTCTCGATAATGTGGCTTGTCATAGAAGCTTCATGTGGGCCGTCGTCATGAGGCTCCGGGAGGTCAAAATGAGGGGAGTGGGTTGAGACAGTAATGGAAAGTACCTTTGAAGAGAAACTACAAACAAGAGGGGGAGGTGGAAAGTCAGTATTCACGATAGCTTTCCCATGGGGTGGAGGATATGATGATAACTCACATCATATTCATCATTAGCCATTTTTGTTTATTTAGGGAGGGGTGATGAGGTCTTCGTGGATAAAAAGTGGGGGTTGTCGTTGGAGCGCGAGGGTGAAGACACGAGGTGAGATGGTAACTGGAGTGGATCAGTGAGCAAGAGCTGATAGGGAGAGAACCGAGCGAAAAGGGTTAAAGATGTTATTGTGGGATATGAGGGGGACAGAACGAAAAACAGAAGCGGACAGGTTTACTTTTGTTAGGAGCCTTGAGTAGATAAATACGCAGGTGATTGAATGATGGGGGTGTCTTTTGTTTCTTTCGCAGGGTGGTAGCAAGTAGTTGTTGCACTTGGGAACGGTAAGCGGTTGTCTGAGCACGCTGCGGTGTGTCGTCTGCCTTGTATCTAAGGTTTGGTTGGCTCGCGAAGGGGAGGTCAACCAGCAGTTGTGCCAGCAACAGCAGGAGCAGCCGCCCGAATTCCACACCGACGGCCACGGCCACGGCCTCAGACCTAAAAGAGGAAGGACCCAGGGGGTCCCTCTCCGAGTCTCTAGCCCCTCCGGATCAGTCAGCAGCCTACCTGGTAGGGCTACAACCCTGTCACGCCACATTGAGGCACAGACAAAACCCAAAAACGCCTCAGCTGGATCCTCATTCATTACTCGCTGCGTCATCCTGAGTTATAGGAGAAAAACTCCTTCAACTTCCCACGCAACAAACAAAACCTTTCTGTTACCAACCTTTCTCTCTCTCAAAGAGATTCATCTTTCATTCAGCAGCGCAAATTCGCTCTGCTGGAAGCCGGTAGGGGCTGTCAGGATCATCTTCCCCTACAGGAGGCCAAACAAAGAATTTACAAAAAATCTCAATTAGGTGTAAGATATATATCTATACACACAAAACAGAACCAAAAAAAAAAAACGCGTCACTGTTAGCTCGCGTATCTTCAGCAAAATGTTTACCACCGCCAGCATTTTTCGCAGTCAAAACGATATTGCTTCCGACGACGACTCAGATGACGGTATCTCACTCACGTCTACCCTGGCTAGCCAGGAGGACCCGGATAACACCTATATTGTCGAAAATATCCTCGCTGAGAGATACTTTTCAGACGAAGACAGAATGAGATATCTCGTCAAATGGGAAGGCTACCCTATTGAGCGTGCCTCCTGGGAACCAATCGATATGTTCGATGATAAAAATACAATCAATGAGTGGAAAGCAATGAAAGAACGCCATGAAAATTGCGGCTCGTCCTCACCGTTTGATTGGGAGCAATGGGATGAAGACAGGTACAGAGAAAGAGAGGATCGTGATGCTCGTAAGGCTCGTAGACAGAGAAAGAGACAGAGATTGGCAAGAGCAGGTAGAGCAACTAGCAGTGGAGGTTCTCGTGCGTCCTCTGCTAGGAGTAGGCACTTTGTCGTCAGTGACGAAGAGATTGTAGCATCTCCTGAAGAGGAAACTGATCTTGAAGTAAAGGTCGTTCCACGACGGACGAGGAAGAAGGTTCGAGATTCGGACGAGGAAGAGGACAGCGAAAGTGCTGATTCGCTCATGGAAGATCTTGCTAAAAGTGAGCAAAGGAAAAGGGCCAGAGCAAAGTCGCTAAAGGACACAGGTGCCCCAGAATCTAAGAAACAGAGGTTGAAAGACCGAAGGCGACGATCACTAGATGATGGTGAGGGTGAAGATACAGAAGAGCATCTTTTTGAAGATCAACCATCCAGCAAAAAGGTAAAGGCTCATTCTTTTCAAGTAAGCATAGTGATTCTAACTCATAGCTTTTCCAAAGCCTCCTTTTCCACAATATGGGAGGCCAGCTAAACCTGGACGGAAAGTCTCAGCCAACAAGGGCAATGACTTGGACAAGAGTGTCGCTGCAACCGCATCTAAATTATCCATGATGGACGTACAACAGCGAAAAGCACCAGCTGCATCAGTCAGCTCTGTTGGGTCTTCAAGGACTGTCATTAATCCTGCTAATGGTGGGCCGAGAAGGAATCGTCCTAACCTCCCCCGAAGCCGCCTGCTCCTGCTTCAGGCACCATTCCTGGTGTGCCAAGGATAGGGGGATTCATCTCTTTATCACAGCAGAATAAAGTCCAAAAAAGAGGTCGTAATGAACCTGCTCCAGATATAAATGCCCTAGAATTATTCCACGCTGGTGATCCAAATCCTAGGATTACACGCCCTAGAAAAATATCTACTGGAGGCGGGATGAAGGTAAATGCTGGAGAGGCCCCACAAACTAAGGAAACTGTAGAGCCCCCTGAGAGAGAGGCTTTACAGAAAAACGAAGAGGATCCCAGACTACAAAAACGACGGAGAATAGAGGATGGTTTGAAAGTGCAGACATTATCCCTAGAGGGGTATACAAGACGTAATCAGGCTACACATGGACCTGAAACCGGCCGTGATGCCAACCCACCACTTCAGGGTCCAATAGGTGATTGTGAACCTGCCATTGTTAATGACAACGAAACACCCATATCTGCAGGGCCTTCTGCTGCAGGCGAAGTAAAAGACCCATTAGCCTCGAAAAACCCTACGCCTACGCGGCAGACTATCAGTGCCAAAATGATGGACATTGGTCCAATTAAAGAGCTTCCAGTCAAACCCACTTTCGAGTGTATACTTGAGGTTGGGTCGTCAAGCGATGTGGAATCAATTCACGTCAAATTTATTGGGTTCAGTAGTGCCTTTACAAGCTTTGTAGACGGACTGAATGACAGTCGATTTTGGGTATCGCGGTTCCTGGAAGATGCCTATATAACCAATTTCCTTGTTCCTGTAAGTTGGCGTAATATGTTTATGCTGGTCTCGCTTGTATCGTGTTCTCGAAGAGGTGCTAATGATGGACCTATCTGAGGTTGTAGGAGTTGGGTGTTCCATTTGAGTTTGCGGACATGGAGATGGACCTTGATAAGTCACAGTCTTTCCTTAATTCTATTGTCGTCTCGCACGGCGCTGGAGTAGTACTTCACGAAGGATTTTCTCTTCTCATTTTTCAGCCGAGCAATGATAAGCTTCGCGGTGCCTTTAAAACACCGATGCAACAAACTCGAACAGCTCTTCGAGCAGTTGCGTATCCTCCGTTTGATGTACCGATACCCATCCGAAACTCAATTGCAGAGTCTATGGTACAAATACAAAAAGCATTGAAACCAGAGTCTATGAATGGGCTTTACATTCACACTCTGCTCGAACGGCTTTTAGGCGTAAAATTCCCAGAGATACTACAGAACACAAAGGGAGGCGATAATTTCATCATTTATTGCCCAGAAATAGCACATTCCGAGGCTGAAGAAATGGAAACGGCCTTAAAATGTCTTGGGAGAACAAGTTATTCCGTAGATCAAATTCCATCGCTGTACGCAAACAAGTCGACCAGAGAGAAAGTTTGCGTATTGGTATGTACTTGATTCTATCCCCTAATAAAATTGTAGCATAATGCTAATGAAATCCATGTTAAAGGTTCACTTTTCGCTTAGGCGTCAATTACATTTATTGCCGCATATACGGCACTTAAAGAGTCGTGAACAGCAATTTTATTTCTTTGGAGCCAGACTTGAGAGATCGTGCTCCCCGGGAGAAATGGAAACTCACCCTGTTCGTTTTTGGAATTTCGGCACATTAATTATGTTGACGCCCAAGTTCGTCTTGGAAAATGAGATCGCCATGAACCATGTTTTAAATTACCAGGTTTGTTTTTTATACTCGCTGGACTCACAGTTACACCTTATTCAAATGAGGATAAAGTTAACCGAGGAGTATGTAGCGAATCAAGGCTGCAAGTACGACCCTTTGTTTTTCAGGGGCAATGCTTGCTCAAGCAGAGGCCAAGGTTTTGGAGAAACCGTCCAGTGAGACTGAGAAGTGTGTTTACAATTCCATAGAATCTATCGTTACACAGAAATTCTAACCTGCTTAAAACATAGGGCCTTGAAATATGCGTGGTTATTGATGGATAAGAAGGGGCGAGGGGAGGCCTTCGAGTTGCAGATACAAGATGCTGATGGGGTAAGAATCGTTACCCGCTTTATGTGAAAAGATAAAGTTATTCAACTGATGCAATAGTGTGACGAATTCGAAACCATTGCGGACGCCTTTGCCATGTATCAACTTGAGCATTGTGCTGAGTACCGGAGGTTCATGATCGGTCACTCGGAGGATGAGGGCATATCCACTGTGAAGGCAGGAGTTTACAACTGCGTAAGAGGGGATTCCTTCTGACCTGAATATAACGGGACCTAACTCTGACTCCTGGTAGATTGAATTTCATAGTCCAGAATCGTTGGTCAACGAACTCGTGTCCAAAAACTTCAAGCAAGGAAATCCTCCACCCAGACCCCCTCAATAGTTATGTCAACACCAAATAACCCTGATTAGCATTGTAAAATCCTGTAATTTTACTCCTCCTCTTAGTGGCGACTGTATTTTCTTTCTTTTTCTTCCACCACATCTTCTTTTGTTCCACCAACTTGTTTGGTCTGGAGCCGCAGGTCTGTGAATGGATTATATTATTTCATTCTTAGCGAGGTATAGATCATATGCGGTCATCTGGATTGGAGTAAGACAAGGAATTTCTTGTTTATTCGGCGAGTTTTTCCTCATACCCGCCTGCATAATTGAGTTGGAAAACCTATAATCACGGAATAATCATACACTTTTTACAAATTTAGGAGATGGACACTATTACGGTTATTTTGTCTATACTTACCCATATATATACTCTTAAAGTAGATGTGTCTTTTGTTAGTCGGATGGATCGACGCGAGACATGTGTTAGTGGTATTACATATGTTCCCAGCACAGGGTTATCCTCCTTACCTAGATGAGTTTACAGTTCGTGACAACGTCGTAAACGTATGCATTTTCTTCGTTTGCGTAATTTTCAACAGCAAAGGCACAGCAGTTGCACAGTGGAGGCACAGCAGAGGCATAACCTATGTACTTACATACCTAGCCTACGCAAGATGGAGGTTCAAAGCGGTTGACTTTTCACCCAGCGCTTAAGTCGTCACTAATCCTCAAACCCAGAATGTCAGAGTTGTAGCCTTTCTTGTATATAATCCACCAAGTATTGCACGTTGAAAATTGGTTCATATGTTAAGAATCTCCCCGCAAGCCCTCTCAAAATAGAGGAAGAAAGGAAAAAGCTTTAGAAAAAAGAAGGAAAAAGAAGGAAAAGGATCGCATGATGTTTATATATGCTCCCGAGACTCTACCAAAATCCTACATTTATACATATCGCTTCATAATATTATAAGAAAGAATAGATGCGCGGTACCAATCGAACTGTGAAGCCTGACTTAGCGGAGGGATGGGTGCGGGGGATGGGTGTGAGGGTAGGTAACGAAATACACTTCAGGTCCAAAGGTCGATGATACCCGACCGCAATTCTACAAGCTAAACCCTAACTTATTCTTATATTCTCACCTGCCTCTGTGCTCTGCAGTCCTTCAGCTGGAACCGGTCTAAAAACTTCTAAACCATGCCGGAACAACAAGATGTAAGGCGAAGCGGTGATTCAAAGGCCACCAGTAGCTCTCTTCTTCTCAACAACAGCATCCTCAAAAGGTGTTATTCTTGATTGTCTTCTGGTACGCTGCTGCTTAACGGCCCATTCTTCTTCCTCCGCTGCAATCATAGAATGGAATTTATGCTGCTGACCGCGGGCAAAGTATAGAGGTGGTTGCTTCCGCTGCGCTACGGATTCGGTCAAAAGAACGTGCTTGATACTCGAGCCTGCATAACAAACGGTTAGCTTTTATCTTCATTCTCTAAGATGTCAATATTAGTGGATATACCAGGTGATTCAAACATAGCATCAGATAGTAACCGCTCCATTACCGTCCGTAGACCTCTGGCACCAGTCCCCATAGCAAGCGCAGCTTTAGCTACCTCCCGTAGTGCTGGCGAAGTGAGTCGTAGCTCGACACCGCTGAGTTGAAATAATTGTTCGTATTGTTTTATAAGAGCGTTTCGTGGCTCTGTCAGAACTCTCACAAGCATCTCCTCATCTAGAGATTCTACGGCGGCGATGACTGGAATACGTCCGACAATTTCCGGTATAAGGCCAAAGCTAATTAGATCCCCCGGCTCTGTCATCTGTAGCGGGTTAAACTTCTTTTTCTTTTTCACGACCTCGCCGCCCAAATCCAGCCAATCATCCTCCTCTGGAGTTGGAAAGAACGGGGTAAGTTTTTGCATCAACTCTTTATCTTCAACAAGATCATCAGCCGATGCTCCCCTTACCGGGGCATTGAACCCAATAGAACCCTTTGAGACACGGTCAATAATCAGTTTATCCATCCCTATAAAGGCGCCCGTGAAGATGAACAGAATGTTTGATGTATCCACTGTAAAAGTTTCCCCTTTCCCCGAGCTACTCCCACCGCCGCCGCCCATCCCTGTGCTTGCTGAGTTGAAGGGAGAGCCCCCATTAATGGGGTTTTGTGGTAGGCCCTGTGGGGGGCGACGCTCGGGTTTGGTATTGATTTGAAGGGTAGTGCCTTCTATGATTTTGAGGAGAGCTTGCTGAACACCCTCGCCAGAAATATCTTTAGCTCCGTGGGAGCTTTTTGGCTTAGCTATTTTGTCAAACTCGTCCAGACAGACGATTCCGGTTTCTGAGACGCGCAGCAAGTCAATTATGGCACAGTCGGGTGGGCCATGTATACGCACCAGCCCGTCGCACGTCCCAATTAGCTGCCACTAATAACCGATGGATACAGATATCTGCATCCTCACCAACATAACCAGCTTGTGTAAATGGTGTGCAATCGGACCTCCACTTGTCAGGCCCGGAAACCTAAAGGCAGTTTCTGAGAACACACTCACATTGAGAACGGAACCTCTAGTACTCTTGCAAGGGTACGTAGCATCAAGGTTTTGCCCACTCCGGTCGGGCCGAGACAGAGTACTGAGCACATAGAATTGGTCAGGCATCTACTAGAGCCTAGGGAGCTTATAAGTAGACTTTAATTACCATTACTCTTCTCAATGGTAAGAGGGGTGTAATCATGAATCGGCAAGCAGTCTCCTTTCGGCGGAATATGCACCGTTCTCTGCTGCCCTGGGTACTCGTCTACAGAGCCTTCATCAGCCATCCAACTCCAAGTAACCACTGAGCTACCACCGAACTAACCTTCTGCCGGATGGGCACCTATTACTTGGCTTGACCTCAATAGATCATCTTGCTCTTCCTGCCTCTGACGTATTTGGGTTACTCGCTTATAGTGATGGTAGATAGCTGTGGATAATATCCTTTTTGACCTGGACTGGCCTACAACGAACCGATCTAGGTGCTGCTTCAGAGCTCTGATTAAGAAATCAGTCGGCCGTAGGTCTCTCAAATGTCAATCACGAGTGCCTACCTTGGTGTGAGCTTCACACTCGCGGCATCAGCTAGAGGCCCCTGGGTCGGGCTATTGGTGTCGACCGTAGAGCTATATCCAGCACTACCAAAGCTAAAGTTGGAAGGGTTATAGGATAGCCATCTTCTGGTGCTAATGATAAACGATGATCCCGCCGCAAGCTGTTTTAAGGATTTAGGACGTCCGAGAAGCATGTTTTTTCACGAACAGATGGGATATCGAATACTGGAACGATTGAGTGGAGTTTACATAGGAGATTGATCATGCCGAGTCTCGACTCTTAAGAGCCTCTGAATCATGCGCCGGGTGTGGGTTGCGCCAGTAATTTAAGCGCGGTGTCCGCTTCCCGGAGGACCATCCTTGTTGCTAAAGCAGCAACGACAAGCGTCCATTAGCGAGTGAGACCTGGTGAAACTGATCCGGCCGATAACAACAAAACCAATGAGTATAACAGTTCTGATTATCTGCATACTTAGGAGCTCGATTGGTATTAATTAGGTATTTAAAGTATATATCATTAAGGTTCCTTATCATGCTATGTACATATATAGTTAATGAATTAAACAAAAAAAAAATCATGCTATGTATGTCATGATCAAACACTGAGTGATCTTTTATGATTCAAAACAATATAATCTAAAACTCTATAAATCAAAATTCAAAACGTTTGATAGTCTTGATGTTTCTGAAGTCTTGTCACCAGATACCGTTTTAATCCTATAGCGATACCTATCATTAATTCTATGGTGCTACCATGGTGAGTCCCTTTTTTGTACTGTACCATGGCGGTAATTAATCATGATCATGTGAAGTTATTGTTATAATGAAAGGAATCGACATCAATCAGGGGTAAAATCAATAGCCCGGTTAAAATGGTACTATAATTATTATATTGAACAAGCTCTGCATGGAATCTTTGAATCTAGCTAGATACATGCATGAGTCCGAGTGATAGCTTTGAGTGTGTCTGGCTAGTCAATATACATATACGTTTTGGTGAACGTCCCTGTAGCTAATATACATACTTGTATATACGGTTGTTTGGGGCATTGCGTGTTCACTGGTGCTTGGGAATAGTGGCATCGTGATGCCGCCGCAAAGGGCAAGGGCCCAACGTGCCATGGCCAGATCACTATTGGCTCATTTATAAAATATTTTTAAATCTACTATGAGAAGTAAGCCTTTCAAAGAACTACGATTTGTCCTCTTTCAGTCTGATTCTTGTGCAACAATCTAACGCGTACGCTGTCTAAGGGTCTTGATTTTCACTGTGCGTAATATTATAATACATGTAGTACTGCTGCCACGCAGCTAATGGATTATTAATAGCACGCTTTTCCTTCAACTTACTTGATCACATAAAAATGATCTTATTATAAATATACCAGGGCCTGCCGGCCGTGAGAATAAATGTTGGCTAGTGCATAGATACCACATGTATTGCGGGGTTAATTGTTGCAATTGCTGCACGGCATTAATTAATATGCATGGTGCTCTGAATTAATAGCGACGTACTAACATTGTCGGTCGGACAAAGCATGGACCGTTCCGAGGACAAAGCGATTGTCTTGCGTGTATTTCCGGAAGACCGTGCCAAGTCTATACGGACGCAAAGTCTGAGACCAACCACCAGCCTGTTGCCGCTTCATCTCCCCGTTTCGTTTTCTCCCCCTCCGCCCGCCATCGTCACTCCCCTCATTCCTTCTATCACATACCCCTCCACCGTCCATCATGTTTAAGAGGTATCCACATTCATTTTTCCATCATTAAACCCTCTAAGAAATTCAATTGCTAATGTCTTCAATTCGTTTCAGCGGTCTTGCTCGATTTGCTGCCGGTAGGCGAGTCGGGGCTTCACTGAAAGCTGCCCCGTTACTCCGCAACAATGCTATCCCTAAATCAACTTTCGGATCTCGTTTGATGGCTACTGCTGCCGGAAACCAGCTTCAAGGAAAGATTCATCAGGTTATTGGTGCCGTCGTCGACGTGGTATGTTTTGGAAAATTTTTCTTCGGGCGAAACCCGGCTATTCCGGGTGACATTACCGATGTAGAGAGGTTGTCAGCTCACCATGGATAATAGAAATTCGACTCGGAACAATTGCCTCCTATTCTCAATGCCCTCAACACCGACAAGAACGGCCAAAAGTTGGTCTTGGAGGTTGCCCAGCACTTGGGAGAGAACATTGTCCGTTGTATTGCTATGGACGGTATGTGGACTTGGCATCATTGATATCCTGTTTGGTTTCGACCAGGAAAATATGCACGACAACGACTTGTTTACTATCTTCATATGCTGATATTTGTCTCTGTTCAGGTACCGAAGGTCTTGTCCGTGGTCGCGCCTGTATCGATACCGGCAACCCCATCATGATCCCAGTCGGTCCCGGAACTTTGGGCCGTATCATGAACGTCACTGGTGACCCCATTGACGAGCGTGGCCCCATCAAGGCTACCAAGTACGCCTCTATTCACGCCGAGGCTCCCGAGTTCGTCGACCAGTCCACCACTGCCGAAATCTTGGTTACTGGTATTAAGGGTAAGCCAATATCGCACTGTTCAACCATGGATTAGAACATCCATTGACAAATTTTCAGTCGTCGACTTGCTCGCTCCCTATGCTCGTGGTGGAAAGATTGGTCTCTTCGGAGGTGCCGGTGTCGGAAAGACTGTGTTCATCCAGGAGTTGATCAACAACATTGCTAAGGCTCACGGTGGTTACTCCGTGTTCACTGGTGTCGGAGAGCGTACTCGTGAGGGTAACGATTTGTACCACGAAATGCAGGAGACCGGTAAGCTTCCATTTTTCTATGCAATATTTACTACGGATATTAACAAATTTTAAGGTGTCATTCAACTTGAGGGTGATTCCAAGGTCGCCTTGGTCTTCGGTCAGATGAACGAGCCCCCCGGAGCCCGTGCCCGTGTCGCTCTTACTGGTCTTACCGTTGCCGAGTACTTCCGTGATGAGGAAGGGCAGGATGTGCTTCTCTTTGTATGCCCCTAAAAAACGACTCCTTTGATTGCTTTACTTTAAACTGACCTTCCCCTCAGATCGACAACATTTTCCGTTTCACCCAGGCCGGCTCCGAAGTGTCTGCCTTGCTCGGTCGTATTCCTTCTGCTGTCGGTTACCAACCCACTTTGTCAGTCGACATGGGTCAAATGCAGGAGCGTATTACCACCACCAAGAAAGGATCCATTACCTCCGTCCAGGCTGTCTACGTGCCTGCTGACGATTTGACTGATCCTGCCCCCGCCACCACTTTCGCCCATTTGGACGCCACCACTGTGTTGTCCCGTGGTATTTCCGAGTTGGGTATCTACCCTGCTGTCGACCCTCTTGACTCCAAGTCCCGTATGTTGGACCCCAAGATTGTCGGAGAGGAGCACTACAACACCGCAACCAAGGTTCAGCGTATGTTGCAGGAGTACAAGTCTCTTCAGGACATCATTGCTATTTTGGGTATGGATGAATTGTCTGAGGCTGACAAGGTAAATGATAATGATATCAATCCTGAATAAAATCAGATGCTAATATGAATGTTTTAATAGCTCACCGTCGAGCGTGCCCGTAAATTGCAACGTTTCCTTTCTCAGCCATTCGCCGTCGCCCAGGTTTTCACCGGTATCGAGGGTGCTTTGGTCGACATCAAGGACACCATCAGATCATTCAACGAGATCATGAACGGTAACGCTGATGACCTGCCCGAGGGTGCCTTCTACATGGTTGGTAGCATCGAGGCCGCACGAGCAAAGGGTGAGAAGATGTTGGCTGAGTTGGAGGCCAATAACTAAAATGTTATGTGAAAATTGGGGCGCTTGGGTTTCGATACTGTGACATTTAGAAGAGCCCAGGTTAGTTAGCATTGCAATCAAGGCTTTTTTTGTACAATTTATTGCATCTCTTTTTTTGTTGTGTGAGGTTGCTTCTGTGTATCAAGAAGGGAAAAAAAAAATTCCATATTGTTCAATTTTTCAGTTGTGCAATGTTTAAGTAGCCCCTCAAAATAACCGGAAACTGAATGTTACCGGGTGATGGGATAATTCCATAGAGCAAAATTGTTTACATCTGCCAAGACACCAATACCATTCGCCTTGTATCGGGATATTTCTTATGACATGAGGCTGGGCTGATTGCCGGGTAACAAATGTCAATGCGACACACCTGTTTAACAAGGACACCTTTTTAAACCAAGCTCTCCCTTCTTCCAAAATTCTTCGGAACGCATACAGAGCTTTTAAGATGGTGAAATCAACTCAAATTGCACGATTAGACGGTACACGGACCCATCTACTTCTAGCCTTCGACTCCTTCAAGCCCTGCTAATCTTTTGTTCTCTAGGCGTCCCACTGGCTGCCTCTGTTGATGACGACCAGGACGAAGCCATTCTCGCTGAAGTTAAGAAACAAGTCAAGCTTATTTTCAAAAGATTAAGCGAAAATTCAGAGCCACGGGCTAGTATTGAGGCAGGTGCTTTTACAATACAGTACGCTCCTATCCTCTCGCTCCTGAAATTTTCGAATTCCATTAAGCTCTCGCCCACGTTTACTAACCGTAAAATAGCTACCTTATCCAGGGGAATGTCTGCTATCTCTGCATCTGCGAGCGCTCCTACCCTCGTAAACTAGCTTTTACATATCTTCAAGACACCGCGACTGAATTCTTCTCAAACTACGGAAACCAAATCCAAGACCCCTCGCTACGGCCATACGCCTTTGTTGCATTCGACACCTTCATGCAGCGTACAAAGAGGACTTACCAGGACACCAGGGCTACCGCCAATCTGGATAAGCTCAACGATGACCTTAAGGATGTTACAAAGGTTATGACGAAGAATATCGAGGATTTACTCTACCGCGGAGATTCTCTCGAGAGGATGGGAGATATGAGCAGCAGATTGAGAGACGAGAGCAAGAAGTATAGGCAAGCTGCTGTGAGAATAAATTGGGAAGCCATGTTGAAACAGGTTAGTCTCGAATATTCTCTCCAGATATTAAAAGAATTTGGAGCTAGGAATAAGCTAATAAGTGTGCTCAATTTAGTATGGCCCCATTGGCGCTGTTGGCTTGGTCATGCTTTTCTTTATCTGGTGGAGATTCTTTTAAGATCGTGATTGGGTTTCGACATTTTCACAGGCGTGTGTGGGTTTCCCTGGTAATTATTTGGGAGGGAATATTAAGACTTTTCCAGCGTTTAGGTTCTAAATTCTGCGTTCACCACTTTTTTATCTGGCTGTACAGTTTTACGAACAGTTATTATGATAATAGATATTAAAAAAGTACGAGCGGATACTAGTATGATAGGGTAGTTGAGAATTGTGGATCGAATAAAGCATTCGCCACTTATAATATCAATAAAATATGATTTTGTATTATGTGGTGTTGTTCGTGTGACCCAGGACGGTACTAATAGCTCGCATTCACTCGAGTGATATCATATGAAGATTGGCATGTTTCATTGGTAGATCTTACCTGCAGCGAGAAATCAGGTTCTACTTATCACTTATGGCTCATCTCCTCCTAATTGGCTACCAAAATTTAGGGGCCAATACGCGGGATTATCTTTGACATGGCACCGATGCCATGCATGTCTCGTATCGATTGAGAAGAAAGAAGCGAGCTCGATGAGGGGTGATGTTGTTATTAAACGTATTAAACCTCATGATGCTCAGAATCTTCGAACTGAACTTTATAAAGGTAGATATATCATCAGCGAAGTATATATTTACCTTCCGGGGGCCGCCTCTCCATACCACCTTACCACCTACCAGACCCTCGCACTGGATTAGAGCCGAGTGATTCCTCGTGAAGGCCGGTCTTGCGGAAAGGATAAAACAGCCCCTCAACGACAAAGTCTCAAATTAGGAAGTATTCCTAGCCCCTTTATACCCCCCAACAGCCCTATAACTCAAACTCAACTGCGTCATCCTCTAAGAATCACTTTACTCAAATCACGTCCATAGTGTCTATCCCCTGGGTCGTAACAGCCGATATTGTGGTCCTTTTGGACCAATATTTTCTTCCGGTTTTTTCACCTAGAGGTGCACCAAGCTCTTCCAACAAAGATTCGACTGCACAGGGACGTTCGGGGGAGGCCTCTTTTCTTTTGAGCCATCTGCAATAAGCATAGCGTCCGTGACTGTTGAGATATTTCGAATTTCCACCGTTGTTGTAGGAACTTTATTACGACCGAAGGGATAGGGACCAACTCCATGAGCATTTGCTCTCCTACATATGTCCATATAGGAAGGATCTGTGTATGCTTTTAGTTGTCTCGTCCATTTCTGCGCTTATGCGACGAGGTGGGCGTATTTGAGTTCTGACGTGGTCTACGCGCATCTGCAGGATAGTTATACACTTCCGCCATACATCTTTTGAAATTACTTATACTCTATATCACGGGGCGGCGAATCAGGATATGGTCCTTCTTCTGGTAGTGTAAAGCATTAATCTTATGGTGGTGGTGATATCGACCCCGACTCAATGTGTTGGGATTGCATGTCCCCACGCGCTGTATCAGTCGCCGGAAATGGTCCATTGCCCTGACAGGACGTTAGAAGGTTCATCTATTAGATCTTATAGCTTTAAAGAGACTAATGTAGGTCTCAGCCATGAGTGCCGGCTGGTTTTTGTGGGACGCGCTAATACTATCGGCGAGGCTACAAAGCGGAAGCCGGAGACTTTCCTCCGTAAAAGACTAAGTGATGTTTCCTAGACTATTTGGAAGCAAGGAAGATAGAAGGACGACAGACATGCATACCTCACTCGGTCTTCTTCTAGATACAATACCGATGGCTGAATAAGAGGCCTAACGGAAATATTGCAAAACAGTTCCTAAATCCAAAGTCGGCCGTAGAAGACGTTAGGGCTCCAAAGTAGCATCCGACCCTGAAGTTGCCATTAGCGATGATTCTTCTCGTTTCTGTGTATATGGACAATAAGAGTTGAGAGGAGGAAGTGATATTCATGACGATGAACGTAGGTACTAGGCCGTTAGTTTTGTTCATGGGATTCTTAAATAAGGAATATGTCCGTAGCTATAGGGAAGGTATGGGGATATAAAGAAAGGTCGAGGAGGGCCATTTAGGGATGGACCTACATGAAAAACCGTACTCCGGGCTAGGAGTGATGAATAGGAGGGTAGTCTAGCGTTAACCGAACTTAGTCCCTCTTTAATGTTTACCTTCCTATATCACTAAAAATAATGGTTAACCACTGTAACCTCTTATTTTTCTGTCAAAGGATGTGAATAAAATAGCTTTGATGGCTTCTTCATAGAATATCACTCGCTGTACTGTTTCCTCTAATGCGATCTAGGTCACGCACATATATCAGCAAAGCGCATATAAATCCGGTAACGAGTACCCACGCCTAGGATTAAAGAAGATTAGACTGGCTCATTAAGTTTGGCCTTAGGTTCATTTTTTGTTTGAAAATTATGATGCTCTATTTAGGACCGCTATAAAAGGCTTAGAGTATTTTACGGCCCTGTGTATAACCCATTCCCCGACAAAGCTGAGCACATAGCAGTTAAAGTGTTATACAAATGAACAGGTGATATGTATATTGTGAGGGGGAGCTAGTTGATGGGAGGCCACTGAGGAGGACTTGAGATACACGATCGGTTGTCGGAGGGGTGGGATAGCACGGGCCGAATCTAGAAGGGAAGCTCAGGGAATGATTTTGGCTACGGATCCTTTTTCTTTCCATGTCGGCACGATGCATCAAATTTAAAGTTACATATGGTATACGAATGCAAAGTACAAGGTTGGAAAAAAATGATGTCACAAAAATATTCTCCCAGCCCAGTAACTGGAAAAGCAGTATATGTATTATAAATAAAGCCCCACGCGGGGGTCGAACCCGCAACCTTGAGATACCATGGTATTAAGAGTCTCACGCTCTACCGATTGAGCTAGCGAGGCGTGCTAGTTGATTAAAAAATAAACGTAAAATCACTAAAACCACACTTTCTGGTATACTTGATGCAGAGCAACACATAATGCAAACGACACACTTCTACGATCCAAATTGACATACTTGTAGTTCAAAACATCGGGCTCTTTTAGAAGAATTTATCTTCTTTCACGAGGTAAAGTCCAACCTACATCATATGTGGATATCTTAGTTACAAGTAATGACTTCCGGAATCTTGCCGTCTTTTATTTGTTTTGCCAGCAGAGCTATAATAATAGTTCATAATGGGTTCTTCTAGAAGAGCCCGAAGTTTTGAACTGTGTCATCTTGGACCGCAGAAGTGTCATTTTGCATTATGTGTTACTCTACATCAAGTGTACCGGAAAGTGTGTCATTTTAGACCTTTTCCGAAAAATAAATCATAAGTACTATACGTGTAATTACCTCAAATTGGGGATGATCCAGGTTCCGACGTCGTCGTGGTGAGCGATACAAGTGCATAGGTCCATGGTCAATACATACATTCCACCGCCCTAGTTTTTTTGTGTGGAAGATGAATTAACTAATACAGGGGCCATATTCTATCAAGGTGCATAAAACCATCTCTAGTAGTGAAAGAAAAAGAAAAAGAAAATCTCCAAAGGAAAAAAGAAAGAAGACAAATACCGAAGAGACCTGTCTAAGTACTATAAATCCTGTTTGGAGCAGATGGATATGGATCTTTCCGGTACTATGGTTAGTGTGCGAAGAGTTCTGCCGCGCTTAAATATAAGTTCACTAGAGTTGATTCGGGTCGACTACTTAGGGAATTCGAAGTTAGGACCAAAAACCAGATTATACAGTTTCTTGTATCCATTCATTCAATAGCACGACTATGCCAGAAGCTAAGAAGACCTCTATCCATAAAAGCACCCAAAAGCAGTTTTTTGATATACCGGTATTGGTGCTTAATAATTAACAGGACCCCTCAATTGAAAGAGTGGGCTATTTTGTTACATATACCGGAACAGATCCTAAATCAACATCATCATATAAGTATTAAGTTCATATTTTCCCTTTTACCTATTAGGGACCTTCTCTCTCTACAGTAGCGGTTTTCTTTATGTGTCACCAACTGGGGTTATATATTGGATTGGTTATGATTCCCCCTCAATTTATATTGATAGGTAACTTAGTGAACATAAAAATATCTAGCTATTGCTGTTTCAAAATTTCCAATATTATTCGCTACCACGGAGCCTTTATAATTACATAGATTCCTTCCTTTGAAGGAATTGATGCATAGAGGAAATCGAAAGCCCAGCCCTTTAATTGAAGAGCTTTAGCACATTCCATTACAGCCCTTAAGTTGAGTTCCATGTAAAGAGTTTAAATACATGCATGTACTTAGATTAATTGATCACGAACATTTAGCGTGTGGTTGGTAGGTTGGCCAATGATCGATTTTCGATTTTACCTGGCGCTTAAATTCGTACTGCCACGGATTACATAAATTTCTTAAAAACAGTGAAATAAATAGGAGGATGGAATTTTTTAAACTTTTTTTTAGTACGATAGCTATATGTAATACTCGTAAAAAAAAAAGACTCAGATCGTTGCTCGCTATAATCCAAACAACATGAAACGTCCAAACAACAAAGGAAAGAGAGAGATCACATTGTAGCTAGCTATACATGCAACGTCCTTGTCTCCACTTTACCATCCTCCATCCCAAAATATGCCATCACGGGCTTCTTATCCCCCGACCAGAACACACCATGCTCCACTACTCCCACGATATTCTTCAAAACCCTAGCGAGTTCTTCAACCTTCTCGTTCCCGCCCACTCCCATTCCTACCGCCGCCCCAGGGTGACCTCCCTCCTTGCCTAGGATATCGAGACCTCCAACACGCTCACCGCCCATCTGTACAGCACCGGCATCTAAGCCGATTGAAGAGCTCGTGGGAGAGATACTGCGCTGATGTGACAGACGTGAGGTAGGGGACGGAATGAAACCGTCGGGGAAAGGCGCATCAATGATGAAGTTCCCGTTGTCAGTAATACAGGGTCCAGCTTTGGAGGCGCCGCCCATGCGGATAGCGGGGTTTACAGCACCGAGCGATATTAGGCGGGAGAGAACATGGTTTGCGGCGGTGGGGACGACCTCGATGGGGATACCAGGAGCGTAATGAGTCGAGAGTGAAGGTGAAAGTTTACGGTAGTCTAATTTAATTTTCTCAGTATCTCACCGCAGAGATAATGACTTGGGGCATACCAGCGACAACAACGAACTTCTTCGCAGAGATAGCGACTAGCTTCTCCTGGAACAAGCATGCCCCACCGCCCTTGATGCAGTTGAGGTACGGGTCTACCTCGTCTGCGCCATCGAATGCGACCTCGAGGTCAGTATGCAATTCGATACTTCCTAGCTTCAAACCGGCGCGCAAGATAAGTTCGCGCGACTGGTAGCCTGTGGGGACAAAGATAATCCCGTCGGTGATTTCGCGCGACAGCTGTGCAATCCGCTCAACGACGTAGACGACGGTGGACCCGGAGCCGATACCGACATGGCGGGCATGGGCGGGGAAGTGCTCGTCTACTGCGCGGTGAGCTGCAAGGCGTTTTGCGGACTCTACGTTTAGTATTGGCGCCGCCATCGTGATGGTCCGTTTGTGAGAAGGCTTTTGGTGGGAGGTGGTGGGGTGTGGGCTGGTGCGGGGTGTGGTGAGCCTCTTGTACACTCCTAAAAGGAACCTCTTGGCAGTTGGTGCGATGAGATCATTGACAGGGCTTATTTGGACGACATGATATCGTCGGTGGAAAACCGCCGAGGAGAATCTCCTCGAACAGATAAAGGGGAATAGTCCCCTAGCACAGTATTCAGTCATCGTGCCGTTGAGTGTAAAAGGAAGGGAAAGGCCTTGCTGGAATTCCCGGTTAGCAGTGGTATTTGAGCTATGTAATCCTTCATCATTCATGACATGCAACAGAGACACGCAGAAAAAAAAATGCCACCCTCTGAGCTTCTGAGAACTCTGTATTATAGAGGTTATTCTACAAGAAAGATGGCTTTCTACACCAACCATATTTTGCCTTCCGGATCCACCATCATAACCAGAAATCACCCTTTTAGTCCTTTTCACTCTTCTTCTTTTCCTTCGAGGATTCTTCTTTACCACCCTTCTCTGTAGACCCTTCTTTATCGGGTGATGAGGCCCCATTCGATTTTTTGTCCTTCTCTTCCCGCTCCTTCTGCTCCTTTTCCTTTTCCTCCGCCTGATCCTGGCGGTTTTTGATCTTGTTATCAATAAGATCATGGAACGCGATAATTGCTCTGATCAACGAAGAGATATAAATAGACATGAGCTGGTCGTTTGTCTTAATGCTCATAGCTCTCGCCAATTCATTGCTATCATCGCCGTCTGCCGGTGGTGTAGAAAGGTTGGGAAGGAGGTTAAAAACATCCTGAAGGTTCCCAAGAATGGCATGATTAACGGGTAGCTCGCCCTTAAGGACCTTGTCGAGATAGGCAGCTATGTCGCGAAGGCGGAGATGAAGACCCTGGAGGGATTGGAGTTGGTTGTTAATGCGGGTTGTAAGGGAGCCGACAGCAACATCACGGATGTCTCGGAGGAGGTGTTCAACGCCGATCTCCTCAGCTTCCTCAGCTTCGATGATAGAGGGCGTGTGTACGAAGGTTTTTGTGGTAGTTGTACCGTCCTATATTTGCAATCGTGTATCAGCCACAGCACCCTTACTTCAGTCATAAAACCAACCCAACCCATCAAACATATCATCAAATTCCATCGGGGGAGTCGATAGACATACATCTTTGATCTCTTCCACAGCAAAATAAGCATCCGTAGGTACTCCCAGCTCCTTTGGCTCGACATCAATGATGACCAGTAATGGATTGGGCGTGTATCTCTTAAATAGCTCGTTGATCTCCAGGTCTGACGCTCTAAGCTTCGGACCAGAGTGGTACCATCCGATAAGCTTCTCTCGGGCGTTGACTTTCTTGAACATGTCGTTCATTGACTCGACATAGTTGTGATCGAGGAACCATACTGCAGGATCCTTTTCATCTTCTTCGAAAGGAACTGTGTATTTCCAGAGCCCTCAATCAGCAAATATCCGTTTATCCATCTAGAAGAAGCTTTATCTCGTACCAGCAAAGCTGTTTGTAACTCTTACGTTTCCTCCAGTATTCTGTCCTAGGAGCACACCGACAACCCGCTTTCTGGTTCCCTTGGCAGAACGCCCGTAGTGATCGCACGCTGAGAGGAGGATGAGGGGAGCGATGGAAACGGTAGTGCTGGGGACAGCATCCCCGAGAGTAGTAGGCATTATTGTATGTTTGTTCTAGGCTGGTATAGTGGATTTAGCAGATGTGGATGATGATGAAATTATCGGTGGTAGGTTTTGGTCCTGCACAACGTTTGAGTTGACTAGACGAGTTGAGTGAGGCACTCGCGAACTCCATTTGGTGAGGCTTGGCGTTGGACCCCTCCACAGCTACTTTCGGCGCGGCGAGCTGTCCCCGATAACTCGGGATTCAATCACTCGGAGTTGACATAACAGCGATATGTACCTACATACGGCTTCTTGATAGAATTGAAGCATAGCTCCACGCCCAAACACAGAGCTCTAAAAATATCGAACTTCCAGAACGCACTAGTGATTACTAGCCATGAGAAATACTTAACTGATTTACTCTCCCCACGTCTAACATCCTCCCCCGGAGGGTAAGTTAACAGTCTAGAGGCGCATAATTGTTCACAACTACCTGAAGCACTTCTTCCAAATCTCGGAGAGGTGTCACCAACCAACAGTTCCTTCCGTTCCACCGAAATCTCGAACCGGGCACCTCGGCCACTACTCGGCAAGGAAACCCACGAACCAATCCATCCCTTTGAGCTCCGGGGCCTTCTTCGGCGTCCCTGGTTCCCTTTTTAAGTAATTATGCTGTTGGTTATGTAACAGCCTCGGTTTCCATGTGGAAATGATCCAGGCGGTCAGGCACGTCAATGCCACTTGGTCTTTTGTTGCTACTATTTGCCTCGCCCTTTCCGGTTCCTATTTGACCCGTTCGTTCCCCGAAATGTTGCTTGGTGAATCTGTGCATATATGTTTTAAAATATACATACATATGTAGGCGAGCCGTTGTCTCTAGTAGAGCTGTTCACTGATGCCACTGGTTTGATCACATTTTATCACTCGCTGTGTGTGTGAGGGAAGGAAGTACAAACTACATGTAGTGCACCTGTAACCCAGGCCTTCCTCTGAGCTGTTCAAAAAGCGGTATATTGCAATTCGATAGCCAACTCGAGTTCCCATATGTACATACCTAGAGTACATGTATCTAGAGTACAATACACATACATGTACCTTCAAGCTTGATAGCCGCTTCATGGAATATCACTGACCAAAGTTAACCGGCCCTCTTTTCCGGACTCTCCTTGTAGGGATACCGGAATTGACCGGCATTTGTCCATCAAGGCTCGGAATTGCAGTGGAATTTCTATGATCAGCTGCCTGTAGTACCTGGCATCAGTCCTACCTGTTTAAGTGCGAGTTGTGTTCTCAAGAAATTTTGAGCCGCTTCGGCCGAATGGTAGCGATGTTACTAGATGCATGTATGTAGGTTCCCCCACTCTGAGTGCGATGCATGGAATCATCTCCCTCCATCGTAGAACCACGTAGGTACATACTCGTAGTTTTTTGGCGTTTCCGGACGCAACTGCTATTGCATACACAGAAAAAACTCGCCAAGGCTATCTTTTGTATGGCATGCAATAGCAGTTGCGTCCGGAAACGCCAAAAAAACTACGAGTACATACATGTAGATGCATGAATGTGATAAAGAGTTTTGTTGGGGTGTGGTGTTCAATCATCTATCTGTCCAGTTCTGTACCTACACGCACATATATCTATTCAAAAATTGAAGGTACTAGTACAGTAGAGTACATGTAGGTACATGATGCACTCCAGCCCTTAGTACCACATGCCCCAATGGTATGTGCGCGCCACAAAGCTGGCCCGTGAGACCGAAGTAAACCCCAAGCCTAAACCGCCAAAGTTGTGCCTGCCCCCCGACAAGCCAGATTCCGCTTCTTTCTTTCCTGGCCGCCCTTTCCCTCTCCTCCCTTTCATCTATTTCTTCTCCATCAATTGATCAAAACAACAATTCTTCGCTTCTAGTCAACTCTCAGTTCATCCACCCAACCAAAATCTCTACTCACACAATCATCGAAAATGGCTCCTACATTAGAAGACGTCACTGGCCTTAAGGAACTTGTTAAGCAGCTTCAGGACCGGATACACAAGATCGAGCAGAGCATTGTTGGAAATGGCGATGTTCAGACACCCAGCGAACAACTTAGAATGATCCTTATGGGCCCTCCTGGTGCTGGTAAGTATTGTAGTGATTTTTTTTCCCTCTCCCCACATACGCTGTTCTGCGGCACTGAGATGACTTTGACAATACTAATCTGTCATGAACGCACCTCGGCTAACATGGTATAGGGAAGGGAACTCAGGCTCCTAAGATCAAGGAGAAGTTCTGCGTCTGCCATTTGGTAAGATATCCACCGTTGCTGTTGCATTTGTGGGGAATTTCCGGGGGTGCGATGAGGGCTAAATTTTCCGTTTTTCTTTTTGTGATGTAGGCCACTGGCGACATGCTTCGTTCGCAAGTCGCGAAGAAAACCCCGCTCGGCCGAGCGGCGAAGAAGATCATGGACGAAGGCGGGCTTGTCAGCGATGAAATTATGATTGGAATGATTAACAACGAGCTTGAGACGAACGCTGAGTGTAAGAACGGGTAAAACATTCTATTCTACGTGTCTTCTTTGGTGAGGTTTTAATCCTCTAATATTCTGGGTTACAGCTTCATTCTTGATGGATTCCCACGTACAGTTATTCAAGCAGAGCGTCTGGATTCTATGCTTGAAAACCGCGGAGGAAAGCTTGACCATGCGGTTCAGCTTGAGATTGACGATGCTCTTCTCGTGAGCCGTATCACTGGTCGTCTCGTGCACCCGGCTTCTGGGCGTTCTTACCACCGTCTTTTCAACCCTCCTAAGGAGGAGATGAAGGATGATATTACCGGTGAACCTTTGATTCAGCGAAGTGACGACAACGCGGAGACTCTGAAGAAGCGCCTTGTAACATATCACCAACAGACTTCCCCGGTAGTCGACTACTACAAGAAGAAAGGCATCTGGCAGGGCGTCGATGCTTCCCAGGAACCTGGCCAGGTCTGGAAGACATTGTTGGGAATTTTTGACGAGAAGAGCGGCCAGAAGAGTTCAATCCTATCTAAGGTTGGATTGTCAAAATAGACGAATGTAATGCCTAACTCTTCCTTATTTTCGTATCGACTTGAAACCTTATACTTGATTCTAAAATCACCACCCCCTCCTTTTTCGATTGCTCATCGAAGCTTCACTTTTGTGCTTAGCTTACCCACTACTCCTGTCTTGATTTGTTAGTTTGCGTTTCTTTCTGTAGGTTGTATCAGTAGAGAAGTTGGTGTTAGGTTTTTGGGTTAGCGAGGAAGAGTTTAAAATATAGTATGAACAAATGGGTATGGGAATGTCAATGTACATGAAAACTAGGGTTTGGGAATCAAAGGGGAAAAAAATGCGATAACTAAATATTTAGAACCTGAATATGGAGCTGCAGTTTCGAATTGCCTGTGTCTTATGTCCGTGCTCCCCGCATCAACGAGAGGCATCGGAAAAACTAAAATCCGAACTCAATGTTAAGAGTTGTCTATTCAATTAGCGATCGTAACGATTACAAACACGAGTTTCTTGGGTTTAAAGATAGGATTTTTATGTTAATATAGTTTGCTCTAGGCGTTCAGATGAAGCGATTTGTTTTTAATTATTGACCCTGCATGGTGAGATGAGGGGCTGCTTGTTCCTCTTTTGCTTGCATGCCATCACCTCACAGGGTCTTCAAACATCTTCTGCGCGCAACTGCTCGATCACTGTGAAGTTTCCTGCGAATAGAAGGTGATATTTGAGATAGTAGATATTGCGGTTTATTTGACTGTGGGTATCGAATTATCTTAAAACCGCAGCAGTCGTTTAATTTAGCGATTTCAAGCATCGCACAATTTTTCTTGGTCTGTCGCACAACGGGTTTATAGTGGGGTTCATCCAGACCCCTGCCCGTAGCGCTTGGCACTGTCCGTATCAACAACTATTTTTTTTTCTCCCTCCGGCTGCGACGAAGGCTTTTTTCAGTGCGCTCTGTCTTCTATTCTCTTATCAGTCACTCAATACCCCCGCCGCGTCCTTTTGTGAATTTACTTTCCTCCAGGTTCCGCTTACCACCAAAATTCTTTAGAATCTAATATATAGATATATCATATAAAAATGTCGCCAATTGCGTCGCCGTCTAAGGGTGTTAGAAAGGAGTCTGGTGTTGCGAGGTTGTTGGGTTCTGGCAAGTTATCTTTTTCGTTTAAAAGGCCATATATAGAAGTTTGAGAGGCAATATGCTAATAAGAATGTTCTTAAACTGCAGGATCCGCCGGTATTGCGGAATTGGCTGTTTTCCACCCTGTTTGTTACCTCACTGGTTCAGGTTATTACATATAACGAAGCTAATGAGGATTGTATGAGTAGGTTGATACTATCGCGAAGCGATTGATGTCAAATACTGGCAAGATTAACGGCGTTGGCCAATTGAACGCTGTTATCTTCAAGGAGCACGCTGGTGCGACTCTGCCCCGCAAGTTCTTTTCCTTGTTCCCGGGATTGGGATACGCCGCGGGGTACAAAGTTCTCCAGAGAATCTACAAATATGGAGGCCAGCCATTCGTCAGGGATTACTTGGGCCAGCACCACAACGAGAAGTTTGAGGCTGCCTTTGGTAAAGGTTCTGGAAAGGCTATCATGCACGCTACTGCTGGAAGGTTTGTTTTTACTTAATCACAATTTGTTACACAAGGACTTGATAGTGACTTTTGTACTTGGTTTGCAGTCTTATCGGTATTGGGGAGATTGTATTGCTCCCTCTTGATGTCCTGAAGATCAAGCGCCAAACCAACCCCGAGGCTTTCCGTGGTCGTGGATTGTTCAAGATCGTCGCCGATGAAGGGTTTGGACTGTATAGAGGATGGCAATGGACCGCTGCCCGTAACGCTCCGGGGTCGTTCGCAGTCAGTACCTAACAACCTTCTATTTGAAACATTTGTAACTGACAAATTACAGCTTTTCGGGGGTTCCGCATTCGCAAAAGAGGCACTTGGTCTTTCCGACTACAATGCTGCCACCTGGACCCAGAACTTCATTGCTTCTATTGCCGGTGCCTCTGCTTCCTTGATCGTCTCGGCGCCTTTGGATGTCATCAAGACCCGTATTCAGAACAAGTAAGTAGCTCGATTCAGCATGTGGTTCAAAGCTACAACATATTGACTGACATTCGTGAAGGAACTTCGAGAACCCCGAGAGTGGTTTCAGGATCATTTCTAACATGATGAAGAATGAGGGAATTACCTCATTCTTCAAAGGCCTTACCCCCAAGCTCTTGATGACTGGTCCCAAATTGGTGTTCTCTTTCTGGCTTGGTATGTCTTCCTAATACAGAACCTTGACTTTCCGGGCTTTGAAGATTGAGCTAATCATGAAATAGCACAAACCTTGATCCCCATCTTCGACAAGAAGTTGATGTAAATATTACGGGTCGCTATTGAGAATGAAACCCATGACATGGCCGGGAACCAGTAATAAGAGTTAATTTTCTGGCCTGGCCATCACTGGAAAGTCTATTACCGCAAAAGTTGGTTGGTCAAGAGCGGAACGCGAAACTGTTTTTTTCTTTCGATACAACTATTGTTTCTTTGGGATATCTTGTTTCCTTACGCGGGGTTGGTTTGCTGTTACGATAGACGTTGGAAACGTTTTGCACTAAAAAGCTGGCGATATTCGGGAACTTCGTTTTGCTCTGTTTTGTTTTTGTTTTGAAATTTCGTTTCATCTCCGCTCTTCCTGCAAAGCTCCAAGGGAGTGCAGACTTGCTGTGTTGTATATATAAGCTCTCGGCTATCTGGCTAAATGGTTCATAGAATCTGATTCTCTTTATTTTAAGCATTACTCGCAATAGTTGCCAAGACATTCGATTAAACACGCGTCAGGATATGACGATTCCAAGATGTAAATAACAGGTGACATCAGTACAACCTGTCATGCATTTCCAAACACTATTAATACCCTGGGTCTCTGCCACTTCTCTTTCTAATGTTCATTGCTCCTCTCGACTTAATTTATCAACCAATTGGAATATATTAGGCCCTTTCCAAATAGGAACGCGTGGTATGTTCATATGATACATTGTTATAGAGTCTCTGCTGAACTATCATATTAGAAGCAGAATGGGGTGCTGATCCGCTCGAACGGATTGGTGGATTCAGGAACTTAACATATGATAACTCATCCAGTTTCAGGAGCTCTCTTCCCATCAATGGAACAGCACGTTGGTCCCAAACACAGATAAGCTCTCAAGAATTGTCTTTCAATTCTACCAAAGGTGTCATAACTGTTGGTTTTGACAATGTTGATTGGGGCTCGATCCGCTCAGTTTATGGCTGGTCCGGGATTCAATTCCAAGCCTGGGCCAGAGGGTCGTTAGATATTTGTGATGATGCCGAAACTAAAGGTAAACTAATAACAGTTGTACTACATGTATCGAATGTAGGTGAACTCTGGGTTGACGATGCACATTATTTTGGTGGTGACTTCTACGGATATAATCGTGCACCAATAGTTCTACACCTGGCACCGGGGAAACATAGGCTGGATGTCAGAGTAACCCACGACATCAGGAATTTCGGAGGGATGATGCCTCCAAGAATCTCATTTAAAGTGCATGCTAGTGTTTCTCCGGGTATACTGGTAGCTATACCAGAGAGCACCATTATTTCAGATCTCGTGGAGGGGAAGCTAGTTGGAGAATTGGCTAGCATCCCAGTAAGAAATGATGCACGCAAATGGATTGAAATTTTAGAGCTTTCTGGTAATGATGTATGTGAGCCCCTACTTGATCTTTATTTTCTTCTGGAAATGATTCTAGGACTTACTGGATATTGGCCTGCGGTTTGGCCACCCTCAGGCGGAAAGAATATAACGGAGGTTGCATTTATGAATAGTGATTTTCCCTTGAAACTTGCACCTGGTCAAACGAGGCCGGTAAAGTTTAAAATAAAACGATTACAGCCCGACCAAACAGTCTTAGTCTTGAAGTTTCGGTATCGTGTTGAAGGGAGCACAAAAGATCAATGGATATCAACTTCTAGGATGTTGAATAAGATCCCCCACTGGTATCTCCCGCAGAAATTCACATTTCTTCATCCTTCTGGGGTTGTATCATATGCGGTTATCCGGCCACCTTCTCCAAATGCCCGCTGCACATCAATTGCTAGTAATAATTTGCCAGTACTTCTTGCACTGCATGGTGCTGGAGTAGAAGCAGACGATCCTCAGTCTAAAGAGCAATATGATGCACTGCCGGACCTTTGCTCCTGGCTACTCATTCCAAGCGGTGTCACATCATGGAGTGGTGATGATTGGCGTAAGTTTTATCCTGAATCCACTACTGGTACATGCTGACTAGTGACTTTTAAGACGTATGGGGGTTTCCGGATGCTGAAGCAGGAGTTAATGCAATTCCGCAATGGATGAAAAGTGTCGGGTGGGAAAGACAAGGTGTAGACTTGGAGAAATGGGTAATAACCGGACATTCCAATGGGGGTATGTTACTATTAACAATCCAGGGACTTTTGTATTAACGTTAGCATATTCTAATACTGAAGCAGGACAGGGCGCCTGGTATGGGCTTACACACAGGTAGAGTCACTTGTCACTTGGAGGCAGAGTGATTTACAACTGACACACACAGAAATGATAAGATAATCGCCGCCGCGCCATTATCAGGGTATCTGTCAATTCCAGGTGAGCCGTCGCCCTCTGTGAGCAATCTTCGAAAAGTACTTACCATTACCGCTATAGCCTATGTCCCATATCACATGTGGCATGAGGTTGACCCTAGGAAAATGGCTATGATCCTTATGTCCTTGAACACCTATAGAAACGAACTTTTATCTGGAAATATCGTCGGCACTCCTGTGCTACAGCAACATGGTCAAGATGACGACAATGTTCCTATTTTTCATTCAAGACGCATGTCGCAGCTTCTATGTGAATCAGGCTGGGGAACTGAATATCTGGAGATTCGCGGACGGGGTCACTGGTAGGCTAGATTTGAAAAGATATTAATTTAGAATTGGATGGTGTAAAGTGCTAATTTATCTGTAGGTGGGAAGGTGTGATGACTGACGGGAGACTGGCTTCATTCCTTGAGTATTATCTTCACGAAAAGCCCGAGATTCAAGCTTTGCCCGATGTATTCTCAGTTGTGGTTGCCAACCCAGCAGATACTGCCGCCAGAGGAGGGATCGTGGTTGACCAATTGGAGACTCCAGACCAGTGTGTATACCCGAAGATATTATAGAACTCTTAGAGTCTCGACTAATAGGAATCTAGAATTGGTCGCATTGATGTAGAAGTTCGTGGTGAAGTTTGGAATCTAAAGACGTTCAACATCCATAGATGGCACTTTGAAAAGCCGAGGCCAGCCGAAACTAGCTTACCGAGTCGAGTGATAGTTGATGATCACGTGTTTGATTTAAACATTACCCACAGCTCTAAGGATTATGATTGGTTCTCCGTGTCAGAAGACGGAGAGTGGTTTGTGAGTACCTGGAAATTCTAAGTGAAAAGGTACGGGATGTTTTTAACAGAATGGACTTTCAGAAAACTGATGACCCAAACTGGAAATTACGCGAACGGAGTGGCCGACAAATGGGAGCCTTGGACACCGTATTGGGATCCGGATCCCGTTTCAGTATCTTACTTCCTGAAAAGGATAACTATGAGAGTTATCATTATGATGTTGCTCTTGAAATATCACGAAATCTTTTCCAATATTTCGCAGCAGACTCGGAAATAATTGTCAACGGCTCGCGGAAGCCGATCATCGGGGATGGGAATCTTATTCTTCTTGACTTTCCAGATGACATTAGTATTGAGACACAAGATATTGATATAAACTTTCCAATCACAAAGTCTGGAAAGGCTATTGTGATCGTCGACGACCGGGGTCGTCGTCATCGATATCCACTGGAACCCGGTATGGGATTATATACCTATACCCACTACCGAACGAACAGCTTGCACTAGTCATATGGGGTACGGATGAAATGGGCCTTCGCACTGCTGCACGCATGCTGCCGTTGAGGACAGGTGTTGGTCAACCAAACTTTATTGTTGTCGGGAATGAGATGAAATGGGGAGGAGCCGGGGGTGCGAAAGCAATGGGGATGTTTGATTACCTATGGCGGATATACAATGCGGTATATTTATAGTTTACCCTGTCGGCTCATTTTCTGGGGAATAGAAAACCCCCCTTCAGTTGGAGCCATGTAAGACTGTTTCGTCATCCAAGGCCTAGGGGGCTCCTGCCAGTGGGACACTTTTGTTGGTTTCCGGGATTTGTGGCAAGTCACCAAGGCCTAGCTTCTCCTTCTATTCGGTTTACACCACATCTCCTCGACTGCTCCTTATCTTCTCTCCTGCTCGTCCGTCTCCTCTTCTCCTCTTCTTCTTCTCTGTCTCTCGTTCACCACTAGTTTCCTTGCTTTCATACCAAGTATCTGTTTCTTCAAATCTCAAATCTAAATTCCGGCGGAATAAAAGCACAAGTTACAGTCGTAGTACAGCAGAAAACTGTTAATTTTTCATTGGTACCTTTGTTGCTATGTCTATTGAGTGCAACTCGCGGTCAGTCAATCTTGGCCATCCAGACTTCGTGATCTGTGAAGACGTTCTAGACGACAATAGTCCCACAGGGAGTAACCAACAAGTTGAGTGACCCATCAATCTTTCTATCTTACTTCTCTTTGGGCACTTGCTTATTTCTACCCAGTCTGCAACAAATACTCCGAAATTAGAACCTTCCAGCAGCTTCAAGAGGCAGCCTCTGGTTTCATCAAAGATGACAAACTCTAATGCTTTAAATGTTATGGCTCACGAGGAAGAAGTAAGTTCATCCTTATTATTCTCTATATGATGACTCTGGTATGGGCTTCATGTGCTAACAGTTTGATAGGAGGATGACCGTACAAGGACTCCTAAGCAAGCTAAAGCTATCACCCAGGGCAACAACACAGAGGTTCAAATGCTTCTTGCCAAGCTCGCTGAGCAGGAAAGATTGATCGATCAACAACGGACAGCCCTTGATAACAAAGAGAAGGAACTTGCCAATGTTAGGACTGCTGCTCCATTGGACTCCTATCCTGGTGTTCCGTCTTACAATAACACTATCAGGGTGTCAAGTGGCTCGAGTTCATCTCTCTCCAATGACGTTTCTCCAGATGTTTCAATTGACAACTCGGAAACTTATGGCTACCGCCCAGCTGCCCAACATCAAAACGTTCATGAACTCAACCGACTGCAGACAGAGTTGCAGGCCGCTCAGAGCAATATCTCGGCTTTAAATCAAGAACTTGTTCAGACTAGAATTACCAATCATACATTTGATCAAGCTCTAAGCCCATCTAGAGATGGCAAATTTCCATTGGAAGAAGATGTCCCTGAACATACTCTGGCTGCACTTCAGACAGCGTTTGCACAGGCTCAACTTGGCCAAACTGCACGTCAAAATGTCCATAGAACGGATATCTGGACTTCTTCTTATGAAGAGCCAGTTGCAGAGATTAACCAAGAATTCCACCAAGGTCAATCTCTTCCAAATGGACCTTATAATAGACCTTCTAATATTTGGGGAGCTTCTTCGAAGTCTGTTACGTCACAGAACCCCGCGCTACCATTGACTGGTCAATCGGACCTGCATTACTCTAATCCTCTTCGCCGTGTCTCTGCACTTGAGCCTAACGATGTTTATGTTACCGGCAACCGTGGATGGAATGGCAGTCGCTCTTTCACTAGCCAAGCTGGTCCCCCAATTGCCGGGTTCCGTCGATCTTCTTATAATCCTCAGGCTGTACCATTTCGTTCGGGCTTTGACCATGGAACGATTGGTGGAGAAAAGGTCACATCGAATGCATACACCCCAAGCCCCATTGGTACACCCCTTTCTACTTCTTCAAGTAATGAATTTGCTGCTGCCACTGGGAATAACAGTGCCATCTGGGGACCACAGTCTCAAGTAAGTTTCTTTCCCTCAAGCAAAGCCTTTCGAGGTCTCCATTAATTCATAATTAGATGTCACAGCAGAGCCCCCAGCAGCAAACATATATCTCCACAATGGAGCCTTTGAATTACAGACGGCTTCTTGAGAGAAGTGTCAACTGTAACTGGAAGTACATCGTAGATAAGATTGTTTGCAACAATGATCAACAGGCATCTATCTTTCTCCAGCAGAAACTCAAAATTGGCACCGCAGAACAAAAGCACGCAATAGTCGATGCAATCGTTGCACAGGCTTATCCATTGATGATCAATCGTTTTGGCAACTTTCTTGTGCAGCGCTGTTTCGAACACGGCACCTCGAATCAGATTGACGGGATTGCTAGTGCTATCCGTGGAAATACGTTAACTTTAAGTATGGATGCTTTTGGATGCCATGTTATCCAAAAGGCTTTTGATTGCGTTTCAGAGGATTTTAAGGCCACGATGGTCGCCGAACTCCTCCGCCGAATTCCCGAGACAGTAATCCATAGATGTAAGTTTCTACTCTCAAGCCTATATGGCATAATGCTAACTTATGATAGATGCCTGCCATGTCTGGCAAAAATTGTTCGAGCTTCGATGGACCGAATCTCCTCCACAGATTATGAAATATGTCAATGAGGCGTTGCGTGGAATGTGGCATGAAGTAGCTCTGGGAGAAACCGGAAGTCTTGTCGTTCAAAATATTTTTGAGAATTGTCTTGAAGAAGATAAGGTCTGAATTACCAAATGCCCAGTTTATATATATATGCGTATCCTTACTGACAATAATTAAAGCGCCCTTGTATCGATGAGGTCCTAGAATGTATTAACATTATTGCACATGGACAATTTGGAAACTGGTGCATTCAACACATTTGGTATGTTCGACTTGCATAGAAACAGCCTATCTACGATCACCCCCCCCCCCAAAAAAAAAAAAAAAGTTATTTTCCCCTCTTTTCTGTTCAATAACTGACATTGTAGCGAAGTGAGCATGGAGCTCCATTAGATCGCACCAGGGCAGTTGATACAGTGATCCAAAATGCTGCGGAATATAGCATGGACCAATATGCATCCAAAGTGGTCGAAAAATGTTTGAAGATTGGAGGCGCAGAATTTCTAGAGAGATATCTCGATCGCGTCTGTGAAGGGCGTACAGATCGTCCTCGTATCCCTTTGATTGACAGTACGTTACCTTTCAAAACCCAAATCTTTCTATACTAATGCCCGATCAGTTGCGAGTGATCAGTATGGAAACTACCTCGTTCAATGGATCCTTCAACATGCCTCACCTCAACATAAGGAGCAAGTCGCTGCCCATATCCGCAAACACATGGTGTCCTTACGTGGAAGCAAGTTCGGCTCCCGTGTTGGCATGCTTTGCTGCAACCCTATGTACAACAGGCCAGCACAGGGTACCCCTCCGGCGGCCGCACCTCGTTATAGCAGGTACGGATACCGCTAGTGTTTTCCACGAGAATCACTAAAGATTTATGGGGAAATTCATCCAGCTCAGCTTAGCTTTTTTTACTTTTTGACTCATTACCATTGTTCCTTGGTTGCTTTTTCACTTTGATGGTTGAGGGCGGATTGTAGCTTGTTGATCAAGAAAGTGAGAGGCAACCGCTTTTTACAGGCTTTCTTTTAAAATATCTTTTTTGTCTTTTCACCAAAAGAGACAGTATGGCAGAGAAGTCGTTTCTTTTCCATTGTTTCTTGAAGCAAAAGCACTCGTCATTTTTCAAGCCTGGGCATGCAGGACTTTGGATAGATATAAATCATGCATGAGGTTGGGAGCGGGGTTTGGCTTTTTTTTTTTTTTTCTCTCTCGGACAGATAATAGCACGTTGTAACATGGGGAACTCGGAAATCTTCTTGTGATGGCGTTTTTGTGGTCAAAAAGTCTTTGGTTCATTTTTTTTCTAATAGGCTCTTTTGATAGCGATGCAGGGACATAACTAGCTTCTAATGAGAGCGCAATAATATTTGTCCCCTCTACACATATTCGTACACAGAGTAGCTAGTTTGATGAGCGTTCTACCTGAAACTCTTTATTTTGATCCGAGTGCCGTTGTAGCAAGGTCAATGCACCTTGCCTAAGGGATTATCCTGGCTTGTGGTAACGACGATGACACAGACGAGTGATATACCATGATATTGCCTGAACTAACCATAAGCAGCCCGGCCTAACACCTCTCTACATCATAGAAGGTAGAACATCCTCATGCAATGAGCGGGAACATCACGCACGGACAGGATATCCTCGCAATGTTCAAAATTCAAACAATTCAAAGGGGAAAGTGGCTAGAGTAACATCCTGCAAGTGGAAACGATCTACAAACTCTTTACGCGACCCCTCCACAAATAAACAGAAACATCCACACACAACACAACCGCACCGCCCCTGTGACCGGTCCTTTTGTTCAACCTCCCTCCTTCTTTTCCTTCTCGACGCCACTCTCTCTGCAACATCTCATCGTCTACCCCTACGCTCATTCTTGCTGCCCATCGCCCCCTCCGCTGCTCTGCTCCTAGATTCATCCTCATCCCCAAACATATTGAAATTCGGCACTCGTCATCTCTTCGAAAGAGCTGTAACAATTAACCTCTACAGGCATGCGCTCGCTTTGATTGTGCTGCCATTTTCCTGCACAGAATAGCGTGGAGGCAAAGAGCAGCCCCCTCGAAATCACAACCCCAACAAACTCCCCGGAAAGGGGAAAATACAGGAAAAGGAAAAAGCAAAAAAAGACTCAGCACTCAGCTACTAGTTACATAGCTACTTCAACCATTTGTTCACTCTCTCACAAAACGATACCCCACCAAAAAAATAAAATAAGAAAGCTACATACATAATCGAACGAACGAAACGAATCTTTTGACGCGGGCATATTTCTTTAGGCAGTTTTCTTCTCATCTTACTCGATCGCTACATTTTTCCTTTCTTTTTATTACGACTTGTACTACGACACAACTCTGAAACGAATTTCCTTCGTAACGACCACAAGACTATCTTAGACGGAGCGCAAGGACAACGAAAAGTTATTTTCTTGGGGCGGGTATCATACCAATCAGTTGCATCTCGAATCACCTCTACACACGTACATTTTTTTTTAAAAGAACGATTTTACTGTGACGCGACAACTACACGCACACGTACATCACATACAGACCACCATGGACACATCACAGGCTCTCCGTCGCTGCGGCGACAGAATAGAATGCTGGGACGACGACCCCGACTTTGCCGACTTAGACCTGAAGCTGACGCGCACTCCATCTACTTCCCCGAAGAGTAAAAGCAACATGCGATCGAATATCGATAACCATAATCGCGACCGTCGTGAATCTATCTCATCGCGTATGTCGATACAATCTAGCATTTGTGATTTCGACTCACCTGATGGTTGGGACCACGAGCGCCAAGTTCTTTTGGATGATTCACCAGCTACAGCTATCGCTTCTGCTATCAATGCCGGAATCCCTATACCAGAAAATGTTCCATCGTCGGCATTGATCGGAGGTACAATAAAAAGGCTAGGAACAACGAGAAAATCTAAACGAATTGCGTCGCATGACGACTGGGGTGAGGATTTGGAATTGCCCATGTCGGGAATGGCTTTGAAGATCCGGGGACAGGAACGTAATGAATTTCCAGATACACTACAGCAGATCCTTGCAGGATCCCGGTCAAGGGGAGGTTCGCCAGCGAGAGGAAGTTTGATGCCAGTCATCAATGCATCGTCACAGTTAAACAAGTTTCGCGAGCTATCGGAAGATGAGGATTTCTTCGCTGATAGCGACGATCTCCCGATGTTAAAGGTTTCACCTGGCAGGCACACATTACGACCCCAAAGATCAACTGCATCTCTCCTAATGACACCACCTCTATCAGAATCCGCTACAAGAGGGTCACCTTCTGTCGATGAAGATTTCGAAAACGATTTTGAATTTCCTGCGGATGCCCCTTTACAATTGAACATCAAACTTGGGGAAACCATTCGTGGTCCGGTGGTACATGGTGTGGATAATGATTTTGAAGATTGGGCAGAGGGAAGCAGTTTAGGGTCGCGGTTTGGGGTTACTCTTAGGGATCGTGGGATGGGTGGGATGGGTAGTGGGAGTGTGTCAATTGTTTCCGCCAGTGTTTCCAGCATTACAGCCGAAAGCGAAGACGAGGCACCATTTGATGGGTTGGAACTACCTCTAGGACCCTTGCCCGATTTTCACGAAATTCTCGAGAAGCGTAAACGAGCGACTTTTTCCGAGGATACGGAAATGATTGATGCCCCTGCCCCGAGACCAAAACAATCAAAAGAGGACTTCCTTGAAGGCATTGAGATTGGGGACGGGGAAGTATTTGACACAAGAAAACTGACCCTAAATCGAAACGTCAAACACAAGCAGCCAACGAGGAAATCGAGCCCAGTAAGAAGGTCAGCCATGAGCTTAACATTCACGACGAATAAGCCACCGCCTACGACTTCTTTATCCGGGGTGACTGGAAACCGATTACGCCACGGACATCCCACTCTAGCACCCCCAATACCGAGCCTAGAACCTGTGGTTGAGAGAGAGCGGGAAAACCACAATCCCTTGGCGAACAAAAGGCCAGAACCTAGAAATAGATGGTCCAGTAATAGTGGTAATCTTGATAGATGGTCAGCCAAATCTGAAGGTATTCCAGCAAACATTCCACCACCGCCGCCTGTTCCACATACCAGATTTCATGAAAGACAAAGGTCAATGGGTGGTAAAGGATCGTTAAGGGCATTGAAGGAAAAGAATCAACAGGATAATGCGCCGACAACAACAAACGCCCAGCTATTGAGAATGAAACGGTCTATGCCTAACATCGGCGGAAGGGCTACCCCCGGCTCTCCGAAAAATAACACAGTCAGATCACCGAGTAGGAATAGTGGTGGCAGACCAGCGAGTAGGAATAGTGTAGGACGTCCACCAAGCAGTACCGGAGGTCGGCCACCATCAAGCACAGGGGGGCGGTCCACTGCCACTGGAAGGAACGATGTTGGAAGATCGAAGACGCCTGGTGAAAGGAAACCTGCTCCTTTCTTGCCTGCCGGAAGCACCGTGCGGCAAAGCCATCATATCTCGGCGAAAATATCTCAACAAACCTTGGAGTATAAGGAAAAGATTGCAGCCGAAAGACGTACCAATAGCCGCCATCAACAACGAACCCCACATCACTCCCCTTCCTCATCCATAGCATCGTCCAAGACAAAAAGAGGCACTCCAACAATCGCCCCAGAACCGCTGCGAAGACAAGCGGCTGCAATTGAAACTCTAAGGCAGCCCACACGAAAACGAAATTTCGGCGATGGAACGGAATTGGAGACTTTCGATGACCTACCAACTAGCGCAAAGGCAGAAAACCGATTTGTAGTGACGCCTGTTGGCCGAGGGGCACCCAAAGCGACAAAGTCACAAAGCGTGCCAATCACCCGTGCATCCGGAAAAGACGCAGGTAAAGATGGGGAGAGCCCAGCAAAAAGGATTGACCTATCGAGGGATCTCTCGAGCCGTTTTGCTGAGGTCCCAAGATTTGCCAGGGATACAAGTGGTAAGAGCCCCCTTTCTATTGTTTGAACGCCTACTCCAAATTTCTGCCTAGTTTAAATTCTAATTTTTTTTCCTGTAAAAATAGCATCACGAAACGCCAGAGAGCAAAGGATGGGGATTACAAATACCGGCGCCGGCCACACGGGAACAAACCAATGGAAGCAACAAGTGGCCGCTCGTGGAAATGCAAGCCCGAAAAACCGTCGAAAGCCGCAGCTGAAACCACAACTCATCAAACCCATGGGAAGTATCAGCAACCCACCTAAAGGTACGTGCATTTTTGTGACAATCACATTTGATACCAGACCGATATGTACCAGGCTTGAATTTGTCGATTTCTTTTTGCACGAGGTTTCAGCCGCCGATCATTGTTTCTCGCTTAATCTTGCGTGCCCCTGCCTCGTCGATCTGCGATACGTCATATTTTCTGGTTTCTTGGGTGTTATGCAGTTGGCTAATATGCTGTCACGTTGTAGCAGCCGCAGCGGTTAATGGCATGACATATAATTCTAAGACCTTCAAATGGGAGGGAAACGAAAACGAAGTCAAAGGATTCGAAACCGAAAAGATCCCTACGCCCCCACGACCAGCCTTAATCAGTAACGTCAACCACAGCGGCTCAAAACTAGGAATTCAAGTGGTTGGAGGGATGGTGTTCGATCCTGCGAGTATGTCTTGGCTCAAGGTGGATGAAGACCCTGACGAAGAGAATGACGATCCTTTCGAAGGATTTGATGATCTGATGGACCATGACATGACAAGTAACGGGTTCAGTGGTGATGGAGGTGACTCTGCGATTGGTCCGATATTTGGTGGAGGCAGTGCTGGAGGTGGTAGCAGAAGCGGAACGAGGTTGAGTGGCGGTTATGGCGAATTCGTTGTTGGGGAAGAGTTCGACGTTGGTCCAGAGTTCGTCCGAAGACAACGTGAAGAGGAGGATAGATGGCGCAAGAGGGTTGATGGGTGGATCTCAACTGGCGAAGCCACCAAGATGGAAAACAAATGGGCCATCAGAGACTTATTGGAGAGGTAGAAAAAGAGTGGTAGAGATGTTCGTGGGGTATTCATCACCCCCACGAGCACATCTAAAATTTCGTGGCGAATTGGGTGACGCCAAGAAATGTGGTGAGAAAGGTATGTCTGGTACAATACCTCAACATTCGTTCCCTTAAATTCTTTTGTACACTGGGTGGTGTTTTCTCTTTGTCACTATCTGACAGGGGTTTTCATTTGTAATGTACACTATTTCTTTTTTATTTTTTACTGTATAATTGTTTAGGAAGGAGGACGGTTACTGTATTTTCGGGCATTGATCCATATCCGATAACCCTTCTGCGTTCTCTTCACTTCTATTTTACTTTGTTTTTCCTTTGGGGTTCGGATGGGCGGGGTGGGAACGGAACGGTTGGAATACTTTTATACCCATTATGAATTTGTCTATTTTCATTTAGTCATTGAAGGAAGGAAACGGGGAAGAAACAATGGACACTGGTGGGCAGCCGGGACAAGTTTAGTATATAGCAAGTTATTGGATGGCCAAGTGAAACGGCGCCTCAGTCAGTGGTGGAACTAATAAGGATATTATTTGAATGGTACATTAATATTGGAATTTATACAAGCTTCCCCGTGACAAACGTTGAAACTCATGAGCCTCGCCTAGGGGAAATAAGGATCCAATGGAGCTGAGCTCTCTGGCAGTAAGGAGTTTTCCTATCCAATTATAACTTTGAGCTAATTGGTCTGTGCTACTACATCCCTTACCTTGCTACCCCGGGTACTCAAGCCTTACTCGGAAATACGGGGTAGTAGGTGGCCATTGCCACGATTCTTAACCCAACCGCCATGGACAGGTTCTGAATTGGACAATAGGGTATCAGCATGCTTAAAGGCAACTCATAATATCCCTTGCTATAGGCAAAAACGTGCATTTTAACTGGCTCAAAGATGAGAATTAGCATTGGAACATGCCGCATGCAGTTGGCCGTAGTATATACTTGCACTATAACTATTCAGCTGCCAGCTTCCATAAGCAGCTTGAAACTCCAAAGACTACTGATCTGAATCTTTCGAGATGGCAGTATCTGCGTTGTCTAGGATTCGCATCACGGCCATCATCACCCGCTGTTGAACCGGGCAGCGGGCTGACATCACTTCCAACTATCCTTGGCATTGCGGAAATGACCAAACTTCCGTTTTTTGTGCACGACAGGTTCTTCCTTCCTCTCAATGATTGGAATGCCACCGGATTATGCAAAACGTCGCCATTCTCGGACCGCAGTTTGGAAAATGTTATCTGTGTGAAAGAAAAGAAATTTAAGTTTGGGAAGAGTTTGTAGCTGAGACCGCTGTCGATGCTGCCTTTAACTTCCAGAAACGTCATTCTTAACCTCAAGCTTCAACGTATTTTTCCGCCTTGCTTAATCACCTCTCCATATCTACCACTATCGATACTATCAAGTGAGTGAGATCCAATTGTCATTACCAATCCTCGGCTCATTCCTTGTTGTACTGGCGAATCCATGCAAGTGGCATTCTGCATACAATTTAGTACCGCCGCCATCAGAGCAATTGAATCTGTATGGGTGTCGCTAACAAACCGGAAGCTGCTGTGAACAATTGCACTACATTGTCCATCATGCCATGCAGCTCTAGTGACCGATATTCTCTACTGGAATTGGGCAAAGAGGAGATGGGACCACTACATGGTCCGGGCCGTGTGCTCAGCCGAATGGACACTAGAGTCCCCCCCCCCCCCCCCCCCCAGAATACTTGTCTGCTATGCACGTAAGGTGAAAAAGCACAAGTAATGCGGAGGATTCCAGGCTGTCGCTGCAAATGCAAAATCCAAGAGTCCATTCCGTCTTTGTACACATCCTCCGGTTCCCTTGGTACATATGCTGTGTAATTTTCTCCCACCGGTAACTACATGTACTGTACTGACGTGTATAGTGAACATATATTCCTCGATGTTGTTAAAACGGCCAATGATATGAAGCTGGTGGTCCCTAATTGGTTGGCTGGGTCAAGGCCCCCAGATGCTGCAGATTTTGGCTGATCAGGGCCTGCGGGCCCAAACATAACACATATGCCCTTGACCTCATCTCCCACCGGCGAGGTTTAATAAAGTATTCGCAGAGCTTGGCAGCTTTATCTTGGCATATACTACTTCCTGACTGGCTATCTCTCACTCTATCTTTACCTTCCCCCCTTCACCACCTCCAGCATCATCGAAATTGTTCCCATATCTCTGCTCCCTCACAACATTCCGCACAGTTCCCTTCATGCTCAGCATTGGCATCACGGCTGGGACGGAATCGTATCGAGAAAATAATTCCTGTTTAGCTCGGGTACTACAGAGATAACTAGGAAGTCGATAATGCAGGCTTGGTGGAGAGGTCAAATCAAGCATCTAAGATCACGACACCGAGTTGTGGGTCAACGTAGCAGCGGTTTTCTCAAACAACGGACACTTACAACGCGGGGGGAGAAGCAGCAATGGATTGGTGTAATACGTTCGACGGAAGAGTTTCATCTCTTATAACATTCACCCCCTGATCAACGCCATCCATCTATTGATCGGTGGTAGTTAGCTGTTAGGAGGGACGCCAGTCATAGAGAAAGAGATGCACTTACGTTGGTCGCAGCGGCTATCCGCATGGGGACAATTCAGCTCTCGGACCATGGTTATTTCGCTTGTTAGTTGGTATCATTTCCATGATCTCTGATGAACATTTACCGAAGCCAACCTACCTCCAGCTCGGTATCATCAGTCTGAATCTTCAAATCGGATGCTTCGCCGACAGCTGCCGTAGATTTCCTTGATCAGTCTACATACGCGCTGGGAGGGAGGTCTCGTGTATGCCCTCCCAGCTTCGTCCTCGAGCGCATTTCGATGCAGTACATCTCCCGCAGCAGGCAGCAGCCGTTATGAACAACTCCTTGCTGCCTCACTTCACTCTGGATCGATTCCTCAGCTTTAAATCGTGGATATTTGAAAACGAGAAAAAGGATCTGCATAACTTACTCTACATAAGCAGTTTACACGCCACCATCGGTTGGGGGAGGAGAGCTACTGCCACGGGACCACATATTCATTCATCGGCTATTATTACAATGATCAGCCACGTGGGCGTGCTGTTTTTCATTGAATGAGTGAGCGAGAGGATTCAACAGGTTACACTGCCGTCTTAGGTCTTACTGCGGTAGATCTGTTGTTCAGCCTATCATGGAGAAACGACTTGACAAGCCATGAGGAAGGGATTCAGTGTCAACAGCACTCACTCTACTAAAGGGATGCGTTGGATCTTTTTGCAGGCTGCACCTCTACTATTTCGAGGCAAAAGAGGACAATTTTGGCAATTGATCTTCCTTGAGGCTCTCTCCTCCTCTTACTCGACTCCTCTACCCATGGGTACCATTCCCGGGGCTTTATCAATGATTGTATACGCGTAACATTGTTGTATGTAATATAATTCTGTGGGCCTCGCTCGCTCGCTGACTGCATCGATATGCGGTAGGATACCAACTCATTGGTACCTGGCCCAGGTGACAGCGTTCCTCTATCATAATGACATTATAAACATTAGTTACTGGATTATCGCGGTAATCTGATCATGATCGAGGTAAAGAGAACGGAGAACTAAGCATGAATTGGGAAAGAAAGAAAAAAAGTAGATATGTAGCAATGTTATTTGTGACTGGCGATCTGATCTGATCTGGCTTGTCATAACGCTTGACCTAAGAGGACTTATACTAGTGCTGAATTATCCTATTTGATACTAGTACTACTGCTGCGCACGCCGAGACATTTGTTTTCATTAGGACCTGGAAACACAGATGTTCAATCCAGCTATTCTTACCACGAAATGCCTCCTCTAACGGCCCGACCCAGATGCAGATTCGATTCCGGCTACCATTTTTCCACTTCCTAACGGTCCCAGATTCATTGTAATCCGGGGAAAGAGAGTAATACTCACGGACCATTTCTTGGGGCGGACAGGATTGAATAGCACTGAAATGACCTGAGCGTGAGTGCAAGATTAGCTCTGGCGCATGTCGGGGCGGATGGATCCCCCAGATGGCTGGGTCAACCATATTTTCCGGGGAGGGGGGTGGGTTGGATGTGTGTGTGTGGGGGGGGGGGGAGGTTGCTCTAGTAAGGGGAGTGTTACAGCTGAGGCACGAGACCAGGTACAGTACACACGTCTTTCCCCAGCATTTCAGTGTTAGTTACAGAGGGCTTGTCCCTCGATCCCCCCCACATATACCAAGTGCTACTGTACCTACTCTAGAATACGATACTAGTACTCCACCCACAGATACGTAACACGACTGACTGCCAGGGACCCCCCATCTTCAACCAAGAAAACTAATAATACACTAGAGTACACAATATTCTTAATATTCCTTCTTCCCCGTGGGTTCTACAAGATTAAGGCGATAGAGTAGAGTGTCATGTACGGCGTCCGCGGATGCGGCTGCGGCTTGCTAAACACACCGCCGCCGCCGGGAAGGCTGGCTGTCGTGCCTGCTGCTTCAAGATGCCCAAGACGAAGTTTATTGCCTTAAGCCCTTTTTTTGCCTTTCCCCTTCTTTGTGTTCTAAGTCACTGTCAGGGATTAGCTGATGGACGACGTTCCACAGCGTTGATATTATTTTGCTTTTCCGGCCTATGGAGCGCTAGGCCCGCTGCGGGTGGTTCAATATCATGTATGTAGTTGGATTATTTGTTTGTTTACGCTTGTCTCAAATAGTACGACCAGTAATGATTAATTGACACGTATGTTTTATTCGTACGCAATACTCGGAATAGGTTATGCCGTTCATTCGTTCCCTAAGAGAAAGAAAAGTAATAGGCCATGTTCGAAGTAGAGTAGAGTAGAGTAACTAAACAACAGGCCGAAAAAGGCAATGATTGATTGGAGGGAAGTTCCTTCCTCTCCCCGGTCATGTGGAGTGAGGCGTTCCTATTGCAGTCTAAACACTTATGTATGTGTCTATCTGTAGATACAAACACATAAAGCGCACATAGGAAAACTCGGCATCATCTTCGCCCCTCCAAGCCCCCCGTTACTGTGTTCTGTTGCGTTCTATCTAGTGAGGTTGTTTGTCGGTGAAACAACACCCAATACCGTACCGCCTACACGTCAGGGCAGGGTAACCCCACTCTTTTCCTACTAGGTATCTGAGGACGTAGCTAAGGTACTTTACGTTCCTCCCCCACCACCCTAGAAATCAAGCAAAACAGGTCTGCGGAGATGAGATCTCTTTAGAACCATCCGATGGGCGCTCGTGATACCTGAGACCCTCCATCTTCCTCTCTTTGCTCCTCCTCCTCCTGCTGCTCCTCCTCTTGCTCCTCCTCCCCCCGCCCCCCCGCTATGGGTTTATTGATTGATATCATGTACCCGATTCCTCCCCCCGCCCCGCACACTCTATCTTGTCAGACCATACTTGCAAGTTGAGCTACCCCACGCTAGAAAAAAAAAAAAAAGATCCCGAAACAACAGGGAGAGATGTCCGGTGTCCGGTTGTGTTTGGTGTGATGGATCGTGGTACTGGTAATGATCGAACATCTACAAATTTTGAGCCCCCCATCCGCAGGGTGCTTATAGTGCTGGTTTGTTGTTTTGTGTGTTTTTATTGTTGCTGTTGTTCGTCCGCCGGCTCCATGGGATGGGATGATGGCCAGTGATTCGATCACGCCTCTTAGCTTCCTGGCTCAGCCCTTTCCCTGGCTTCTCTTTTCTGCCTCTTTTCTTGATCTTATCCGCGTGGAAGAAAAGAACAGCCAAAACATTCTATTTTAGATTTATTTTATTTATTTATCTATCTTTCCCTACCCTCACCCCATGGTTGGTTCCTTCTAGCCGTGGAGGTGGAGGCGGAGGGGAGGGAGGGTAAGTTAGAGTGCTAGGGTCTAGATCTTAGTAGCAGTCAGTGGACCAGTGTCAGTTCAGGGTAGTTAAGGGAAATCTGCACGAACCGCACCGCAACAACGCCAACAGCCAGCTAGCCTGACCGATCTCCGCGCCCCGATCCCGATTCCATCGGAAACCAAACAACACCGACCGCTAATAATTGCGCGCTGATCAGTATTCAGGGGAGCGTGATTGGCTCAGAAGAGTGAAAAATCCCCTACCCTACCAACCAGTAGGCGAGCTTTACGTTGACAGCCAGCTGGGTCTTGGCGAAGATGGGGAGGGAAAAAAGGGAGGATGTGAAATCAAGAACAGTTGAGTAGAGGAGTAGGCTATGACTCTACTCTACTGGACGCAACACCTCCGTTTTTTTTTTCTTTCTTTGCGCCCTGGAGAAGGGGGCTAGATAGATAGAGTGCTTGTACCGCGTGCCTCTCAGAGAGATCGTAAGAGGGGAGCAAAAGTACGATGGGATACGTGGGGGAAAACTAGCTAGCACCACTGTAGATACTTAAGATGAGGTTCTGGGATAGAGTAGATAGGTTGTTTATCTGCTCTATCCTGATTCTGGATAGCGATTTAGTTATTCACCTCATGGGATTGGGTTTTTAGGATTTAACCGGACCCTACTCTTCACCGAGAAATTAAAAAAAAAAAAAGGCTCCTAGGCATCGCGGATAATGCAGGAACTACGGTAACGGATGTGTCTGAAACCCTCTTACCATAGGATAG